AGTTGTAATGTTCAAATCTTTTTCAATCTAACAGCATTTTATGATTTTAATTGGTGAATGGTGACTATCAGTGGAATCCAGCCAAGATGCGCATTTCGTCCTGTTTGGGACTCGTCAGCCAACTGGATGTACCTGCATTTCCCAGTAAGTGATGATGTTCCCACCACTGAGGCTCGAACCCAGTACCCATAGTTTCAAACGCCAAAGCGTTATCCACTAGACCACTTGGGCCACGAGAGCCACCTCTTGTGCAACGGGTCATATTAATTTTATTGAATTTTAGATTTTCCCGTCGATTGGTTGGACCGAAGTGCTCGGTCTCAGGTTGACATGTCGGCTTCTTGTGCAGATGCTTCGACGATGTCTGGGCATTTAGTTAGCATTTAATTGGTGGGTGGTGACTAGCAGTTGCACAAGAGGTGGCTCTCGTGGCCCAAGTGGTCTAGTGGATAACGCTTTGGCGTTTGAAACTATGGGTACTGGGTTCGAGCCTCAGTGGTGGGAACATCATCACTTACTGGGAAATGCAGGTACATCCAGTTGGCTGACGAGTCCCAAACAGGACGAAATGCGCATCTTGGCTGGATTCCACTGATAGTCACCATCCACCAATTAAATATTCATTTTTATACTATTAAGATTTGACTATGTGTTTGAATTCCTACCTCAGTTAAGATACTTTTTGTTTGCTGGCACACGTCATTTATTCTTCCCGAAGCGCATTATATTACAGTTTATTCAATTTAATCTAATTATGATAAACAGGCTGAGATATCGATTCTGAGATAATTAATTAAAACTAACATGGTGTATGTATCATTACGTAGGTTGTAGTTTTATCTGCTCCTCTTATGTAATAAGTGGGAGTAAGTGCCTGGTGATAGCTCATTTAGTACCATTCCTATGATATTTTACTTGTTCTGTGATTTTCATTGGAATTATAGTTCACTGTTATCTGAACTAATCTTCTAACTGGTAAATTTGTTAACTCGAGTCCTGCTTCATACAGCTATATATATATATATGTATATCTTAGGATTCCATCATGAATTGGTATCGGTTAGAGGACCATTGGAAAACTGACTGGGGAGTACTGGACATCTGTTTCGTCCTAAGTCTTCGTTTGGGACTCTTCATCAGTGCGTGCCCACAGCCAGGGTTCGAATCCAGGATCTTCTGGTAACAAGACGAGCTCGTAGACTATTAAGCCATTTGCATCCGATCCAATGGCTAGCCCATGAATTCCAACTTCTGTCAATTAATAATATGGCACGACCACTTGCGAATGTCATCCATGATGAGTATTTGTCCTCACCTCCGATGACGACATGCTTTAGATGTTTAGGAAGATGACATTATTTGCCTCACATGGTAAATGTGTCGCATTTTTGAGTGTGTAGAGTTTTTGAAATGATAAAGAAAAAATTAAAAAACAAAAACAATAACAGAGTAGTACTGTGCTCTTTTCCCTTGTTTTTCTTTGTAATGACCAGTAGACGTTTATAAATGAGCGTAGCAAAATGCATCTTCTATTTATGCTGAAATAAAGCTCAATGACGTTTATATATATATATATATATATATATATATATATATATATATATATAATTTCTTTGGAAGAATTTAAGTCTTAAATGAATCTTTAAGTGTTGGTTTGTGGGAATTTAATTAATTTCAAGTTTAATTACAGACTGATGCTCGTTAGAGAGCCACTGGAAACTTGGAAGTACTGAACATGAAAAGATTAGCTGTCTTTGATCATAAGTGCCTGCATTTTATCTCCCTTGTGAAGTGGTGTAATAAGGTGAGCAATATTGAGGTTACGCTTCGGTCGAGTGCTAGGTAAGGAGGGAGGGGAAATCAATCGACGAGGCTGTGAAGTTACACCGATTGAATGAGATGGTTAGGACATGTGTTACGTATGCATGCCTAGCCATCGCTTTCCTTGACCGACGGGCAATGTTAGCTGACATGGGGTCAGGCTGGAAGATAGCCAGTGGTGGTCAAACCATCATGGCTTCATCAGTTAATAAAATCTGCAACAGTTACTTAAAGCTAGCCAGCCAGTCACGTATCAAAGGTGTAGACCTCCGGGTTGGGGCCCTCAGAACAGTAAAAACCAATGGTTGGAAACAATTGGTGATATGGCTCAAATTCATCTTTCTCAATGGCTGGTGCAGATGCATCCACTCCTTGTGACTTATAATTTCCAACAAAACCATATTGTTCTTTGTTATTACTATTTCTTCGTCTCACACCTCTGTTTACTGTCTCTATCTTGCATTTCATTTTACTGTCTTCTTTTGCTTTTTGTGCCACATGGAGTGTGGCGACTTGAACTGGTGCACATCGGTACAAAGTTCTACGTCGAAAATAGACAGACAGAACAGTGTGCTGATAATGGTCAACAATTTAGCATCATCATAAACTGAAGTCCCTGTTTTCGACCCTCTGTGAAGTTATGGGTGCATTGACGGTTGAAGAGTCATATTATGCCCTGGTTTTCAATCGTTTTCTAACTGTTGTCAATCTTTGGTTAAACTTAAACCCAGTTAAATCACTGAAAATGAACACTTGAGAATTAATCTGATGCTCACAAGTGACTGACTACATGAAGAAGTTTCCTGGAGTTTTAGTAAGAAGTCGTGAGCAGTAGGGGGTCAACCAGGTTGGGTGTGGCGGTGGTGAGAGCTGTCTGCAAGACAAAATTGTAGACAACAATTTACGTCAATGTTTATGGTCTGAATCAGGGTCATGAGAAAAGCAATAACAAGAACAAACCTTAACCTTGAGGAACTCGACAATCAATCATTGCAGACTTAGCGTGGGAGGATACGATTCAGAAATATATCAATTGACTGACTGTCCAAGAAACGGCAACAAAGAGATAACAGAATAACCTTCATCAAGAAAACAACTAATCAGAAAAGGTTGCTTCTACGCTAATAGTAATGTACATGAAAATCTATAAATATCTGTTGATTTTCTCAATAAACGATCTGTTGCCTGACCCTTGTCTTCTGTCGTTACATATCGATGGAACAAGAAATCGTGAATTGACAAAAGTAAGAACCCACGGACTATTGGATTTCCTTCCAGTGGCTGAGTGGTCAACGAGATCCCCTTTTAATCTGAAGGTCCTACGTTAGATCTTTGGCGGTGGAATCGTGGGTGCGTACTGATGAAGTGTTTCAAACTAGAATGAAATAACTGTCCCGTACTTCTTGGTTTCTGATCCATGATCAAACTTTGGTGAATCATTCCATATTGGTTTGTTTATTAGATGGATATATTACACAGTCTGTGAAACAGTATTATTTACTGGATGACAAAGTTTCGAACACAATTTATTGTTCACAATCATATCAATTATAATTACACGACTTCGAAACTTGAGTTTTATAGTTTTCTTTGTTCTCTCCTATTTGTCGTCATAGGCGTGGTAGTAGAATTTTCCAGATGTCTTTTTGGACAGGTGTTGAGTCATTCCTATGACACGTGTTTGCAGTTGATTCGATAAACAAAGCTTCTGTTATCAATGTCTTTCTGCACTTCCATATGAAGCAGGAACCTCGGAAACCACCTTACGCAGAATTCTTAACAAGACAGGAATAAAAGTGGTTGACATTCAAACCCCGCAGACAAACTCAATTAGAAACAAGCTTTGCCAGTTAATGTATTGATCCTGGGGAGTCTTTAAAACAAAAACAATTTAGTTTATCTAATACCCTGCCTGCAATGATTGTCAGTGAGATCAAACACATAGATCAAACCAGTAGATCAGGGTCAGTCAGTCAGACTAGGCGAGCATAAAAACTTAACAGCAAAATCTAGATTAGTTGACTTGAATAAGATGAGAAATCTGAGAATAGTTCAGCTGTAGCACTCACTGCATGCAATTACACACCACAACCATACAACAGGATGGACGGGATAAGATGACAGTTTTAAAATCTAATGTAACAGCAAGGTGGAGGGAGGGAGAGATTGATAACAGAAGCTTTGTTTATCGAATCAACTGCAAATACATGTAATAGGAATGATTCATCACCTGCCCCTGATATCTGGAAAATTCTACTACCAAGCCTACGATGACAAATAGGAGAGAACAAAGAAAACTACAAAACTCAAGTTTCGAAGTCGTGTGATTATAATTGGTGAAATGATTATGAACAATAAGTGAATTTTTCCGAAACTTTGTCATCCAGTAAATAATAAATACAGTTTCACTGACTGTGTGATATATCCATCTAATAAACAAACTAATATGGAAATCAAGTATTGGTTTGTAGGGATTTGATTGGTTTCAGGATTGCATCATGAGCTTACATTAGTTGAAGAACCATTGGAAAACCTGGGAGTACTGGACAACTGTTTCGTCCTAGTTTGGAACTCTTCATCAGTACGCACCCACCCACCCAATCAGATCTGTACTTGAATATCAATGAGATGCACACTAGCGACTTGCCCTATTCAGGTAGGTAGTTACCTGGTGTTCTAGTAAGAAGCCGTGACCAGTAGGGTGCAGCAGGTCGGGTGCAAGAACAAGTACTCGCTGAAGACATTGGCTAGGGGTCATGCTATGTCGTGAATTGACAGAAGTTGGAATTCATGGGCTAGCCATTGAATCGGATCCAAATGGCTTAATGGTATACGAGCTCGCCATGAAACCAGAAGTTCCTGGGTTCGGACCCCGGTGGGTGCGCACTGATGAAGAGTCCCAAACTAGGACGAAACAGCTGTCCAGTACTTGCTGACTGACTTTCCAGTGGTTCTCTAACTAATATCAGCTCATGATGAAATGCTGGAATACGGAATTACTTACCAATTCAGTGCTCAGGTTTTACACATATATTAATGGGTCATCACAGGAATTAATTCCACCTTCTAGTTAACAAGAATACGCCATATATTATTCACATCTTACAAAGAGATCTGTCCCTACATGTATCGAGACAAATTATTATTATGAAAGTATTCCCCCCTGTTTACTATTTCAGCAAGATCCTACACCAGAAATAGAACGAAACTTACGTGTGGCACAAACACGAGCTGAAGATCGATTCAATCTGGCTATAGACAAACTTCATGAAGAAAAGAGAATTGAAGAGTTGACAAAGCATGAAACTGAAGAAAGACTGAAGGAAGTCAGGAATGTTGAAAATATGCGTGCTGCTTTGATCGCCTCTTTGCCTCCACCTGAGAATGTCATACTTGAAAAGGATCTGGCATCTACAGTTGGTATGTTGATACTCTGTTGTTGTTTTTTTTGACCTATTAATTTTGAGGTGTTTATTTTCCTTTGGTTAAGTGATGTTCTGTTTATCCTCGGTTTTTACTTTTTCAGTCTATGACATTCGATGATATTACACAGTATGTGGTTAAAATATATCATCTCATGATGAGTAATTAAAGTTTTGCAGGTTCGGACCGTGCTCCACCTACTGAAGATTGGGCAGGTCGGTGATATCACTAGCCTTCACACAGTAGGTGTGGTTCATTACTGACCAACATGGAGTTGCAAATGTTTGTTTGGTAACACATTTTGCTTTAATTAAATCGGTTAGCGAATAGGTTAAATTTAAATTGTACATTCAGAAGTGGAGTTTCAACTATAGGCGGATGGGAAGGCTGTGGATATCAAAGAGAGCATCGGGAAAGCAAGCAAGCTTTCATTTCTCTCAAGTCTGTGTGGAGATCAACAGCACTCAACATGAAAATAAAAATAAGATCTGGATTTTCAATTCCAATGTGATGTCAGTACTACTTTACGGATCAGAGACTTGGCGCAGCGCCACACCGCGTCACGAAGAGAGCTTCGAACAAACTATGGACTTTCATCAACGGCTGTCTTCGCTCAATATTACTCAAGATCAGTTGGCCAGAAAAGATAAGCAATAACGAAGAATCTCTGGGGACGTGATCTAAGCATGATGGGAGGAAATGTAGATAGATTGACCGTATTCTGAGAAAACAAACCATCAGGTGACATCAAATGCCAGGCCATCGCTCGAGTGAAACCCGAATGGGAAGCGGTGAGTTAGTCGTCATTGCGAAGGTGACATGGAGGAGGTGATGTGAAGAGGAGATGATAGCATGTGGGCAGACGTGGAGCCAGTTGAAAACCTTGGCAGAGAACCGAACGCATTGGAGACAAACGACTGAAGCCCTAGGTTCCTCTGTGAATTAAAGGAAACAATAATAATGCAAAATATTCTCGAATTTTTTTTAATCTTCGATCACTGTCGCCGATTTTATGCACTGCTTTTGGTATTTTGAGGAGAAAGTGAGTCAGTTTAAAGTTACTGCCAAGGAAAAAGGGAAATCTGCATGTGGTTAGTTCTTCGTGCTGCCTCGAAAGTAGTAGTAGTATTATTAGATATTTCAAAGTTATTTATGTTCACATAAGCCAAGTAGACTGTAAGAAGTTGTCTCTAGCCTTTCACAGTTTCGGTAGTAGAGTAACATAAGTAATACTGTAACGAAATAAGACAAGGGCCAGACAACACATCCTTTATTGAGAAAATCAACAGATATTTATGCATTTTTATGTATATTATTGTCAGCGGAGAAGAAATATCTTCAGATTGGTTGTTTTCTTGCTGAAGATTATTCTGTACTGCTTGTGACTGTTTCTCAGAAAGTTAAGCCATATATATGCGAATCGTGTTTGCACACGTTGAGTTTGCTGTGATTGGTTGTTGAGTTCCTCAAAGTTAAGCTTTGTTATTGTGTTTTTCTCATGACCCCTATTCGGGACTTGACACTGATTTAAATTGCTGTCTACCAATTTTGGCGACTTAGGGCGACTTAGGACTCTGCAAGAACTGGCGAGGAATCATGCTCCTGTTAACGCCAAGTAAAATCCTGAGTCTCATCATCCTGGAGAGATTAAAGGACTCACTGGATGCAGAACTCCGACCAGAACAAGCTGGATTCAGGAAAGTCAGGGAAATCATGTTCTGACCAAATTGCAACTCTATGCATCATCATCGAACAAAGCATGGAATGACAATCAAACCTCTACATCAACTTTTCAGACTTCGAGAAAGCCTTCGACAGACAGCGTCGACCGCGAATTAATTTGGAAACTACTCGAGTACTACGGCGTACAGTGCCCCAAATATTCATCAACCTTATTCAACAGCTGTACGACAACGGAACATGTCAAGTGATCCACAACGGAAAACTCAGCGAGGCGTTTGGAGTAAACACAGGAGTCAGACAAGGGTGTTTATTATCTTTCACCAATGATATTCCTAATTGTGGTGGACTGACTGGATCATGCGTCAGACAGCGGGAAACGAGAAACGAGGCAGGTATATCCTGGACCCACCGACGTGAAGAACCTAGAAGACCTGGATTTCGCGCGTGGATGATTTATGTTTGATGTCACACAAAATCGAAGACTTACAAGCGAAAACCGACCGACAAACTGGTCGAAGAAGCAGCCAGGGAAGACAGGACACCATGTGAACATAGACAAGACGGAGGTTATGAAAATAAACAACCAACCAACCACCAACAACAACAGCAGAAACATCCAGCGCCAATCACCATCAACGGGAGGGATTTGAAAGAGGTTACTTCATTCATTCACTTATCTAGGGAGCATTGTCCCAACTACAGGAAGTCGGAACGGACGAGGATGTCAAATCGAGCGAGAATCGGGAAGGCAGGCGAGAAACACACTCATCAACCTGAAACTACCAATCTGGAAATCTTCGTCACTCAACCAGAATCAACAACAAAATTCGGTCGGATTTTCAATACAAACAACGTCAAGTCAGTCAGTTCTTCTATACGGATGAGAAACTTGGTGGGCGGGTCACAAAGAATATTTCCAACAGGCTATTGCAGACCTTTATCAACAATTGTCAACTATCGCTCTATACTGAAGATGAGATGGCCGGACCGGAAAGAATCACCAACAAGAAACTATGGGAACAATCAAAACAAGAACCAATCGACCAACAAATATGCAGGAGAAAGTGGAGATGGATTGGACACTCGCTGAGGAGGCTGCGACTGGGTGACATCGCGTGCGCGTCAGGCCATTGGTCGAGTGGAACCAGGCTGAAAGGGAAGCGGCGAGCGGGACGTCAGTGCAAGGGTGACATGTAGGAGATAGTGTGAAGAGGAGTTGAAGGAGTATGGACTAGCATGGATGATGTAGGTGAAAAGTGCAGCAGAAGGAAGACAGAAGCAAGGGGAGACGTGCAGTTGAAGCCCTATGTTCCACTAGGAACCCAAGGGAACAATAATAAAATATAATAAATTTTGGCTAGCAGACAGCTCTCATCAAAATATCAATAAGTTATTGATTTATTTTAATTGCCCTCCACCGTCTTTTTGCTGCATTTTTCTTAACAGAAATGGAACCTCTTGTCCTTGTATACGATGCAGAATCGAAAAATACAATACATTCACAGAATGTACCATCAAAAGTGATTATAAATAACGATAGGAATGATGACAATAAAACAGTTGACGGAAGGCAAAGATACAATGCAACTATTTCTGCACACAAAGAAGAAGAACGTATCCAGACAGTTGAACGTGTTAATGCTATTCATGCTAATGAAGATTTAATCAAAGCTGATATACGTGGGCGTCAAGCAATGAGAAAGTAAGCAGTATTGATTGATATTACTAGTTAGCTGTTAAATTAACACATTATGCTAAATACTCACTAAGGAGTAACCGGTGTTGTGCATATCATTTTTGGTTTTTGGTGTAATTTTCTGAAATCCATTTGTAAATCTTCTGCATTCAGCCAACAGAAAGAACACTAAATTCTTATTTCCAAACACAAAAATTTTAAGTCGGTTAGTCAGTTTTTCCATATGGGTTAGAAACTTGGCGCATGTATCATGAAACGTGTTTCCAGCAGTCAGCTACAGACTTTGTATTAACAGCTGCTACCTTCTCTGGTTGCCTCCATACTGAAGATCAGATGGACGGCTGACCAAAAAGAATTAGCTCCAAGAAACTCTTCGAACAAACCACCCAAAAACCTATTTCTCAAGAAATATGTAGAAGAGAATGGAGATGGGTAGGACACACACTTAAGGGACCGTTAATGGACATCATGCGCCAAGTCTACCCTCGAGTCAAAGCCAAATGGGAAACGACAAGTAGGGCATCGGTGCGAGGGAGCTTGGAAAGCAGGGAAGGGGTTGGGCCATAAAAAGCTAAAGTTTGAAGCCCTATGTTCCACTCAGAAAACACGAGTGAAAAAAACTCTTACTTATTATCTTAAAAAAATGTTTCTGGCCTGTGATTCGCTCCCGTTAAATGTAAGGTGATGCTACAGAACTGGACCACATTGACTCACTCCTAGCTTAAGGACATGGAGAGAAGTGGTGGTGGCTGGGTGTGTCGACCAATTCACTTGTTTGGGAAGTTGCATCAGTCAGCGCCAACGGGTTGATCGCTGACGAAATCTCAGCATGGATACGCAGAAGGCTTTTTCGGGATATGCCAAGTGACGCCATCTCTAGTTTAGTAGACGTGACATCTAGTCGGCTGTCGACCAAAGGGTGTGTGTACTGCTCATCAGTTCTATCCGTCCTTCTTTATGGCTGTGTCTGTCTGTTTGAATTCAACATAGAGCTTGGCACCAAAGTGCACCAGTTCGAGTTGCCACGTTCCAAATACCACACAGAGGTAGACATGAAGATGAGTGAAGAGAATCAATAGAGTTTGACAAGTATAAGAGTGAAACAGAATGGGTAATGGTAGAAAGGAATATGAAAGATCACAGAGACTGAATACATCTTCGCTGGCCATTGACAATGATTTTGAGCCATGTCACCTATTGTCTCCAGCCATTGGTTCCTAGAGTCAGTCCCGAGGGCTCCAACCCGGAAGTCTTCATCACCCTCCCTACCTGACTCAGGTTAATTGTCAAGGATTTCATGGACTGATGAGGCCATGTTTTTGTTTGGCCACCACTTACTCTTTTCCAATCTGCACCTATATCAATCAGCTAGTAATGCCCGTTGGGGGAGGCGATGGTTAGGCATGCTCAGCACGTGACCTAGCCATCTTAGTCTATGTAACTTTATAACCTCGTCGATTGATTTTCCCTCTTTGCCCAACACTCTACGCCTAACGTCAACATTACTTACCTTGTGAAACCACCTAATGTGAGACAGAGATCGGAGACATCTATGATCGAAAGCAGTCAACCTTTTCATGTCTTCAACTCGTATGGGCCATGTTTCAGAGCCATAGAGAAGGACGGAGCGAACTGGTGAGCAGTACACACGTCCCTTGGTTGATAGCCGGATGTCACGCCTACGCCAGAGATGGTGTAAGTCAGCGAAAGCAACTGAAGGTTTTTGGATCTGTGCTGAGATTTCGTCGCCAATCAGTCCGTTGGTGCTGATACAACTTCCCAAATAGGTGAACTGGTCAACATGTTCTATCACTTCACTCCCTATCACTAAGCTAGGTGGGAGTTGACGTAGTCCAGTCCTGTGAGCGAGATATAGCCATTGAAAGTAGAAGATATGAAAAGTCTGGGTAACTGTCTTTCATCATAGGTACCTACGTTCTATCTCCCACTTTAGTAGGTGGTAGGTGCAATAAGTTGAGTAATATTGAGGTGGAAAGTTCTACATTGAGACGAGTCAGTCAGTCAGTCAAAAATGTTTCTCAAACAAACGTGATTTTTAATTTGTCCAAATTATTTATTTTCCATGCATTCTCTTCAGCCATTAGTTCTTAACATCTTATCTGCAACCTTGACGGAATTTATGCCCCTTCTGGAGATTCAAACCCGCGTAACCAAATAAAGGACTAGACACATCACACTAGTTACTGACTAGTGTCCAATCAAAATATCTACTACAGTTCTACAAGAGGTCAATCGCGAGCCCAAACAGCTCCGGTTATCAACCAAGGGACGTGTGTACTGCTCATCAGTTCGCTCCGTCCTTCTCTATGGCTCTGAAACATGGCCAATACGCGTTGAAGACATGAAAATGTTGACTGCTTTCGATCATAGATGTCTCCGATCTCTGTCTCACGTTAGGTGGTTTCACAAGGTAAGTAATGTTGACGTTAGGCGTAGAGTGTTGGGCAAAGAGGGAAAATCAATCGACGAGGTTATAAAGTTACATAGACTAAGATGGCTAGGTCACGTGCTGAGCATGCCTAACCACCGCCTCCTCCCGCCGACGGGCATTGGTAGCTGATATAGGTGCAGGTTGGAAAAGAGCCAGTGGTGGTGGTGGCCAAACAAAAACATGGCCTCATCAGTCCATGAAATCCTTGACAGTTAAACTGAGTCAGGTAGGGAGATGCAGACTTCCGGGTTGGCGCCCTCGGGACTCTAGGAATCAATGGCTGGAGACAATAGGTGACATGGCTCAAAGTCATTGTCAATGGCCAGCGAAGATGTATTCAGTCTCTGTAATCTTTCATATTCCTTTCTACCATTACCCATTCTGTTTCACTCTTGTCAGACTGTATTGATTCTCTCCACTCATCTTCTTGTCTACCTCTGTGTGGTATTTGGAACGTGGCAACTGGAACTGGTGCACTTGGGTGCCAAGTTCTATGTTGAATCCATAGAGGCAGACAGTGGTAAAGCCTCTGACTGCAGCACTCACTGGGTGGCGCGGGTTCGAATCTCAGAAGGGATATGAGTTCCTTCAAAGTTGCAGATACGTCTTGCTGACAGGTGAGTGCCAACTAGCACGAAACCTAGGTCAAGCAAGGCTTTCTGTGGCCGATCGCCTTCAACCATCTAATTACCATCAATTTATATACTACCAAACTATGAAAAAAGGGGGGGAGTGAGAGAAGACAGAAAATAGAAAAATCTAATAAAACAGTGTTAGCTTGTATGTCAACAAGGTAACTCAAGAAGGTCAAAGTTCATCAAATTGAAAACTTGCTTAGTGAGCTGACCTCACTAGTGTGTATGACTAATTAGTGTAATAAAAGTAGTAATACAGTTACCAAGGGAGTTTTCCACGGAATAGTTTAGTTATTAAAAGTGATAAGTTGTCATAATACTAATCAATAAATAGAAAGAGTTATGCAATCGCGCCAGAGTTACATAATAAGATAAAAAGAGTTTAATGAATGAGTTGCATTCAAGATGCATATAGAGACGAAAGAAAAAAAATGGTATGACGTAAGAGGTGAAAACAAAACCAGACAAACATAAACCAAGTTGGTTGAAAATAAAAAAAAACAAGTTTTCTTAGAATTAATTTTTTAGCGATTTAATGTGTATCTAGTCAGACAAAATTGACAGATGTTATAACTCATGGGGTATTTGATACTGGTCCAAGTGTCTAAATGGTCAACGAGCTTTGTCTCATCACTTGAAGGTGTTTTTGGTTCGATCCCCCGTGAGATCGTGGATGCGTACAACTGAAGACTTTCACATTGGGAAAGAAGTAAAGGAAATCAAAGTGTAGCGGCCAGCTGTCCTTGACCAAAGGTGTCCGCACTTTTTTTCTCCCGTGTTAGGTGGTAGGTGTACTCGGATGAATAATATTGAGGTGGTTAGGCATCGATCGAGGGCTATGTAAGGTGGGGGGAAATCAATCGACGAGGTTGTGAAGTTACATCGGTTGAATGAGATGGTTAGGACACGTGCTGCACATGCATGTCTAGCCATCACCTTCCTCGACCGACGGGCAATGTTGGCTGACACAGGATCTCCGTCATGTTGGTAAACAGCCAGTGGTGGTCAAACTGAAACCAACATGGCTTCCTCAGTCAATGAAATCCACAACAACTAGTTTGAACTATCCGTATAATGAGGTTTAGACTGCTTGGCTGGTAGGAGTCCTCGGGATTCTAAGAGCCGATTGTTGGGGACAATTGGTTGGTGGTATTGTGGTGGTGGTGGTGTGATGCAAACAATCCGTTCCAACGGAATATTATTCTTACATATTTCCACGGTTGAATACTGCATTAGCAAAAGAATACTATCTATATTTGAACATTCTATTTCATATCGTTTAATGTAAAGCAAAATCACACGCTCAGTGATGATTGGTTAACGAATATTAACTGTAGATATGTGTAAACAGCGATTTGATCACTTATGAATATACCTTGGCCTCCGTGTCTTGCCTTGTGTTTTTTTTTTTAACAATTTCGCTTTATTCCAGAAACAGTACTTGTGGTACAGTGTGGAATTTTCAGCACATATCTACAATATTGCATCTAATTTCATCGTACATTTAAAAAGGAGTATTATAAAAAAAATTAAAATATATAAAAAAAAAACCAAAAAAACAGAAACACAGAAATAACCAAAAAAAATGCAAATAAAAATACTGAGTAAAAAAAGAAGATCAACACAAATAATGAAAAAAAAAATTTCAGTATTAGTTAGTGGAAGCTACGATATGTGTATGCGTGGTGAACAGTAACAGCTATAATCATACGGGAAATTATGAGATGTTCTTAAAAAAAATGTTTATAGCCAAGATGATCAGTTAATTTGATTGAACAACACTAAGCAATCATAGGATAAACATTTCAGGTTTTTTTTTGTCAGTACTAATGCGGTTGTTTGTTTGTTACAGTATGACTCAAAATCGTTCCCATTGGTGCAGATACATTTAATCTTTATGATCCCCCTCATCCCATGTTACTATTCTTTCTCATATTTTCGCTTAGTATCTTTATTTTCGAATCTGTTTTTCGTCTCTTTTAATAATAATAATTAATGATGATAATAATAATAGCTTTATTTCAAAACGGTACTTGTGATACAGAATGGAATTCTCAGCATTTCACTAGAGTATTGCATACAGTTTGTGCATTAAAAATAAATAAAATTCTACATAGATTAAGGGTAGTCTCGGTAAGTTGTGACAACAGCATGTTGGCATGTCGGTAGCAAAGCCAAAAGTGAACAGAATGTTTGAAGGTGTTAGGAAAGCAGATGCTACCATATTTACTGGCGTAAGCGGTAACAAAAGGTCGAGATATACAGAGTGGGAAAGAACGAAGAAGAATGTTTTAAGTAAAGTTTGTAAGGAAGAAAGAAACAAAACAGCACATAACAGCGAAAAATAAAAAAAGAAAGAAAACGTTGTACCTACAAATGATATGAGTTTGAAGGATGAGATCCAGTTGTTCTACTGACTATTTAATAAGTTATAAGTTTCACGCCAAATGCTTTCTTAATCGCACAGAACACAAGCTAAGTAGGGTATGGTTGAGTTTTTGTACTTACTAGTGCGAGTATATAGTTTTCTATATGGCCTTCTGGTTTTACCTGATGAGGTACAAGGGGAAAGTTGTGAATGAAGAGTGTGAGTGGTGTGAGTTAGATAAAATGGATTCAGCCCATTTTTCACATGAGTCTTTATGCCTGTCAACTAGAATATTAACAAGCTGGTTAAGTGGCACGTGGCTTACCCTTCTGACAACCTTTAACATCCTACGTAATAAGATACAGTCTTTCTTCAGTAGCCCTGGAAGAACTAAGGGGAACAATAGAGAATAATAGACGGGATCCAAGAGTTAACGAATTGTAGGAGTAAGGGTTGGGTTATACCAGAATGTCTTAACTTCTTGATGTAGAAGGTAAGACGGAATATTTTCTTAGAAATCATCAAGATATGAGACGACCAGGAAAGATGAGCAGATAGAATGACGCCAAGATATTTAATTTCCGATTTGGTCTGTATTTCAGTGACCTTCCTTTGTGGGCTGTACATGGAGTATGGTGAATTGAACTGTTGAACTTCTGTGCAGTGTTCTCTGTTGGAATCAGTCAATCAGTACGAAATACCTGTCCAGTACACCTTGGTGATTTTTAGTGGTTTTCTGATTAACATCAATCGGTAATCAATACAACAAGGTTTTTTTTTACCATAATAGTATAAGTGGTTGAATGAATCCTCTTATGTATGTGTAATTACGGCTAAAGTGTCAGCAATGTAAAGGGTGAATGATCTACTTAAGGTCAGATGGCCAGAAAAGATCATCAATAGGGATATCTGGGAGTGAACCAACCAGAAACCGATAGTGCAACAAATAGGCAGGAAGACATGGAGATGGATTGGCCATATTCTGAGGAAACCAGCAAGTGATATCACTAGACAAGCCATCGCCCGAGTGGATTTCGAAAGTGAAACGGCGAGTTGGTCGTCAGTGCGAGGGTGACATGGAGGAGGTCATGTGAAGAGGAGATGAAAGCATGTGGGCATACATAGAGTCAGGTGAAAACTCTAGCTGAAAACCGAACGCAATGGAGACGTGAGGCTGAAGCCCTATGTTCCTCTAGGAATTAAAGGAAATAATAATAATAATGCAAAGAATACGAAGGATTATTATCTTTGGCAAATTATTCTTAGCTTTGTAGATTACTTTGAAGGAGGTGTTTGTTGAGATAAAATGTTCATTATCGACATGGTGTTCAAATTTTTCGCACTCCCCACAGAGTCATTACTACTACCTTTCTGCAATCATACGGCATAGTGTTCTTGTGAATCCTTTTAGACTAGATACCCGTCTAGCGATTAAGAATGAAGCTTTCTTATTGGCTACCTGTGGGGATGTGACCCATTGACTTATTTACTGTATTTTCAACCAACAGGCTTCAGGTTCGAATCCTGCTCCACCCGTATCATCCTAGTCAATTGCATAATATCCTTAGCGTTCACATTCATTCTTTAACTCTGATATTTTGTTTTGTCTATTTAGAGAACGTATTCGTCAACATTATCAAGCTTTATTACATCGTCTAGATGAAGTTGGACGTAATGAAATCTTAATACGTCGTAGTCAGTTATCCTCTGGTACAGTCGGTGGGAATTCTTTACCTGGTGGTCCAAGCAATGAAGCTGTAATTAGTCGTCGATTAGAAAAAGTTTTTGAGGTATTTCACACTGCTATGTTCTTGTTTTTTTTGTGTTTTCGCTGAGTAAGAGTAATTCCATATTACCGGAAATACCCCCTTGGTCATACATGAAGAAAATAAAAGACAAATTCAGTGGAGAAAATTATCTTTATCGACGAATTCTTCTTCACAGACTGTGCTGTACAGTCGTATTTATATTTACCAAAAATGTATGGTGGTCTATTATTGAGTAACAGGGGCTGGGTGTGACATAATTGATATAATTACTCAGAAGTGGCTTTAGTAGTAAAAAGTAAAAATTGTAAATTACGTGGTACTCAACAGCACAAAGGAAGAAAGGGTTAGATATTCAAGTGTTGGTTTGTACGGATTTGATTGGTTACATGATTTCATCATGAGCTGGGATTACTTAGAGAACCATTGGAATACTCGGCGAAGACATCGGCTAGGGGTCGCACTACGTCGTGAACTGGCAGAAGTTAGAATTCATGGGCCATTGGATCAGGTCCCAATGGCTTAATGGTCTATGAGCTCGTCTTGTATCAATGACGTCTCATAAACCGTTAATGCCCAGCTCTTGTGCTACGCTGGGTCTCACGCTGTCCTTCGAAGCTTTTCAGAAACGCTTAGTACTAACGGACGCAAAAACCAGAACACAGATTGGCGACTCGAGAATTCTTTATTCTAACACCAACATATAACCAGCATTGTTAGCATTACAGACAGAGGTCGAAGAACAAATATTACAACAATAAATCACGATATTACTTCTGACAGTTTTTTAGGTTCTTTCTGAACAGCGACCGATGAGACGATGGCTAGCAAATTGATCACGCGCGAAAATTATGGGGAAGTTGGGTTTGAGCAAGCAACCATGAATTGATCGTTCAATCTTCAATTACATTGACACCTTGTAACCAGAAGGTCCTGGGTTAGAACCCCAATCGGTGGATGCGTACTGCCGAAGAGTCCCAAACTAGGACGAAACAGCTGTCCAGTACTCCCAGGTTTTCCAGTGGCTGTCTAACTAATGTCATCTCATGGTGAAATCCTGTAACCAAATGATTAGATATTTGATAAGGTTGAAATTGTTGTTGAGTGAGAATAAAGGTAGGTAGTTGAGTGTCAATTTAACTCGTGTGAAGAGGGTGTGGAAATGTACAAAAGGAACATATGAGAGTGATAATAGTGAATTAATTATTACAGAAAAAGCAAACTAAAAGTAGAATTAAAAAATTACAGGGAACGACTAGTGAAGGAAGAGGTTAAGACCAAGGTAGAATATGAGACTGGACAAACTTTTTCTGTATATACAGAGTTCAGGGTTGTATTGACGAATTCCCGACGTCTCCGCCATACACAAAAGCTGAAACCTGACTGATGCCCTTTGTACCACTCGGTTTCACCCTGTAGATAATTTTGAAAGAAGATTCTGGTGGAACTGTGTGACTTGAGTTCACTAAGTGATCGAGTTTTGAGCTGGTAATTGTCTTGCATTGTCCTTTTGTTAATCATGCCGGATAATGTTCAGAGATGCGTTTGGAAAGTGTGCGTTTTGTGTGGCCAATATGACTAGGTTCCCACGAGCAGGTGATTTTATAAAACACATTGAAGTGGTCCAAAGTGGCAGTTTATCCTTCTCACATGCATTAATCATTTGTTGGCTGTAGAAATTTAACCGTAGGTTAGCCGCAAAGAAGGATTTCCTCAGTGATTTGCATAAGCGATTCTTCAGTATGTCAGCTGTGGTATTACCCTTACGTTCAACGTTCATAAATAGCAGTTTCTTCGGCACTGTTCGGGTTCTTTCAGGCTTTTGTCTTAACTTCATGTTCTTCTCGATAAATCTCGGAGGATATCCATTCTCTATGAGGACTTGTGTGAGTCAATCCAGTTCCCCATCGACTGTATCACTGAAGCATACCCTACTTATTCTTGGAGATAAGGGGTGGATCAGGTTTCTCTTTCTTCTCAAAGGGACCTAACTATGAAAATTCGTGTACTGACCATTCCATGTTGGTTTCCTGTAGATCGATCTTTGAAGAGAACCATCAGATCTCCTTCTTAGAAAAACATCCAAAAAATGGAATTCCGAGTTCATCTCTTATTCCGACGTGAAGTGGATAGCATGATGGCAGTTGTTGAACTCTTTAGTTGTCAATTCGATGTTGGTATTGTCGTCACATATGATGAACGTATCATCCATATATCTTTGGAACAAATAGGAACTATCGATAGTAGGCAAATACTCAATTACAATAGCAACAATCTGATAACACACAAAAGGAATTGTATACAAACACTTTTCAAGAGGACCAGGACTCATCGCAGCACTGCCACCAGAAGGAAAGTGTCTCATGGACGTCTTCCGCTAGAATGGATATCCACCGAATTTCACCAAAAGACATCTGCCTCCAAGCCAACCTACCGAATCAAAGCCCCCCCCCCTACAAAAAAAACGCAAAGAAAATCACCTTAACATTTGTAAAAGGCATCTCAGATATCACTGCACGACTGTTCAAACCTTTAGGAATTGACGTCGAAGACAAATCAACAAAATCACTTCACTCAGCTGGCTGACTAGCTAGCTAGCTCTATGTCAACCAAAAGACTCAACAACGAAAGAATATGAAACCAACATCATCTACAAAATAAATTGTAACAACTGCGAAAAACACTAACTAAATTTGGCCAAAGTGGATATCCGCTTCATCTTCGTATCCATGAACATAAACTAGCCGTCAAAAGACATGACATCCACTCCCTCGCTCATATCGCCTCACTGCATACAGATAACCACGGACATCAATTCCACTGGGACAATCAGCGTTCAAATATTAGACAAAGGAAACACCAAGAACGCCAGAGAAGTTTTAGAAGCCTGGTCTGGTAATCCACTGAATCGTCAATCAATAGACACATCGACATAAACGAAATTTACCACTTAAAGGGTAAAACTCCAGGTCAAGGTAACAATCAGTACCAATACGAGTTATCCAGCCCCCTCGACGAGCAATATTAGCGGATATAGGGTCAGGCTGGAAAAAAGCTAGCGGCGGTCAAACAAAAACATGAATTCACCAGTCAATGAAATCCACAACAGTTGGTCTAAGCCACGTAGGAAGGTGTAGACTTCCAGGCTGGGGTCCTCGGGACGGTAAAAACAAGTGGTTGGAAACAATTGGTGACATGGCTCAAAATCGTTCTCAGTGGGCTGGCGTAGATGCATCCACTCCTTGTGACTTATGATCTCCAATGAAACTGTTTTGTTTTTCTTTATTACTCCTTTGTCTCACACCTCTGCTCACTGTCGCTATTATGCTTTTCTTGTACTTTCTTCTCTTGATTCGCGTGCTACACGGAATGTGGCGACTTGAACTTCCGCACATTTGTGCAAAGTTCTATGTCGAAAACAGACAGACAGACCAATACGAGTATCCTAGAAGGTGTGAAAACACACAAAAACAACCAATCACGACGTTCAAGGTGACCCACCGGGAGAGATAACTAGTAAACTTGTGGAGACATCTAGAAGCTCACTTCAATTCAAATTGAAGTACGGGCGCTGAAGATGTTGCCTAGTAGGAGGCAATGAAAGCTTCGTAAATTAATTATCCAGCTCAGAGAAAACAACCATATATATATATATATTCACGAATGTACAGCGAAGTTGATGACGTTGTCGAAAAGAAAGAAAAAAAAAGTGTCTTCATTGCAACTGTCTTGTTGTTTTTCCTATAAATAACCTTTTACACATTTTTCTTTTCATTGGTCATTCGCATCATTAATAAATAAATTACTCAGGATGAAATACTGTCTCAACTGGCAAATTCAAATCATAAGGATGCCTATTTCACGGAGAATATAAATGAAGAGGATTCAGTTGATCATGGGATTATGAATACAGGCGAGCTGATGTCATCGGTTATCGACGAGGAGTGTATACCACCACCACCACCAGCAGCAGCAGCAGCAGTTCTGGATGATTCTGTTGATGAAGATATCCCACTTCCAAATGTAAAAGACGTAGAATTAAGTAAGTCAGATACATATATTGTGGAATGATCTTAAAGTGTGTGTGTGTGTGTGTGTGTGTGTGTGTGTGTGTGTGTGTGCGAGAATGTGTGCAAGCAGTTGCGTTGTACAACCTGAGAACTCTTATTATTATTATTGTTTCCTTGGATTCTGAGTGAAACATAGGGCTGGTTTCAACAACATATCTCCACTTTGTTCTGTTTTCTGCCGTCCTCTCCAGCTGGGCCTACGATTGCCCGTAATCTCTCAATATCCTACCCGCTCCAAGGCCTGCATTGCTTACTATGTCATTCGATGGTTTCCTCAACGTGCGCCTGACTCATCTCCACTTTCTCCTACATATTTGTTGAGTGATCGGCTCTTGGCTGTTGGTTTGTTCCCAGCCAGAATTTCTTGTCGTTAATTTTTTTTCTAGCCAGCCATCTGATCTTCAGTATGTGACCAGCCGGTAAAGTGATAAAAATCTGCAGCTAGCTGTTGGAAATTATTTTTCATGACACGCTGGCCAAGTTTCTGACCCAAGAAGTAGAAGAACTGACTGACTGATTTGAGACTGATTTTGATGTGGTTGTGTTCTCTGAGCTAGATAATTAATTTGTAAAGCTTTCATTGTCCTCCTTCTAGGCGACATCTTCAGCGCCCATACTTCAATTTGAAGTCTTATTTTAAATTTCTCCCAGAAGTTTATCAGTCATCTCTCCTGGTGGATTACCTTGAACGTCGTGATTGGTTGTTTTTGTGTGTTTTCACACCTTCTAGGATACTCGTATTGGTACTGATTGTTTCCTTGACCTGGAGTATTTGAACGCTGGTTGTCCCAGTGGAATTGATGTCCGTGGTTATCTGTATGCAGTGAGGCGATATGAGCGAGGGAGTTGATGTCATGTCTTTTGAAGGCTAGTTTATGTTCATGGATACGAAGATGAAGGGGATATCCACTTTGGCCAAATTTAGTTAGGGTTTTTCGCAGTTGTTACAATTTATTTTGTAGATGATGTTGGTTTCATATTCTTTCGTTGTTGAGTCTTTTGGTTGACATAGAGACAGCCAGCTGAGTGAAGTGATTTTGTTGGTTTGTATGTAACGTCTCTAACTTGTTTGAAATCCTTTTGCTGACACACTGGTCAAGTTTCTGACTCATATTAAAGAATTGACTAATCGACTTACTTAAAACTGGTTTTGAAAATTTGAGTCTTGTTGCTTATATTGATTTAGTGCTGAAGATTTCCAAACTGGTTTCAGGTAGATGAAAGCATATCTGGTATTTCTCAATTCTGGCTAGTTTTAAAATTTTCATCCGTTTCACTGACGACCTGTTGTTGAAACTGTGCTTCCTCTCCAGATAAGTGAAGAAAAGTAACCTCTTTCAAGTTTCTCGCATTAATAGTGATTGGTGCTGGTTGTTGTTGTTGTTGCTATTGCTGTTGGTTGGTTGGTGGTTTTCATCACCTCCGCGTCTTCTTTTGTTTTTTCAAGCGCTGATTTCCTCTCATGAATGCAACTTAAAAATATCTAGCTGAATCATATAAAAAAAAGACGTTCAGCGAAGAGTTACTCCGCTTTTCAGCGATATCATTCTCGAACTGTGTATTATATATATATATATATATATATATATATATATATATATATATATATCAGTTAGAGAACCATCGGATTCCACTGCTAGTCACCATTCACCAATTAAACTTTGAAGTTAGTTTGTGGGGTAGTATCTCTTGGTGTCTAGATTCAATCAGGTGTTCCGGGATGTAGGTGAGGGTAGGGGTAGATTATTCTTCTTCTTCTTTATGAAACCATGAGGGTAAGTGTTCGATGATACATTTGGATAGCAAGCACTGGTTACAGTCGACATAATAAATGTTCAATTGAAGCAAATTAATGATAAAACGATCGATTCTAACGACAAGTGTACCTACAGCATCGTCACTCTTTATGCTTACTTATATTGATTAAGAGTGATGTTATTTATTTTGATTAATGAATGGCTAGCAGTGAAGTTCAGGATGTGCATTTTGTCCAGTTTTATGACTCATTATCTGAGTGTAACTGTTTGAGTGTGATGAGTGGTGTTGTCACTGTGACTTGAACTGCTCAAATCCCAAAGAGTTATCCGCCAGGTCATGAGAACTACGTCTTGTGCAATGAATATGAGTTGTGTTATTTGTTTGACTTAATTTGTATTTCCAGTTGACAGATTATTTCAGACCGGAATGTTCAATCTCATTCTCTCTTTTGATGACATATTGGCTCTTTTCCAGTGTGAACTTAAATGAAACTGACTGGGTTTCACTGTAAAACTTTGCACAGAAGCGTGTACCTGTTTAAGAGGCTATCCTCTTATATATATTATTTTTTATAATCGATTGAGTTAGACGAATGATTGAACCCTAAAATTTATCAGTTTATTTGTAATAAGCAAAGGTGTATTTTAATAGCTTCATTACTCCTTAGTACGTCGAAAGGGAGGGTTCATCGGTGGCCCGGGTTCGATTCCCGGCTGGCACATTCCCAAACATCGCTTAGTCTAGTATATGTGAGTAGGCCTGGTAAAGAGGGAAGATTTAGCGTGGGATTAATAAGCTCACCCCGTAAATGACAAAATCACCGCTACTGAAACTTGAGATCTGAAGCTTGAAGTTGGTATATTCCGCTTGGAACGCGAACGAATAAAAAATGACCACTCTTAATTATTACCATCATTGTTTGCTTTAGTTCCAAGAGGAACATATGGAGTCAACCTCACGTCTCCATTGCGTTCGATTCCCTGCCAACCTTTTCACTTGGCTCTACAGTTTGCCTACATGCTTTCACCTCCTCTTCATATGACGTCCTCCTCCATGTCATCTTCGCGATGACGACCAACTCACCGCTTCTGATTCGGGTTCCTCTTGAGCGATGACTTGCCTTGTGATGTCACTTGATGGATTATTTTCTCAGAGTATGGCCAATCCACTTCCATTTTTTCCTGCATATTTGTTGCACAATTGTTTCCTGCTGGGTTGGTTCGCTCCCAGAGATCCCTCACTATTGCTGATCTTTTCTGGCCGCCCATCTGATCTTGAGTAGTATTGAACGAAAACAGCTGTTGATGAAGGTGTGTATTTCGTTTGAAGTGCCCTTCATGAAGCAGCGCTGTGCGGCGCCATGTCTCTGATCCGTATAGAGTAGCACTGACTTCACATTAGAGTCCAAAACCCGGATCTTATTTTTCATGCTGAGGGGTGCTTTTGACCTCCACACAGACTTGAGAGTAATGAAAGCTTGCCTTGCTTTCCCGATGATCCTCACCTTGATATCCTCTTCAGCTGTTTTTCGACCACTACTTAGACTTTGAATCTTTTTAGTATATTCAACAACGATGTTTCAAGTAGACTGATGATACGTTATCATATGTGTTGTACTTTGATTCTTGATTAGTCTCTTTTCACATCACCTTTTTTGCGATTTTGCCTTTCTTTGTAAAAGGTAAACACGACACTATTACACCAGATGAAGACTATTCAAGCCTGAAAGAGACTTCTATATCAACTGAACAACAGTCTACACAACCTATTGATTTAGGACCTGGTGAACGACTTATTCTCCCAGATATTCGTCGTTGCCGTATCCGTTCAGGTTCATTAGCACTTGATACACCGAAATCAATTACCTCAAAATTACATACACCCTTACAACATTCCTCATCATTTGAAGAGAAACATGCAACTGGGGGTAATGGTACTACTACTAATACTACTGACGATGATGCAAGTATACAGTTACGTCAAAGATTATTAGAGTAAGTCTGATTCTATGCCTGTTATTCTACTATTATTATTCCTACTAACATTGTAATTACATGTGTTCGTCGATAAAGAGATGTCTAAAGCACTAATTAATAAAATAATAATAATAACAGCTCTATTCCAAACAGTATCTGTGGTACAGGTATGGAAATTTCAGCGTGCATTACAGTATATTGCATCTAATTACCTCATAAATTATATAAGATTTTTAAAATCAAGAGATAAATAAATAAATAAAAATAAAATAAATAATAAATAAGTAAATAAAATAAATAAAAATGTCTGTCTCTGTCTGTCTGGATTCAACATAGAACTTGGCACCCAAGTGCACCAGTTCGAGTTGCCACGTTCCAAATACCACACAGAGGTAGACAAGAAGATGAGTGAAGAGAATCAATAGAGTTTGACAAGTATAAGAGTGAAACAGAATGGGTAATGGTAGAAAGGAATATGAAAGATTACAGAGACTGAATATATCTGCGCTGGCCATTGACAACGATTTTGAGCCATGTCACCTATTGTCTCCAGCCATTGATTCCTAGAGTCCCGAGGGCGCCAACCCGGAAGTCTGAATCTCCCTCCCTACCTGACTCAGTTTAACTGTCAAGGATTTCATGGATTGATGAGGCCATGTTTTTGTTTGGCCACCACTGGCTCTTTTCCAACCTGCACCTATATCAGCTATCAATGCCCGTCGGGGGAGGCGATGGTTAGGCATGCGCACCACGTGACCTAGCCATCTTAGTCCATGTAACTTTATAGCCTCGTCGATTGATTTTCCCTCTTTGCCCAACACTCTACGCCTTATGTCAACATTACTTACCTTATTAAACCACCTAACGTGAGACAGAGATCGCAGACATCTATGATCGAAAGCAGTCAACCTTTTCATGTCTTCAACTCGTATTGGCCATGTTTCAGAGCCATAGAGAAGGACGGAGCGAACTGATGAGCAGTACACACGTCCCTTGGTTGATAACCGGATGTCACGCCTACGCCTACACCAGAGCTTTTAAGCAGCTCGAGCTAAAAGAACAGCGTTGCGTTTACATTTTAAACAATGCACCACAGGATATGAAATATAAAATTAGTGTGTAATAGAAGATGTGAACGACAGTGTAATAGTAACGAGGAAAGGAAAACAAAAACTAATGGGACTATTTTCGGTAGAGTGCCGCAGTAAGTTGATTGTGTCATACCTAACGGATTTCTCATCACATAACAGCTGTGCCAGATATGGTGTTGTGGAGTTTTTGTACTTGGTAGTCCTAGCATACAGCCTCCTATAGCTGCTTCTAGTTCTACCAGATGAAATGCAAGGAGAGAGCTGCACATAGAGAGGATGCTCGGGGTCTGACAATATTGTATTCGCTAGTTTCTTACATGACGTTATATGTTTATCCACAATAGTGTTAACCAGTTGGTTTAACGATATCCCACTTGCCCTACTAACGGCTTTTAGTGCCCTTCTCAGCGAAGCAAAGTCTTTCTTAAGTAATCCAGGAAAGATTAATGGGGAGCAGTAAAAGGGGATGGGTAGGATGGAAGAATTTACAAACTGAGAAAGCAAAGACTGCTCTATGCCAGACTGCCTAAATTTCCCAATGTAGAACGTTAAGCGAAACATCTTTCTAGTAATTAGCAAGATGTGGGAGGACCAGGAAAGATCGGTGGAAAAACTCAGTCCAAGGTACTTGACATAAGATGTATTTTCAACCTCTGTGCCGTCAATGAGAGTGGGGCCATGTGAGCTAACTAGTTGCTGTAGGTCACGTTTACGTCTGAAAGTGAAATTGACTACCTGACATTTAGACGGATTAAGCTTAAGTCCGTTTGAAGAGGACCACAGACTAATTTCCGATAGAAAGTTATTTACCTTCCTTGATGAGGCGGTCTGGTTAAATTACTAGGTTGCCAGAATTTCTATTTCGTTGACATAGAATACGCAGATGATATAGTCCTCCTTGCTAAATGAAGACGCTGAAAAAAAACAGCAGAGTCTTCTAAACACTTTGAGTTGGGATCTTCGAAAGTTTTGCATTCAATTCGCTCCCACCAAGTGTAAGATGATGCTGCAGGACTGATCTGAAACGACTCTTAGCTTAATGAATGAGGAGTGAACGGGTTAACGGGGCGTGTTGACCACCTCATTTATTTTGGGGACCTGCACCAGCCAACCCCAGAGGGTTGAGTGCTGATGAAATCTAAGGACGGATACAGAAGGCTAGTTTCGCATATGCCACTTTACGCCGTTTCTGGAGTACACTTGTTATCCGGCTGGCTGTCAACCAAAGGGCGTGTGTACTGTTCAGCAGTCCGCTGCGTCCTCCTTTATGGCTGTGAGAGGGGCCTGGTCATTGAGAGTGGGAGACATAAAAGTCTGGCTAGCTGTCTTTGATCATAGGTGCCTGCGTTCCATCTCCTGTGTTCAGTGGTAAGTGTAATAGGGTGGGTGAGCAATATTGAGGTTAGGCGTCAAGTTCTAGATAAGGAGGGGAAATCAATAGATGAGGTAGTGAAGTTACGTTGATTGAGATGTTTACGACATGTGTTACACATGATTATCCATCGCTTTCCTCGACCGATGGTCATCGTTAGCTGACACGGCATCCGTCAGGTTGGAAAAGAGCCAGTGGTGGTCAAACCGAAACCTACACGGCTTCATCAGTCAATGAAATCTACAACATTTAATTTAAACCAGTCACGTAGGGAGATGTAGATTTCCAAGTTGGGGTCCCCGTGACGGTAAGCACCATTGTCCATCGGTCAAAAAAGGCGTGCATGGCTATGCATGCATCCGTAACACACGTCCTAACCATCTCAATAGATTCACTTTCACAACCTTGTCGATTGATTTACCCTCCATACCTATCACTCGGCGGATGTCTAACCACCTCAATATTACTTACCCTATTACACCTATCACCAAACTTGGGAGAGAGAACGCAGACACCTATGATCGAAGACCAGTAGACAGGCCTGTCATGTCTTCCGAATTCAACGACTATGTCTCTCTCACACCCATAAAGGGGGAACGGAGCGGGCTGGTGCTGAGCAGTACATATATCCTTTGATCGATAGCCAGTCGGAAATCACGTCTACTAAGTCAGAGATAGCGTCAGTTGGCATATGCCGAACGAGTCTTCTGTATCCGTGCTGAGATTTTGTCAACAATCAACCCGTTGGGGCTGGTTGATGTAACTTCCTCAACAAGTGAAGTGGTCAGCACAGTCAGCCACCACTTTACTCTTCCCTATCTTTAACTTAGGAGTCGATTTAGCACATATTAATATAAATTTTCAGAAGTACAATCAGTCACCGTGACAACGAGAGATGATGATAACCAAGATATATATTTGAAACTGGTGAAGGACGACTCAGGACTCTGCAAGAGCTGGCGAGGAGTCATGCTCCTGCCACCGCCAAGTAAAATTCTGAGTCGCATCATCCTGGAGAGAATAAGGGACGCACTGGATACAGAACTCCGACCAGAACAAGCTGGATTCAGGAAAGTCAGGGAAATCATGTTCTGACCAAATTGCAACTCTACGCATCATCATCAACACAGAACAAAGCATGGGATGGCAATCACACCTCTACCTCAACTTTATAGACTTCGAGAAGGCCTTTGACATACAGCGTTGACTGCGAAGTAATTTAGAAACTACTCGAGCACTACGGCGTACAGTGCCCCAAATATTCATCAACCTTATTCAACAGCTGTACGACAACAACGGAACATGTCAAGTGATCCACAACGGAAAACTCAGCGAGGCGTTTGGAGTAAACACAGGAGTCAGATAAGGGTGTTTATTATCTTTCACCAATGATATTCCTAATTGTGGTGGACTGGATTATGCGTCAGACAGTGGGAAACGAGAAACGGGACAGGGATATCCTGGACCGACGTGAAGGACCTAGAAGACCTGGATTTCGCGCGTGGATGATTTATGTTTGATGTTACACAAAATCGAAGACTTACAAGCGAAAACCAACAAACTGGTCGAAGAAGCAGAAAGTGAAGACAGGACTCCAGGTGGACATAGACAAGACGGAGGTTATGAAAATGACCAACCAACCAACCAACAACTACAACAACAGCTACATCCAGCGCCAATCACCATCGGTGGGAGGGATTTGAAAGAGGTTACTTCATTCACTCACTTATCTAGGGAGCATTGTCTCAAAAAAATATTTCCAACAGCCTGTTGCAAACCTTCATCAACAACTGTCTTCGCTTCATACTGAAGATCAGATGGCCGGGTCAGAAAGAATCACCAACAAGAAACTATTGGAACAAACAAAACAAAACAAGAACCAATCGCCAGCCAATAAATATGCAGGAGAAAGTGGAGATGGATGGATTGGGCACTCCCTCGCTGAGGAGACCACTGGGTGACATCGCGCGTGTTTCAGGCCATTGCTCGAGTGGAACCAGGCTGAAAGGGAAGCACGCGGCGAGTGGGACGTGTCCAAGGGTGAGTGACATGGAGGAGATCGTGTGAAGAGGAGTTGAAATAGTATGGACTAACATGGATGCAGGTGAAAAGCACCACAGAAGACAGAAGCAAGTGGAGACGGGCAGTTGAAGCCCTATGTTCCACTAGGAATCCAAGGGAACAACAATCATAATAATATTATTATTCTAATAATCAGAGGTGTATTTTACCGGTTTGATGACGCTTTAAACATTAAATTTTTAAAAAGCAAATCAATTGTATACACCCTAGTCTTGTAAAGATATGGCTTATTCACTTTCACCTTAGTGGGTCATGGGTTCAATTCTTGCTCTGTCTACTTCAACCTGGGTCAGTGGATAATATCATCAGCACACACACATACACACACACACACCATAGACGTGTTGCTTTTAATCTGGAGTATGAAACATCTGTTTCGGGCTAAGTCCAAATACACACAGACAAGCACACACAAACAGGAACATAAGGGTCTAAGCGTGTTATTTCTTTGTACTAGTTCACAACAAAGAGATTTTCTTTTGTGAGTTCAATACTGTTTCAATATTTAATGGGATCAGCTCTCCCTTCTCTAGATCTTTTATTGTAGGTTAGACTTTCTTATCTGACCTTTGATCGTTTTTTTTTGTTGTTGGTGTATTGTGAATTTAATGAGTTTCTTCTTTGTTTCTCATCGGGTTGAACTTTTTTTTAATGTGTGTTACTTTCAGTTGACCTTTAAATTTGTTATTCTCGAAAAAATTGTTCCTTTCTGTTATTTGATTAGGCCATTTCAGACGTGCATAAAATAATGAAATAGAATCACGAAAAATACCCATTTATTCATAAGTAAAAACACAGTGTGTTTTCAAGTATTGGTTTTGTAGGGATTTTGTTTGATTGCATGAAGGATTTAATCATGAGCTGACATCAGTTAGAAAACCATTGGAAAACCTGGGAGTACTGGACAGCTCTTTCGTCCTAGTTTAGGACTCCTCATCAGTACGCACCCACCAGGATTCGAATCCAGGACATTCCGGTTACAAGGTGAGCTCGTAGACCATTGAGCCACTGGGACCCGATCCATTGGACAGTCCATGAGTTCGAACTTCTGCCAATTCACGACATAGTGCGACCATTTCGCAATTGGGAGAAGTTAGAATTCAAGAACCATTGGTTCGGGTCCCAGTGGCTCAATGGTCAAAGAGCTCGCCTTGTAACCAGAAGGTCCTGGGTTCGAATCCCGGTGGGTGCGTACTGCTGAGGAGTCACAATTTAGGACGACACAGCTGTCCAATACTCCTAGGTTTTCCAGTGGTTCTATAACAGCTTTTTTTTGTTCAGCGAAGAAATATCTTTTCAACGGCTTCATTTTCAAGCTGTATTACAGAAAAAGCTTATTAAGTGGCACTAAATAATTACTCATGGGAAGCGATCTCGTCCAGGATAATGACCGCTAGATTCAACTCCAAAGGAAGGAAAGTGTCAATCACACAATGTTATGCTCCCACAAACAACACAGACCTCGCAAAGAAGAATTCTACAGGCAACAATGGACAATACTCCAGCTGGCGACATGAAAATACTTATGGGAGATTTGAACGCCAAACTGGGACCAGACAACACAGGAAGGGAACTCATCATGGGTAGAGAAGCTCTTGGAGAAATGAATGAAAATGGAGAACTACCAAACAACTAGGCACCTATCGGGCAAACGTTCGACACAGATTAAGCCAATAAAGGACGACAATGGAAAGTCAATCACCAAAGAGGTGGAACAAAGAAAACACTGGGCTGAACACTTCAAAAGACTTCTAAATCGTCAGCCACCTACAACACGCATAACAATACCAACAACGGAAGCAGAACTACCAGTGAACATTGACCCCCCGACGAAATCAGAAGTCCTGAATGCAATCAAGATGCTAAAAGCTGGGAAAGCACCAGGACCAGATGGAATCCCAGCAGAAGCTTTGAAAATAGACCCAGAGACAACAGTGGACTTGATGACGCCACTGCTGGAGAAGGTGTGGAAAGTGGGCAAAGTACCCAAGGATTGGAAGAACGGATACTTATTCAAACTACCAAAAAAAGGAGACTTAAGTCAATGCAAAAACTGGCGTGGAATTATGCTTCTGTCCATTCCAAGCAAGATACTAAGTCGCATCATCCTGGAGAGAATCAAACAAGCCAACCTGGATGAAAAACTTCGACCGGAACAAGACGGATTCAGGAGAAACAAATCATGTATTGATCAAATCGCCACTCTACGGATCATCATTGAACGAAGCTTGGAATGGCAGTCACCTCTCTATCTCAACTTCATCGACTTTGAGAAGGCCTTCGACAGCGTCGATCTAGAGGTCATTTAGCAACTACTTCGCTACTACGGGGTGCCATCGACAATTATACATCTCATCCAACAGTTATACGACAATGCTGCATGCCAAGTAATCCACAACGGGAAACTTACGGAAGCCTTTGAAGTGAGGAAAGGATTGAGACAAGGCTGTCTACTATCGCCAATGATCTTCCTGATTGCAATTGACTGGATAATGCGACAGACAACGGCAACCAAAGAGGGAACAGGCATAAAATGGACTCACACAAAAATCCTTGAGGATCTGGACTTCGTCGATGCTATATGTCTGATTTCCCACAAACTGGAAGATATGCAAGTGAAAAGAAACAAGTTGCCCATAGAAGAAACATCAAAGATAGGACTTTAGGTGAACATAGATAAAACAGAGGTGATGAAGATTCCTGGCCAACACCAACAGCCACAGCAACAACAACAACAGACAACAATCAGCCAGCATAAATGGGAGGAACCTGAAAGAAACAGCTTCCTTCACCTACCTGGGAAGCATTGTTTCAACTACAGGAGGAACTGACGAGGATATCAAAGCAAGAGTCGGAAAAGTAAGACAAGCTTTCAATACTCTCAAATCTGTGTGCAGGTCAACAACACTCACCATCAAAAATAACATCCAGATTTTCAACTCCAATGTGAAGTCAGTCAGTGCTACTTACTGTACGGATCAGAGACTTGCACTGCGCGTCATAAATAGCATCTCCAACAAACTTCAGACCTTCATTAACAGCTGTCTTCGCTCAATACCCAAGATCACATGACCCGCCAGTACAGATCAGCAACAGGGATCTCTGGCAGTTAGCGAACCAATCAGGAACCGATTGTGAAATAAATAAGCAGGAAGAAATGGAGATGGATTGGCCATACTCTGAGAAAACCATCAAGTGACATCACTAGACAAGCCCTCGAGTGGGACCCGAATGGGAAGCGGCGAGTTGGTCGTCAGTGTGACGGTGACATGGAGGAGGTCATGTGAAGAGGAGATAAAAGCATGTGGGTAGACTTGGAGCGGGTTGAAAACGTTGACGGAAAACCGAAGGCAATGGAGACGTGTAGCTGAAGCCCTATGTTCCTCTAGGAATTAAAGGATACAATAATAATAAATAATTGCTCAGTCAATATACGTATATGTATAAGTGATAAGAATAACGATAATTAGAATGTTATAAGGGGTACAGTTGAAGTGGATGGATTACAAAATTATTAAAGATTGTTTTATAAGTGAATTCATATCAAAAATATTTTTTTTAATGTCAAGCGTTGTCTAAAAACTTTAAAATTAGGGGTACCATTACGATAAGAATAAAGATGTGAAGTGAAATGGAATGAATTCAAGTGGTAAAATAAAATAAAAACTAGAAAGAACATTACTATGATCATATGTGAAGAGGAATCCCAAGACAGAATTGTCATCTTGGATGTCCTCCTCCTTACAAGAAAACCAGATGGTAGCATGAAAAGAAATTTGCATAGAAAAAGTACTTGAACAGAACAATAAACACACATTTTCACTGCTTCGTTCCCATCAAGTACAAGTAGACAAACGCAGTCTTCTGATTGGGTGTTTCTCGGAAGTTAAGCAGACAAACGTAGGTTTCTGATTGGTTGTTTCGGGTAACCTCGGAAAATGGAGCCAACTATCTGCGAATCATATTTTCCCACGTTAAGTCTGCTGTGATTGGGTGTTGAATCAGCCTTGTTCATATTTTCTCATGGTCAATATTAGTGACCTAGATATTGACGTAGATTAATGTCTACCAATTGGCTAGCAGCTTGCTAGCTAGTGGTAAGACGGTGATAATGGTGTTCACAAACAAGATTGTCAGTTGAATATTGCCGAACAAAAAGCAACCACAAAACTAATATTACATGATGGTTAATGACAGGACAATTTTTTTAATACTCATAGTGATAACATAGTCGGGACTGGTAGATACACAAAAGAAGGGATAGAGTAAACTACCTAAAAATTAAGCCAATGTTTATAATTTTAGGTAGCTAAGTATGTTTAAGAAGGTTGTTCACTATAGAATACAACAACAAAGCAAGTCATAGGTTTCGCGCTTAACATTGTCTCTGTCACTTAGAACACGGGTATCGTTGAGTTTCTATACTTGATTGTACGAGCATATATATTATTTTGTACTGATTTCTGGTTCTACCTGATTAGATGCAAGGAGACAGAGTTGGGAATAGAGGAAGGTGCTGGGGGTCAGAGATTATGGTTTTAGACCATTTTTCGCATGTAGTATTCAGATGCTTATCTACTAATGTAGTGATGAGCTGACTGAGTTTTACACCACTAGTCCTACTAACTAACTATCTTCAACATTTTGACTTTTCAAAGGTATCTGCGTATATTCCACTTACAAATGACAAATTTGATGGATATTAAGCCTGAATGATTCGTGTTGTTTTTGTTTTCCCACCTTTCAGAGATGAATTAGAAATGATCGATAGACGCATAAATCGTCTTCGATTCAGTTCTCTATGGGAGAAGAGTAGTGATCAAGGCGATCAACAACAAATCGATTCATTGAAGTCTACAGATGAAAATATAACTGAGAGGAATAAATCTAGAGGGAATAATATTATTACTATTGCTACTCCAAGAAATGTTTATCCAATTGAAGGTTGTTTAAATTATGAAAAGACATTGGATAGTGTACGGAGTACTTCAGATGTTTCGTCAGATGCAGACAGTAAATTGTCCACTAGGCGGCTACGACGACCACAAGAACAAAAACAGCAACAACCGGCTTTACCTCCATCCTCTTCATTACTAAAATCTACAAATATAATGAAAATTAATGTAAGTTTTAGTCATATAGTTAAGTTTTTCTTTCGATATTAGTGTTGTAATGTTTTGTTGGGTTGGAGAGAAGAGGGCAAAGCGATAAACTTTAAGCCCCACTAACGAACTACCAATCAGCGAATGACCTCGAACGCACCAGTCACATGAAGCAAGCATTTTTTGTCTATGGAATACATATATCTATGAAAACAGAAATGCATAAAAACTGTAGAAAAGTGTTACATAGCATACCTTCCTCTCACACGCTTATGATCCTAAAATCCTATAGTAAACACAGCATAAGCTGTATAGACGATATGAGCGTGGGTTAAATGGTTCTTATGGTTCGCTTATATGACTGTGTATGATTTTCTATAGTCTTTGACGGACGTATAGAAGCTATTTGCATGCTAAATTGATTGGCAAGGATAACGATTTCATTGAATTTGGTGGCTGCTGGCTTCGTTTATAGGGGCCTATTGTCACTATAGCGTCGCTATGCGTGCTACTTTTGCATATAATAATACGTTTGGCTAGTCTTGTATGCTAGATGAATTCTATTGAGCTTGTCTATGGAGTGCATAATTGATTGACGCGATCAATGATCGGCGTAACAGTGCTTACCTATGCATTCCTACGTATACAAACGGTGCGAATGGTCCACCGAGAGAGAGGGCTCTCGAGTGGTTGAGCCATAGGCTGATCCTGCATGCCGGCCTCGCCTCGCAAGGGGCAGGGATGGGTGTGTTTCGGTTCTCCTGAAAACCAATACCCAGTCAATGGGTGTATTACTGTGTGAATAAACTGGTTGGTCCTGCCAGTAGTCATATGCTTGTCTCAGAGATTAAGCCATGCATGTCTAAGTACATACCTTAAAACGGTGAAACCGTGAATGGCTCATTAAATCAGCTATGGTTCCTTAGATCATATATACTACATTGATAACTGTAGTAATTCTATAGCTAATACATGCAATTATACCCTGACCCGCAAGGGAATGGGTGCATTTATTAGAACAGAACCAACCGGGGCAGTTTCGGCTGTCTCTGTCGAATTCTGTGATGACTCTGGATAACTTCAATGATCGCAGTCGACCTTGTATCGGCGACGGATCTTTCATATGTCTGCGATAAAAATAGCTCTTAGTTTTAGGTTGGAGTATCAACACAGTATAATTCCATTATGGGTAAAATTTATTCTGATAAAGTTGTACAGTAATATTTCCTGAGCAATATATTGTACTCGAAACGTTGTCATCAGTAAATATTACTGTATAACGCTGTGAGACTTTATCAAAATATATTTTATCCACAATGGAATTATTCTCTGCCGCCACAGTGCACAAGTTCTATTCTTATATCAACAGAGTAATTTAACCACATTCTATCCATGTAATGATTTAGGTCTTCTAACCCTAACAATAACCCTAATCTTTCCTGAACCTAACCCTGACATGAAAATATCCCTAAACTAACTGTAATCTTACTTGAACCCACTCTAGTGTCGCCTTTATTAGGCGACTTGTCCTTAGCCTTAAGCGGCGTACCTTAATCTTTCTCAAACCTAATCTGAGACTTGCCAGATATCCCGTTTAACAGGATAACACTTCGATAAACATAGTATTTTTTGATGATGAAAACGTTATTTGCCGGGTTCCACTAGCTTGATCAGAGAACGTTTCACGGTTATTGGTGCGGCCGTACTCCATTGGTGGTAGTGAGTGGTGCTTAAAGTTTAACTTGATCGAGGAGAACTCGGAAAAAGGTGATCAAACCAAAACCGGACATCAATGTAATGAAATCTATGACAGTTTGTTGTTACCTAGTTACCTAGAGAGAGTGCCAGCTAACACGAAACCTAGGTCATCCAAGGCTTCCTGCCGATTCCCTCCAACCCATCTAATATCGACAACTCGAAGCGCACCGTGATGGTAAGCCACGTAGAATAGCGGCCACACTACAAACTTGACTGACGATAGAATTCAGCCTTCACCAACACCAAGGACTAGACACATCACACACCAGTCACTGACTAGCGTTCAATCAAAGTATCTACTACATTCCTACGGGGGATCAGTCCAGACAGCATGAATTGCTCAGTGGTAACATCTCTCACTGCAGCACAGGGTGACGCCAGTTCGAATCTCAGGAGGCGGGACATTAGTTGTTCCTTCAAGGTGATTGGAGATACGCCTTGCTAACTGATTGGTGAGTGCCAACTAGCACTAAATCTAGGTCAAGCAAGGCTTCTTTCCGACTGCCTCCAACTATCTAATATCAATAATTCAATGTGCACCGTGATGGCGAGACACCTAGCATCATGGTGGCCACATTGCGAACCTGACTGACAGAATTCAGTCTGCACTAAATGACGGAGTAGACACATCATACTAGTTACTAGTGTCCAATCAGAGGTATAAACTGCTTGATTGGCTAAGGTTCTAAGAACCATTGTCTTGAGATTATTTGTAATTTCATTCAAAATTGTTCTCAGGTGCATTCACTCTTCGTCATCTCCGAGTTGAAGACATGAAAAGGTTCATTGTTTTTGGTCATAGATGTCTACGATCTCTTTCTCACGTTAGGTGGTATAATAAGGTAAGTAACGTTGGCTGGATAGGTGACATGGCTCAAAATCGTTGTCAATGGCTCAGATGTATTCAGTCTCTGTAATCTTTCGCATTTGCTTCTACCATTACCCATTCTGTTTCACTCTTATACTTGTCAAACTATTGATTCTCTTCACTCATCTTCTTGTCTACCTTTGTGTGGTATTTGGAACGTGGCAACTCGAACTGGTGCACTTCGGTGCCAAGTTCTATGTTGAATCCAGACAGACAGACATCTCTGATATCCATTTCTTCATTGATTCCTTCTTGCATACATTCGTGTTCATCACAGTTTTTTTTAAATGTACATGGAGTGAGGCATGTTGGACTGTTGCACTTTTATGCAAGTCAATCATATACTATGTGTAGTTGTTATCGTTACCTCTGGGCTAAAGATAATATAGAGGAGAATAAGATGACGGTTTCTACCAAAATGACTCCTCAGCGCTAATTTCTGTTCATTGAAGCCTATATTCACTTTCCTATATATACATAATTAAAGTAATTAGACGGGCAATGTTAGCTGATATAGGGTCAGGTTGCAAAAGAGCTAGCGTCGGTCAAACCAAAACATGGCACCAGTCAATGAAATCCACAACACTTAGTTTAAGCCAAGTAGGAAGGTGTAGACTTCCTGGTTGGGGTCCCCGGGACGGTAAAAACCAATGGTTGGAAACAATTGGTGATCTGGCTAGCTCAAAATCGTTGTCAATAGCTGGTGCAGATGCATACACTCCTTGCGATTTCCAATGAAACTATTGTTCTTCGTTACTACTATTCCTTTGTCTCACACCTCTGTTTACTGTCCCTAGTATGCATTTCTTCTACTTTCTTGTGTTGCTTTGTGTGCTACATGGACGGAGTGTGGCGACTTGAACTGGTGCACATCAGTGCAAAGTTCTATGTCGAAAACAGACAGACAGACAGTAGCAATTAGACCAAAGTATTATGCTAGGTGCAGAATATTGTTTTGTTAAATGTTTGAAGGTCAGGAAATATGTAAGAAAATGGAAAAATAAAATAAATAATGATAGTAGCGATAGTGATAACAATAATAATGATAATATTAATGATGACACCAACAAGAAGGAATCTAAATCATCAGTAGTAATTCCATACAAGGAAGGAACCTCGAAAACCACCTTACGCAGAATTCTCAACAAGGCCGACAGGAATAAAAGTGGCTGGCATTCAAACCACCCACAAACTCAATTAGAAACAACCTGTGTCGGTTAAAGTGTCCATCCTGTGGAGCCAATAAAACGAAACAATTTAGTTTATCTAATGCCCTGCCCTGTCAAATACATAGGTCAAAGTAGTAGAACAGAGGCAGTCAGTCAGTCAGTCAGACTAGCCCGGCATAAAAAGCCTGCAAATTCTAGATTAGTTGGACCGAATAAGATAAGAAATTTAGAGAGTAGTTCAGCTATAGCGCTCACTACATGCAATTACACACAACACAGTCATACGATAGGCTGGATGGGATAAGATGACAGTTTTAAAATCTAATGCAACAGCAGAGTGGAGGGAGAGATTGATAACAGAAGCTTAGTTTATTGAATCAACTGCTAACACGTGTAATACAAATGATTCAACACCTGTCCGGCAAGATATCTGGAAAATTCTACTACCAAGCCTACGACGACAAATAGGAGAAGACAAAGAAAAATAAAAAAAAACTCAAGTTTCAAAGTCGTGTGATTACAACTGATATGATTATGAACAATAATAAATTGTGTTCGAAACTGTCATACAGGAAATAATACTGTTTCACTCACTGTGTGATACGTCTAATAAACAAACTAATATGAAATTACTTCCTACCACAGTGCCCAAGTTTTAGATATATATTAATGTTTGGAGGTAAACTTGACAAAGCTCTTCACCTACGTTTCGTGTTTGTTTTTTTCATCCTTCACGTTCCCCAGTGGAACATAGGGCCTCAAGCTAGTGGCTTGAAGTTTCTGTAGCAGTGTTTAATTTTACAGGATGGGGTTGCTACCCTGCCTCATGCCCAACCTTTCCTCTTTACCAGCATTATTTCTGGCTTAGCGAGGTAAAGGAGTACGTCGGTGGCCGGGGATCGAACGCCGGACCACGTGTATGGTCGGCAAGCGTCCTAACCGACGCCAAGTAAGGCGTGTAACCAAAATCCTTGAAGATACTGATGTCCCCCTCTCCGAGATTTGAATCTGTATCACTCAGTGCTACAATCATAGACGTTACCATTAAGCTAGTTATTCAGCCTCGCGATTGACCTCTTGTAGGACTCTATTGGATTCTTTGATTGGACGCTAGTCAGTAACTAGTGCAATTTGTCTAATCCCCCTGGTGTGTTGATGCAGACTGACTTCTGTCAGTCACGTTTCCCTGCATGTAAACTAATTGTATTCTTGTTTGCTTTTTTCCTCTGTTGTTCAACATTCAATAGGCATCATCATGTTTTGATTCTGTGCAAACTGATCAAGACGCGTTAGATCTAAACACTGGAAAGACGGTTTCATCAAATATAATGAAATATCATATTTCACAGCCTATTACTGGTATTCTAGCTGAACGTGCTCGTCGTCTTGTTAATGCACAAAGAGCTGAAATATTAAAGCGCAAGGCTGCTATCGCATCGTTATCAGAACAATCATCTTCGCATTCTTATGATCAAGTTGATAGTGATGACAAGAGAGACTCTAAGTATTCGTCGTCAGTTTCACCAGCGCCATTGTCGTCTTCATCATCGTTTTCATCTACTATGAAGGGTTCAAGACAGGCAGTCGGTGTTGCATCAGTGACTACTTCATTGGAATCTTTATCTGACGGACAACAAATCCATGATAATGAATGTTTATTGAAGGTAAGATAGGTGTCCATGAAAAGTTTATGAACATTGTCTAATCCTTATATTACTGTTATTATTCCCTTGGGTTCTGAGAGAAACATAGGGCTGGTTTCAACAACATATCTCCACATTGTTCTATTCTCTGCCATCCTCTTCAGTCGGGTCTACTACGATTGCCAAGACTCTCTCATCTCTCCCTCACCCGATCTCCTCCATGTCACCCTCACTTACTTTTTACTTTACTTCGGCTATATCCTACGGGAGGATGAGCCGGCTTCATGAACGTCTCGAATCATCGCTGCCCAGGCGCGGCAATTTGTAAGAGAGTTCATGAAGTTTCATGGGAATTTAGTACGAGTGATATCCCCAGCATCGCTCGGCCTTTTGTTTGAGAGTGCAGCTCTAGCCTTTACACAGCCAAGTGTGACCTACAAGGCAGTAGGAGTGGAGTAAGGAGTCCACTATCCATTGGCAGCCGGTGACCGGAGTTCGGTTCATTCGCCTTTTTGAATGGGGCCAGTCATCCAGGACATCCAACAAGCCCTTTGTCCATACGTCTGCCGTTGAGCTCCAGTGAGCTTCATACGCCAGTCGTTGGAGGTTTGGAATCAGGGTTTAACCATCTCCCCTAGACCGTCATCCAATGGACAGTCAACCCGGTGGAGAGCGCCGGGCATCCGCTTTCGCCCTCTCACTTTGGTGAGAAACACCTCCGCCACGTGAAGGCAGTGAGTAGGACTTCCTCAGGAGAGGCTATGTAAGACGCCCGGTCATATGGGAGCATTTCAAGAGGTGTGCGGAGGGGTGGCCAACCCGCAGCGCAAGGCGCCCACCCCCGACCATCCTGAGGCTTTGGAGGCCCTCACACCCACCACCCACTCATGACTTCCCATTGGGATTCCTCTCGAGCGATGACTTGCATTGAGCACGATGTTATTCGATGGCCTCTTCAACGAATGGCGGATTCACCTCCACTTTCTCGTACATATTTATTGTGCAATCGGCTCTTGGTTGGTTTATTTCCAGTCACAGTCTCTTATTGCTGATTATTTCCGGTCAGCTGTCTGATCTGCACTACGGGACCAGCAAGAGAAGGTGGGAGCTGTTGATGTTAGTCTGTAACTTGTTGGAAATCCTGTTCCTGTCACACACACTGGTCAAGTTTTTGACCCATATAGAAGAAGTGATCGAATTCACATTTGTGTTGGACAGAATCCGAATCTTCTTCTTCTTCTTTATCCTGCTGGCTTAGTGCAATGCAGAAGATTTACAAACTGGGCTTCAGGTTGATGAAGGCGTACTTATCTTTCCATTCCAATTCAGGCTAGCTTAGACGTCTTCATCCATTCCAAATGCCTGTGTGTGTGTTTGAAACGATATACTGCCTGGTCAGATAGGTGAAGGAAGTAACCTCTGTTAAATTTCTCCCGTTGATGGTCATTAGTGCTGGTTGTTGTTGTTGTTGCCATTACTGTTGGTTGGTTGGTTTGTTATCCTCATCATCACCTCTGTCTTGCCTATGTTCATCTGAAGTCCTCGTCTTTACTGCCTCCCCATATGAAGCCACTCATTATTATTATTTCAATTGGCTTAAAGAAATTTCACCATTTCTATTTAACTTCATCATCAATAACCGCAATTCTGAAGACAGCTTTAAAGTATGCATGTGATGATGGAAGACAACTACGGACTGGAGATATACGTCTGTAAAACCTGGTTTCTTTGAATTGGTGTTATGCAACGACTCCGTGTAGTAGAAGTCGATCATCTCCACCTTTGGAACATTCTTTGCATCATATGGCCACATCCGCCTACGTTAATAAGTCTGACTTTTCGCAACATGTGATTAGGTGAGCAATGTGGAGTCTGTGGTATTTCAGTAATTGATGTCATCTTCGAAGGCTTCTTTCAGTAGCGGTTCCACATGTATTGTGAATGTTCACTATTTGCTAGTCTTGGAATTACTGGAGTAGTTATGGTGGTATGTCCACGATATGATTCCACAAAAATGAAAAATGGTTGTTTACAGGATTTTCATCATGAGCTGACATTAGTTAGAGAACCATTGGAAAACCTGGGAGTACTAGACAGCTGTTTTAGGAGTACGCACCCTGAGATTCGAACCCAGGACCTTCTGGTTACAAGGCTCACCTTGTATGTCAGCTCATGATGAAAGTCCTGTAACCAATCAAATCCCTACTAACCAACACTTGAATAAAAATGATTGTGTTGACTTGGTGTATATTGATGCTTATTTACTCTGTAGATAGTTTTCAGGGGATGATGTGTGACTTAGTATCTTTAGACGTTAATTAGATATCTCTGTGATTTCAAATAAGTGACGAATAGATCTATTTGTGGAAGTAATATGAAATGGTGACTGTTATTTTAACCCTTTACAGATAACTTTTCTATGAGTAACTTCATGAATACACTTTATCACACGTCTTGTTGATGACTTCCATATCCATCGGTGATTTTCGGTGCTACCATTTATGATAAGAATTATTTATTATTATTATTGTATCCTTTAGTTCCTAGAGGAACATAGGGCTTCAGCTGCGCACCTTCATTGCCTTCTGTTTTCTGCCAATGTTTTCACCCCCCTCCAGGTCTGTCCACATGCTTTCATCTGCTCCTCTCATGACCTCCTCCAAGTCACCCTCGTACTGACGACCAACTCGCCGCTTCCCTTTCGGCTTCCACCCGAGGGCTTGTCTAGTGATGTCACTTGATGGTTTCCTCAGAGTATGGCCAATCCATCTCCATTTCTTCCTGCTTATTTGTTTCACAATCGGTTCCTGCTACGTTGGTTCGCTCCCAGAGATCCCTGTTGCTGATCGTTTCTGGCGGGCCATGTGATCTTGAGTATTGAGCGAAGACAGCTGTTAATGAAGGTCTGAAGTTTGTTGGAGATGCTATTTATGACTCGCCAAGTCTCTGATCCGTACAGTAAGTAGCACTGACTGACTTCACATTGGAGTTGAAAATCCGGATCTTATTTTTGATGGTGAGTGCTGTTGGCTTCCACACAGATTTGAGAGTATTGAAACCTTGTCTTGCTTTTCCGATTCTGGCTTTGATATCCTCGTCAGTTCCTCCTGTAGTTGAAACAATGCTTCCCAGGTAGGTGAAGGAAGCTGTTTCTTTCAGGTTCCTCCCATTTATGCTGGCTGATTGTTGTCTGTTGTTGTTGCTGTGGCTGTTGGTGTTGGCCAGGAATCTTCATCACCTCTGTTTTATCTATCTTCACCTGAAGTCCTATCTTTGATGTTTCTCTGTGGGCAACTTGTTACTTTTCACTTACATACCTTCCAGTTTGTGGGAAATCAGACATATATCATCGGCGAAGTTCAGATCCTCCAAGTCTTTTGTGTGAGTCCATTTTATGCATGTTCCCTCTTTGGTTGTCGTTGCCTGTCGTATTATCCAATTTATGATAAGAAAATGGTGAGTAATTAGAGTAGATCATGAGTAGTAGATTGTGAGTAGGTAGTAGATCATGTGTGCTAATTAAATTGCAACTCTACGCATCGTCATCACAGAACAAAGCATAGATTGGCAGTCGAACCTGGACCTTAACTTACTTACTTCATCGATTTCCAAAAAGCTTTCAACAAAACAGCTTTGACCGAGAAGTAATTTGGAAACTACTACAACACTACGGTGTGCAGTTGGCTATATGACAGTGACACGTGTCAGGTAATCCACAACGGAAAACTCAGTGAAGCGTTCGAAGTGAATACTGGAGTATGGTAGACACAAGGCTGTCTATTATCATCTACGATGATATTCTTAATTGTGGGCGGCGACTGGATTGTACATCAGACTGTGCACAAGGAGTGAGAGAAGACAGGAATACTCTGGACCACCGATAAAAAGATTCTAGTAGATTCGCGTGTGGATGATTTGTGCTTAATGTCACGCAAACCCCGAGGACTAAGAGGCAGACGAAAACCAACAAACTGGTGGTTGAAGAGGTAGGTAGGTAGGTAGGTAGCGAAGACAGGAGCGCAGGGGGACACAGAGAAGACGGAGGTGATGAAGGCAATCAACCGACCGACCACCAGCAATAGTAACAACAACAACCAACACCAATGACCATAAATGGGAGAGATTACTTCCTTCACTTATCATCTGGCCAGACAGGATAGTTTCAACCACAGTCAGCTGGAATGGATGAAAATGTTATAGCCGCCACCCAGAATCGGAAAGGCCAGATACACCTTCATCTACCTGAAATCAATTTGGAAACCTGTACTGCACTGTACTCAACCAGCATAAAGAATAAGACTCCGATTTTTCACAACACAAATGTGTGAAGCTAGTCAGTTAGTCAGTTCTTCTATACGAGGTAAGAAACTTGCGGCGTGCATTTTACGAAGAGGATTTCCGATAGCCAGTTACCGATTTTTATCAACATCTGCCATCTTCTCTGGCTGGTTCCATACTGAAGATCAAGTGGCCAACCGACCGGTCATCAAAGATTAGCAAGAAAAGACTCTGTCTAGGAACAAACCAACCAAGAGCTGATTGCTCAACAAATATGGAGATGGATTGGGCCAGGTATACGTTGAAGGAGTCCATCGAATGACATCGTGCTCAATGTAGGCCATTACTCAAGTGGAGTCCTAATTGGGAAACGGTAATTGGATCGTCTGTGCGTGACGGTTACATGGGGGGGGGAGAACGTGTAATGGAAAGGAGGAGATGATAGATAGGTGTGTCGGTGACACAGTGGTTAGGACTCTCGCCGACCATGCACATGGTCCGGGCTTCGAGCCCGCACTGACGCACACCTGATATCTATGGTCGGCCTGCAAAATTTGGGCTACCGATAGATATTACATGCTGAAAATTCCATACTTCTACCAAAAAGTACTGTGTGGAATCAAGCTGTAATAAAAAAAATGTATTCCACTCGGAACGCAAGGCAGTAGTAGTAATAATAATAATAAGTAAAAAACTGTCTCTCTTCATCAAAGTCTTTTTTGATATTTCTCTTTCAGCCTTCTTTACAAAAAAATAAAAGTGCTTATGAATCATCTTCGATGACAGTATCAACTCCAGTTGGTATTTCATCAAATCAATATGAAAAATCTCATAGCAGTGGAAGTGATCAAGACGATTTACATCATTCTAATAATAATGATGATGATGATGATGAAATGATTGCCGATGATGTTGTTACTCCTTTAGGAGATAAAACATTAAATCCTCTCCACAGCCTTGAAGCTGCTGCCCCTTGTATGGATGATTTGCATACAGGTAGGTTAGACATTTTCTGTTGTTTCTTTTGTTTGTGTTTACAAAATGAGAAATTGTGTAGCGGTAGCATCTGAACTGATGATGAACTCGGATACGTGGTGGAAATTAAATATTTCATTTTACCCGCGATCACTACTCATTGCATACAATAGTAGTAGTAGTGGTGTTTAAATCGACGAAGTCATTTAGCGGCGAAATTTGTCAAATTAAGTTGAAATTTTTGGACTGACCATTGGATCGAGTTCCAGTGGCTGCTTAATAGTCTACGAGCTAGCTTACCCTGTAACCCTGAAGGTCCTGGGTTCTAACTCCAGTTGATGGGTGGGTGGGTGGTAACTGATGAAGAGTCCCGAACTAGGACGAAATAACTGTCCATTACTCCATTTCAGCTGATGATGAAACCCTCCAACCAATCAAACATAACCCCGAAATAAACCAATACTTGAAAATTAAAGATCCAAGAGATCCAATGAAGAAAAATAATACAATTTGCTAAATAGCATGTAATACTGGCTGTTAGTGAGGTGAATAACAATAGATCTGTTAGACTAGTAGACCGGCGTTAGTCAAGTCGATTACTGGCAACATAGAAGTGTTACTAGACCTAGTGTAACGACAGAAGAGAAGGGCCAGACAACAGATCATTTGTTGAGGAATTCCAACAGATATTTATAAATTTTTAGGTACATTATTATTAACCTTATTGTTAGCGTTTTCTGATTGGTTGTTTTCTTGCTGAAGGTCATTCTGTTATCTTTTTGTTGGCGTTTCAGTCCGTTGATATATATATATATATACTAATCGTATCCTCCCACGCTGTCTGCTGTGATTGGTTGTCTTTTTCTACAGAGAAAGGATTGGGAACGTAAACATTGACATCAATTTCTGTGTACCAATTTTGGCTAACAGACAGCTCTCACCACACTAGTGTGACTGACCCTCCGAAGTAATTTAGAAAAAATCTGGGATATTGCAAAACACTTTAATGTAGTCATAGAATGGTGTGGAATAGGATGAAAGTATTAAAAAGTAATAGAGTTAGGTGGACACAGAGAAAGAGAGAGAGAGAGAGGTGAATCACCGAATCTTTGTTCATCGAACTAATATCCAATAGGTTGGGTCAAAATGACACGCAATGTGATATGATTATGAGTGTGATAATACACAGTTGTTGTGCTTGAAAAATCTCTCAGTCATTAATACCTGTGTATCTTCCCTATTTATTTTATATTAAATAAAGTTTATAAAAAATAAAGAACCTAGAAGACCTGGATTTCGCGTGTGGATGATTTATGTCATTTGATGTCACACAAAATCGAAGACCTACAAGCGAAGACCGATAAACTGGTCGAAGAAGAAGCCGACGAAGACAGGACTCCAGGTGAACATAGACAAGACCGAGGTTATGAAAATAACCAACCACCACCACCACCAACAACAACAACAGAAACATCCAACGTCAATCACCATCAACAGGAGGGATTTGAAAAAGGTTACTTCATTCACTCACTTATCTAGCTACGGAGCATTGTCTCAACTACAGCCAGTCGGAACGGACGAGGATGTCAAATCGAGCGAGAATCAGGAAGGCAGGCGAGAAACACACTCATCAACCTGAAACAACCGATCTGGGAATCTTCCTCACTCAGACAGAATCAACAACAAAATTCGGTCGGATTTTCACTACAAACAACGTCAAGTCAGTCAGTTTTTCTATACGGAACGGGTGAGAAACTTGGCGGGCGGGCGGGTCACAAAGAATATTTCCAACAGCCTGTTGCAGACCTTCATCAACAATTGTCTTCGCTGGCTCTATACTGAAGATCAGATGGTCGGGCCGGAAAGTATCACCAACAAGAAACTATGGGAAGAAACAAACAAAACAGGAACCAATCAATCGCCAACCAACAAATATGCAGGAGAAAGTGGAGATGGATGGATTGGACACTCGGTGATGAGGAGGCTGCGGCTGGGTGACATGGCGCGCGCGTCAGGCCATTGGTCGAGTGGAACGCGAAAGAGAAGCACGCGGTGAGTGGGACGTCAGTGCAAGCGTGACATGGAGGAGATTGTGTGAAGAGAGAGGAGTTGAAATAGTATGGATGCAGGTGAAAAGTACAGCAGAAGGAAGACAGAAGCAAGTGGAGACGTGTAGCTGAAGCCCTATGTTCCACTAGGAACCCAAGGGAACAATCATAATAATAAATGAACTTATCTAATATGGAATAACATTCTTTTTTGCAGAGCTTGAATTCTTTCTCTTACGTTAAACAATTAAGTAATCAACCATATGCGATATCCTGGCTGACTCTCTCTCTCTCTTAGCCCATCTGTAATTTAGTTAGAGGAGGATTCTGTCCAACCAGCCAAGCGGTCTGCTTTCAAAACTTCTAGCTGACGAACTCTTAAACCTCACCTAGCCGGTTTTAAATCCGGGAAGGTAAGGCTCAAGAGGTTAACGACCGCATCGTGTAAAAGCGAGAAAACACGTCTACTTGAGGCTGTATATTCCACTCCGGATTTATAGGAATGGATAAAAACAATCAAAACATGTATCAGGTTGTTTAATTGTAATTTCATAATCATAATGTTTTCAACTTCTTTCTTTCATTCAGTTGATGACACCGCTTTTTCCAAGAGATCATATGAACCAAGTAATCTTCACATATCTAATGAAGCAAACGAAGATCTATCGAAATCACTCAGACAATTAAATCTTCCTACTACACCGTCTGCTCCTCCTCCTCTGCCGCCGCCGCCGCCGTGCACTTCATCATCAACATCAGTCCAGTTGGAGAGTTTTGTGATGAATACTACACCTAACAATATTTTATCTCAACCACGAATAACTTCACCAGTATCATCAACCCGCCGGTCGTCGACATCACCATCACCAGCATCAATTACTTCACCATCATCTATTGGCTCGAAACAACCTGCCAAAGATGAGTCAAGCTCATCAGAGAATAAACCTCAATCTTCTGAATCGTGTATATCTGACACACTGAAAGCTGAGCTGAAAGCTTTATTAACCTCTTCATTGATCAATTCACTGTTGAGTAGTAGTCAAACATCTGGTTTAACCGAAACAAGTGATCTCTACAAACTGCTCAGTTCACAAAGTTTTTTATTATCATCAGTGCTGTCCAGCAGAGGACAGAAGTAAGTTTGTTTTCTAGCATTAAGGTGTGTGTGTGGGGGGGGGAGGGGAAGAATGTTTATTTCCTCTTATGAATTTTATTGATTTGTTTTAATAACATGTTTGTTATTTAAGTATTGGTTTGTAGGGATTTGATTTGTTGGTGGGAGGATTTCTTCATGACCTGACATCGGTTAGAGAACCTTTGGAAATCCACCCGGGAGTACTGGACAACCGGCTGTTTCTTACTAGTTTGGGACTGCTTAGCAGTACTCACCCACTGACTGGGGTTCTGTCCCAGCAGCTTCTGGTTACAAGGTGAGTTCGTAGACTATTAAGTCACTGGGTACCGATCCAATGGCCCGTGAATTCCAACTCAGTGGTGGGTATTTATCCTCATAATAGACCTGCTGTACACTGTACTAGTCACAACTCCCCACTCGAACCCCAGGTAACTGCCTACCTTGAATATGGTCAATTTCTAGTAGGCGTCTCATTGATACTCAAGCGTTGGTTTTCTGGAAAGTTGTGGGTTCGAACTCTGGTCTATGGTTGCGTATACTGATGAAGAGTTCCAAACTAAGGTGACATCTTCAGAGCATACTTCAATATGAATTGAAGTGAGCTTCTAGATGTCTCCACAAATTTACTAGTCATCTCTCTTGGTGGGTCACCTTGAACGTGATTGGTTGTTTCTGTGTATTTTCACACCCTCTAGTCTATTTGTGTTAGTATTGATTGTTTCCTTTACTTGAAGTTTGACATTTTGTGCATGAGATTCCCTTCTTATGGCTTGGTAAATCTTGTCTATGTCAATGTGTCTATTGATTGCCAATTTACTGAAATACCATCCAGCTTTCTAAAGATTTTTGGTGTCTCCTTTATCTAATATTTGAACACTGGTTGTCCCAGTGGAATTGATGTCCGTGGTTGTGTCTGTAAGCAGTGAGGCGATATGAGCGAGGGAGTGGATGTCATGTCTTTTGACGGCTAGTTTATGTTCATGGATACGAAGATGAAGCTGATATCCACTTAGGCCAAATTTAGATAGTGTTTTTTGCAGTTGTTACAATTTATTTTGTAGATGATGTTGGTTTCATATTCTTTCGTTGTTGATTCGTTTGGTTGACATAGAGCTAGCTAGCTAGCCAGCCAGCTGAGTGAAGTGATTTTCGCTCTCCACTGGCATTACACTCGAGTGATGACATGCTTTGCGTGCGATGTCATTCAATGGCCCCCCCTGAAACGTATGCCCGATCAATCCATCTCCATTTTCCTTTACATATTTGTTAAGCGATCGGCTCGTGGTGGTTGGGCTTGTCCGCAGAGTTTCTTGTTAGTTATTCTCAGCACGGATCCGAAAAGCTCGAGCTGCTTTCGCTGACTTACACCATCTCTGGCGTAGGCGTGACATCCGGTTATCAACCAAGGGACGTGTGTACTGCTCAGCAGTTCGCTCCGTCCTTCTCTATGGCTCTGAAACATGGCCAATACGAGTTGAAGACATGAAAAGGTTGACTGCTTTCGATCATAGATGTCTACGATCTCTGTCTCACGTTAGGTGGTTTAATAAGGTAAGTAATGTTGACGTTAGGCGTAGAGTGTTGGGCAAAGAGGGAAAATCAATCGACGAGGTTATAAAGTTACATAGACTGAGGTGACTAGGTCACGTGCTGCGCATGCCTAACCATCGCCTCCCCCGACAGGCATTGCTAGCTGATATAGGTGCAGGTTGGAAAAGAGTAAGTGGTGGCCAAACAAAAACATGGCCTCATCAATCCATAAAATCCTTGACAGTTAAAGTGAGTCAGGTAGGGAGGGAGATGCAGACTTTCGGGTTGGGGCCCTCGGGACTCTAGGAATCAATGGCTGGAGACAATAGGTGACATGGCTCAAAATCGTTGTCAATGGCCAGAGAAGATGTATTCAGTCTCTGTAATCTTTCATATTCCTTTCTACCATTACCCATTCTGTTTCACTCTTATACTTGTCAGACTGTATTGATTGTCTTCACTCATCTTCTTGTCTACCTTTGTGTGTGTGGTATTTGGAATGGGGCAACTCGAACTGGTTCACGTCGGTGCCAAGTTCTATGTTGAATCCAGACAGACAGACAGTTATTCTTTCTGGCCAACTGGCCATTTGATCTTCAGTATTTCTTTACGTATGGTAAGGTGATTCCCTTATGTTTTCCATAGTGGAGTAAATGTAAGCTTCTTGTTAATATATATATATGTAAAACTTGGCCACTGTGGTAGTAAGTAATTCCATATTAGTTTGTTTATTAGACGTATCACACAGTGAGTGAAACAGTATTAGTGTTTACTGGATGACATAGTTTCGAACAAAATCTATCACTGTTCTTAATCACATCAATTATAATCACACGACTTCGAAACTTGAGTTTTACAGTTTTCTTTGTTCTCTCCTATTTGTTGTCGGAGAGGGAGTAGAATCTTCTAGATATCCAACTGGATAGGTGTTGAATCATTCCTATTACACGTATTCCCTCTCGGTTGATTCGATAAACAAAGCTTCTGTTATCAATCTCTCCCTCCACCCTGCTGCTGCATTAGATTTTAAAACTGTCATCTTATCCCATCCAGCCTATTGTATGACTGTGTTGTGTGTAACTGCATGTAGTGAGCGCTATAGCTGAACTACTCTCTAAATTTCGTATCTTATTCGGGCCAACTAGTCTAGAATTTGCGGGCTTTTTATGGTCGGCTAGTTTGATTGACTTACCCTGTTCTACTAGTTTGACCTGTGTATTAGACAGGGAAGGGTATTAGCTAAACTAAATTGTTTTGTTTTATTGGCTCCACAGGATTGATCTTTTAACCGACAAAGCTTGTTTCTAATTGAGTTTGTGGGTGGTTTGAATGCCAGCCACTTTTATTCCTGTCGGCCTTGTTAAGAATTCTGCGTAAGGTGGTTTTCGAGGTTCATTCCTTGTATGGAATTACTACTGATGATTTAGATTCCTTATTGTTGGTGTCGTCATTAATATTATTATTATCACTATCACTACTATCATTATTTATTTTATTTTAACATTTCCTTGCATATCTCCTGACTAATTTATCCGGGTAGTTATTAAGTTTCAAGGCTTCTTTTATGTGTATCATCTCCTGTCGCAGATTTTCCTTGGTACTACTTAGTTTTTGTGCTGTCATTTAAACATTTTACCAATCCTATTTTTACTGACATAGGATGGAATGATTGGAAGTCCAAATATCCGTTTGAACGTGTGGGTTTCCTGTAAAAGCACACTAGTGTGTGTTTAACTTCCCATCTTCTTTCTTTTTTGCGCTGTAATCGAACATTGGAAGTTCCCCTTTCTGACTATCTAATTCATAAGTGAATTGAATTGCTTCCACCTTCGAGTTGATGTGTTCGAAAAATCTGTCTATATCTTGTGTTCTAGGTAAAGTGAATGTGTCATCTACATATCTTCACCATACTTTTGGGGTGGTGGAGGTATGTAGATGAGACATTCACTGTACTTAGAACACAAGATATAGACAGATTTTTCGAACACATCAACTCGAAGGTGGAGGCAATTCAATTCGTGACAAATAGGAGAAGACGAAGAAAACTATAAAATTCAAGTTTCAAAGTCGTGTGATTATAATTGATAAAATGATTATGAAAAATAATAATTTTTGTTCGAAACTCTGTCATCCAGTAAATACTAATACTGTTTCACTGACTGTGTGATACATCTAATAAACCAACTAGTATGGAATAAGCTTCTTGTTGGTTGTCAAACCAGTCTAAAGTGATAACAGAACTGTTTGCTACGAAAACGAACTTTTGAGAACCTATTTTATACTCAGTACTGTAAAAAAAAACATGAATAATAACGATTAATCACTTATTTAGTGGTGGCCACTTTCTTTTTTTTAAGTCGAGTTCGTTTCGAGATATGCATGCAAAACCACATGATAACAAACTGCTTTTGTTCTATTATGGGCAAATTTTGCTTTTGATAAAGTCTCTCACAGTGGTGTTATACAGTAATGTTTACTGATGACCATGTTTCGAGCACAATTTATTACCCTGCTCATAATTATAATCAAGGTAATCACTCACACGACTTTATAACTTCATTTATATAGTTCCATTATTTTTCATTTGATTTTCACTTGATTTGATTGGCAGTAGTATTTTCCATATTTCAGGTATGAGCGATGAGTCATTCCTATTGCATGTGTTGTGTTGGGTGTAGACTCGATGATCCAGGAAGGATTCAGTAATCAACCTCTTTCCCTACCTCCACCTACTTAGATTACTTTTTAGAATTTTAACCCTCTCCCACCCACCCTATTGTGTGGTTGTGTGTTAATGCATGCAGTGCAATGTAGCGCTGAGCTTTTTTCTAAATTACTTATCTTCTCTTGGTCAACCATTCTTACCTTAGCTAAATTCTTATGTTCTGATAATCTGACTACCCCTGACCTACTAGTTTTACCTATGTAGTTGGCCTCGTTCACAGTCATTACAGGGTATTTTGTAAATGATATTATTTTGTCTAATTGGGTCAACTGGGTCCTTTAAGCTACAGAGCTTGTCCTACCTGAGTGAATATTTAGGTTTAAATGCCACCACCCTAATTCCTGCTTTATTTAGAATCCTACGCAGGGAGGGTCTCAAATGTCCCCTCTTTACATGGCATAACTGTAGATGATGTATATTCTCTCTTATTTATGTTATTATTACTAGTTTCACAATTATTTTTATTTTTATTTTGGCCTTTTTCGATCTTCCTAATGAATTTTATAGAATAGCTAGTTATTTAACACCAACGCCTCTTCTATCTGTTTTATTCCATCATTTAGGTCTTTTTTTTTGTGCTACTTAATACCACTTCTCGATTTGTTAAACACTTAACTAAGCCTGCCTTAACAGTTAACAGCTTTTGTTTTTTACACCTACTGACTACGCCATCTTAGGGAATATCCTAAAATGTTTTGATAATCTATGAAACTACTGTGATATCACTAGGTCTTCTTTCTTCCTCTCTTTCTATAGTGCAACTAAACAGACAACACTTAATCATATCTCCAGTCTAACTAAATCTTCATCTATTGACAATGAAACAATTCAACCTGTAACAACGACTGCATCGTCAATTTCATCACCTCATCGATCACAATCCTCGTCAAGTCAATATCCTGTTAAAGGTGAACAATTGACTGAATCATCAGGTAAGCGTTTATTATTCACTTGAGTAGTAGTCATACTACTCTCTCTCTCTCTCTCTCTATTCGATTATATGTTTGTAATAGAGGTTTTTGATGATATTAGATGATTGGAGGCAATCGGTCACAGAAAGTCTTGCTTGACCTAGGTTTCGTGCTGGTTGGCACTCACCTGTCAGCAAGGCGTATCTGCAACCAGCTTGAAGGAACTCATGTCCCTCCTGAGATTCGAACCCACGTCACCCAGTGAGTGCTGCAGTCAGAGACATTACCACTGAGCTATCCGGGCTCGCGATTGACTTCCTGTAGGACCTCCTTATTAGGTATTTTGATTGGACACTAGTAACTAGTGTGACGTTTCTAGTCCTTTCTTTGGTGCAGACTGAATTTTATCAGTCAGGTTTGCAATGTGGCCACTATTCTAGGTAGCTGGACATCACAGTGCACATTGATTTGATTATATTAGATGGTTGGAGGCAATCGGCAGGATCAGATCATTAAAATTCTTAGAGGCTGTTGTTGTGCGTCGGTGGCACAGTGGTTAGGACTCTCACCGACCATGAACATGGTCCGGGGTTCGAGCCCACGCCGGCGCACACCTTGATATCTATGGTCGGCCTGCAAAATTTGGGCTACCGATATCCATGCTGAAAATTCCATACTTGTACCGAAAATACAGTGTGGAATCAAGCTGTAAATCAAAAATAAAAATAAAAAAAATAGTAGGGTGGGGGTGATAAAACCACCTGTTATCGCCTATATTTATAGATCTATTTATCATATATCGTAGGTTAACTCTTGCATACTTCTTATGTCGTTGGTAATGTTTATGATGTTGTCAGCAGTGATATGACAATGCCAGGCGTCAGTCAAGTGATCTACAACGGAAAACTCAGCAAGGCTTTGGAAGTGAATACTGGAGTATGGTAGACAAGGCTGTCTTTTATCACCGATTATTATTATTATTTCCTTTAATTCCTAGAGGAACATAGGGCTTCAGCCGCACGTGTCTCCATTGCGTTCGGTTCTCTGCTAGAGTTTTCACCTGGCTCCACATCTGACCACATGCTCCCGTCTCCTCTTCACATGACCTCCTCCAAGTCATCCTCGAAATGGCGACCAACTAGCCGCTTCCTTTTCGGATTCCACTCGAGCAATGGCTTGTCTAGTGACGTCACTTGATGGTTTCCTCAGAGTATGGTCAATCCACCTTCATTTCTTCGTGCATCTTTCTTGCACAATCGGTTCCTGATTGGTTTGCTCCCAGAGATCCCTATTGCTATTCATCACCGATGATATTCCTAATTGTGGTGGACTGGATTATGGTATCAGACTCTGTGTATTGGGGTGAGAAGACAGTAATACGTTACATTGACAGATAAGAAGGAGACTGTAAAATATCTGGATGATTTATGTTTCATGTCACACAAACTCAAAGACGAAGAGAGGCAGGCGAAAACTAATAAACTGGTTGAAGAGGTAGATAGCGAAGACAGGAGTGCAGGTGAACAATAGAGAAGACAGAGGTGATGATGAGGATAACCAGCCAACCAACCAACCAACAGTAATGGCAACAACAACAACCAGCACCAATCAATGTCAACGGGAGAGATTCCTTCTTTCATCTAGAAAGCATCGTTTCTCAACCACAGGCAGCTGGAATGTATGAAGAGGTGAAAGCTAACCAGAATTGGAGAGGCAAGATGATGCACCTTCCTTCATCAATCTGAGACCAGTTTGAAAATCTTCTGCATTGCACTCAGCCAGTATAAGCAATAAGATTCAACACGAGAATTAAGTCAGTCAGTGAGTCAGTTAGTCAGTTCTTCTGTACGAGTCGGAAACTTGACCAACTTGTCACGAAAAGGATTTCTAACAGGCAAGTGCAAACTATTATCCAATAGCTGCCACCTTCACCGTCTAGCCTCATACGTTGACCGCTTCACTTATTTGGGAAGTACCATCAGCCAGTGCCAACGGGTTGATCTCTGACGAAATCTCAACACGAATACAGGGGGTTCGTTTCGCATTTGTTAGTTTACGCCGACTCTAGCGTAGACGAGATGTTCGACTATCGACCAAAGGGCGGGTGTACTGCTCATCAGTCCGCTCCGTCCTCCTTTATGGCCAGCTGTGAGACCTGGCCACTGAGAGTGGAAGACATGAAAAGGCCGACTAGCTGTCTTTGATCATAGGTGCCTGCGCTCTATTTCCCGTGTAAAGTGGCATAATAAGGTGTGCAACATTGAGGTTAGGCGTAGAGTTCTAGGTAAACAGGGGGAATCAATCGACGAAGTCGTGAAGTTACAAAGACTGAGATGGTTAGGACATGTGTTACGTATGCCAAGCCATCGCCTCCCTCGACGAGCTATGTTAGCGGATATAGGGTCAGGCTGGAAAAAAGCTAGCGGCGGTCAAACAAAAACATGAATTCACCAGTCAATGAAATCCACAACAGTTGGTCTTAGCCACGTAGGAAGGTGTAGACTTCCTGACTAGTTGGGGTCCTTGGGACGGTAAAAATCTATGGTTGGAAACAATTGGTGACATGGCTCAAAATCGTTCTCAGTGGCTAGCGCAGATGCATCCACTCCCTGTGACTTATGATCTTCAATGAAACTGTTTTGTATTTCTTTATTACTCCTTTGTCTCACACCTCTGCTCACTGTTTCTATTATGCTTTTCTTGTACTTTCTTCTCTTGCTTCGCGTGCTACACGGAATGTGGCGACTTGAACTTCCGCACATTTGTGCAAAGTCCTATGTCGAAAACAGACAGACAGACAGACTAGCCTCATACTGAATATTGGATGGCTGTTGTGAAAGAACTTGCAACAAGAAACTCTGACTGCCTGGCAATAAAGCATCTAAGAACTGATTCCTCAACAAATATGTAGGAGAAATTGGAGATATAACATGTATACATTGAGGAGACCGTTGAATGAAAGTGTACAACGCAGGGCATCGCTTGAGTGGAATCTCGATGGGAAGCAATGAGTGGGTGTTTCGTGAGGGGATGACATAGCGGAGATCGTGTGTGTTGGAAGAGGAGATGAGAAATTGGGGTCAGTTGTGTGGCCAGCCAGCTGAAGAGGACTGCAGAAAATAGAAGAAAGTGGAGGTGTGTCGCTGAACCCAAAGGAATAAGAAAAAATAAAATAAAAACTATGTAGTCGCAATATCTGATGATAAACCATATCATCACCATCTTAAGTGTTAATTTACTATGCCCTGTTTCTTTGTAATTTATCTAATTGTGAACTGGTTTCAGAGGAGGTTTACTGCCATTGGTTGACACGGCGAGCATACCTGTGTTCCTCTAAACAAGCCAACAGTCTCTTTGCATTAGGGTTGACTTGGAGTAGTTTTAAAGGCAAAGGAGTTTGAATCAAAACGTAGTAACAATCCATGAATTTTATGACTGCCATTTTGAACCACTTAACTTAAGGTGTATGCCGAAACAATAGAGATGGGTCGGACATATATTCTGAGGAGATCGTCCAATGACATCGCTCGCCAGGTTGGCTGTCGAGTAGAACTTGAGAGGAAAACGACGGGTTCCACAGCCGTAGGTGACATGAAGGAGGTCGGAGACCACAGATAATTGTTAGGTCAGCTAGAGAGATGTGCTATTGAAGCCCCTATGTTCCACACGGAACCCATGGGAACAGCGGTAATAATAATAAACGAAGTGTAGACTGTCTAGCTGGAGTCCTTGAGATACTGAGAACCAATGACTAGGGAATGCTGGTGACATGGCTCAAGATTCTTCTTAGTTGTGCTGATGCATTCACTCTCTATAAAGCATTTTTATGCATATATTAATGTTTATTGATTTAAATTCAAGACTTTCAAAAGAATTTCCTTTTTTTTTTTTAAAGTTTTTCTGAATTCTGTTATTCATGACCCTAAATAGTTTAGAGGTGAAGTTTCTGACTATGGCACCGGGGGATGTTGATTTGAATCTTCAGGAAGAGCGGGGGTAACATCAATTCTTTATGGATTACACATATGGCTTACTGACAAGTGTCAATAGATATGAAACCTAGGTTCAAGGTTGTCTGCCGGTCTTCTCCAATGATTCAACATATTATTATTATATTATTGTTCCCTTTGGTTCCTAGTGGAACATAGGACTTCAACTACACATCTCCACTTGCTTCTGTTTTCTTTCTGCTGTTCTTTCCACCTACATCATCCATGTTAGTCCATACTGTTTTAACTCCTCTCTCTTCACACAATCTCCTCCATGTCACGCTTGCACTGACGTCTCACTCGCCGCGTGCTTCTCTTTCGGGTTCCACTCGACCAATGACCTGACGCGCGCGCGATGTCACCCAGCTGCAGCCTCCTCATCACCGAGTGTCCAATCCATCCATCTCCACTTTCTCCTGCATATTTGTTGTTTGGCGATTGATTGGTTCCTGTTTTGTTTGTTCCTTCTCATAGTTTCTTGTTGGTGATCCTTTCCGGCCCGGTCATCTCATCTTCAGTATAGAGCCAGCGAAGACAGTTGTTGATAAAAGTAACGTCTGCAACAGGCTGTTGGAAATATTCTTTGTGACCCGCCCGCCAAGTTTCTCATCCGTTCCGTATAGAAAAACTGACTGACTTGACGTTTCTATTGAAAATCCAAATTTTGTTGTTGATTCTGGCTGAGTGAGGAAGATTTCCAGATTGGTAGTTTCAGATTGATGAGTGTGTTTCTCGCCTGCCTTCCCGATTCTCGCTCGATTTGACATCCTCGTCCGTTCCGACTGGCTGTAGTTGAGACAATGCTCCGTAGCTAGATAAGTGAGTGAATGAAGTAACCTTTTTCAAATCCCTCCTGTTGATGGTGATTGGCGCTGGATGTTTCTGTTGTTGGTGGTGGTGGTTGATTATTTTCATGACCTCCGCGTCTTATATATGTTCACTTGGAGTCCTGTCTTCGTCGGCTTCTTCTTCGACCAGTTTGTCGGTCGGTTTTCGCTTGTAGGTCCTCAATTTTGTGTGAAATCAAAGATCCTATACTAGGAGAAAATATCATGTCCTAAACTACGCTGAAAATTCTGTACATTATGTAAAAACTGTGATTATTAATGTTTCCATATTCTATTCCGACTTTTATATGCAAATAATTTTCTTTTTCCATACCTCTATTTGGTTTCGCTGTATAGATATCGAAAAGAATACTAATGTTTCAGATTTTCAATCAATAGACCGACCTTCATGTGATGGTAATGCTGAGAATTTATCAGCCAATCAAAATTCATTAAATGATTCACCACTAAATGTTGATTTGATTAAATCGATAAAAAAACGTGTTCTTAATAAATATATTAGTGTAAGTTCTTTTTATTTTGATAATTAATAGAGAATTTACCCATTTAATAATTATTTTTTAAGAAATATTAATTAAAATTATCTTTGAAACATGTGCGACCCATCGCAGGTGGTACCTTGACGTGGTGGTTGCGTCTGTGCTGTCTGAGCAGGTTCTGCATGCTCATGCGCTACTGATAAAATTTATAAGTAGCATATAAAGAGATGTTCGTCAGCATAAAACCATCAAATAGCAAGGAGATGGATTTGCTATCAGAGAGAGCAAACGACGATACAGCGTTGTGGAGATACATGAGAGACGTGGAAGGAACACATAGAAAAACAATCTAAAGGATAGAAATCGAAAAACACATAGGATCTGTGTAAATGGTGATATGAAGATAAGATGTACATAATTTCTTTATGTAGAGATACTAAATTGGTAATAAACATTCCTTTACACTGTCTCTCAAATTTTCAAAAATGCTTCAAATTACTATATGTTTAAAACTTGGGTACTGTGGTATTATGTAATTCCATATTCATTTGTTTATTGGATATATCACACAGTTACTGAAACAGTATTATTATTTACTGAATGACAAAGTTTCGAACAAAATTCACTTATTGTTCTTAATCATATTAATTATAATCATACAACCTCGAAACTTGAGTTTTTTATAGTTTTCTTTGTTTTCTCCTATTTGTCGTCGTTGGGGCAGTAGAATTTTCCAGATATCTAGCATAGGTGTTGAATTAATCCTATTACACGTATTCTCTCTCAGTTAATTCGATTAACAAAGCTTCTGTTATCAATCTCTCTCCCTCCACCCTGTGACATTAGATTTTAAAACTGTCATCCTATCCCATCCATTCTATTGTATGGTTGTGTGTATTTGCGTGTAGTGAGTGCTATAGCTGAACTATTCTCCAGATTTCTTATCTTATTCGGGTCAACTAATCTAGATTTTCCTGCTAGGTTTTTGTGCTCTGCTAGTGTGTGTATTTGACCTGACAATCATTGCAGGCAGAGTATTAGATAAACTAAATAGTTTTGTTTTGAAGGCTCCACAGACTGATCTTTTAACCGATAAAGCTTGTTTCTAATAAGTAGGATAGGTGAAATGTTTAAGTAATAAAGAACAAAAACTAACTAATAGCCAGAAACATCTAATGCAGGAAGTGAGGCATATAAGGCCAGAAGCTTTGAAACTTAATAATTACCTTGATAAATTAATCAGGAAATATGTAGGGAAATGTAAAAATAAAATTAATAATAATAATAGTAGTGATAATGACAAAAATAATAATATTGATGACAACATGCATGTCGAACATGCAGAGGATAATGACATCACCAACTGTAGGAAATATAAGTCATCATAGAAGGAACCTCGGAAACCTTACGACGGCAGCTTCTTAACAATATAGGAATAAAAGTGGCATTCAATACCATCCTCCCCCCCCAGACAAACTCAAATAGAAACAAACTTTGTCGGTTAAACGAATAATCCTGTGAAGCCTAATAAACAATACAATTTAGTTTATTTAATACCATGCAAGTGACGTCACTAGGCTCTCTCGTGAGTGGGACTTATGAGGGAAGCGGTGAGTTGTCGTCAGTTCGAGGGTGACCTAGAGGAGAAATGATGTCAAGAGGAGGTGGAAGCATGTGGGCAGACCTGGAGCCAGGTGAAAAGGTTGGCGGAGTAGGAAACGCCAAGGAAACAATAATATAATAATAATCTTATATATATAGTAAGCCGATGAAAGTATCTTAGTATACACTGTTGATAAGCCTTGGCAGTAGATCCGGCGTCGACGTGATATCCAGCTGGCTGTCGACCAAAGGATGTGTGTACTCCTCAACAGTCCACTCCGTCCTCCATTATGGCTGTCAGCAAGACATGGTCATTGAAAGTCGAAGATGTGAAAAGGCCAATTGTCTTTGATAAATAGGTGTCTCTGCGTTCTATCTCCCGTGTTAATTCATATAATGGGGTTGTAACGACAGACAACAAGGACCAGCCAACAAATCGTTTATTGAGAAAATCAAGAGGTATTTATACATTTTCATGTAAATTATTGTTAGCGTAGGAGCGCAACCTTTTCTGATTGGCTGTTTTCTTGCTGAAGGTTACTCTGTACTGCTTTTGGCCGTTTCTCAGAAAACCAAGCCATGTATGTATCTACAAATCGTATTTCTACACGTTAACCTCGCTGTGATTGGCTGGTGATTCTCTTAAAGTTAAGCTTTATTATTGTTTTTCTCATAACCCTGATTTGAGGCGTGAACATTGACGTAAATTGTTCTCTACAATTTTGGGTTACAGCCAGCACTCATCACACAAGGTGAGCAATATAGAGTTGATTAGACAACGGTCGAGTGTTAGGCAAGAAGGGAGGGGAAATCAATCGACAAGATTGTGAAGTTGTATGGATTGAGATGGTTAAGACATTTGTTACTTATGCCTATCCTATCGATATAGGATCGATCAGGTTGGAAAAGAGCTACTAGTGATCAAATGAAAACATGAGTTCATCAGTCAATGAAATCGACATTAGTTAGTTTTAACCAATCAACCAATCACGTGCGGCAGTGTAGGCTGCCAGTAGTCAGGTTCTTTGAGGTCCTCGGGTTAGTGGTTAGAACCAATGAAGACCGGAGACCATTGGTGATATGGCTGAAAAGTCGTTCTCAATGACAGTGCAGATGCCTCTACTCCTTGTGACTTATAATATGTCAAGTGGCAAAGCAAATTAATGTCATATATAGAATAATTCATAGGATGGATAGAACTTGAAAAAGGATGTGCAATTATAGGATTAGTAGACAAATCGAATGAAATAAAAACATTACGTAGTATTGTGTGAAATTTAATAGCATAGAATTTATCGTTGTGAAAAAGAATTGATTTCGAATGACAAGTGGAACAAGTGAAATAATACCGGGGACAGTTCAAAGTGACAATAGTGAGTTATCTTTATTCTCTGTTGTGTGTTTTCGAAAAAACAGGCAAACAAACAATCTCTTTAGTATCTTCACGTATTGGCTTTGTCGGGAATTTTGTTTGATTAGTTGGAGGATTTCATCACGACGAGCTGATATCAGTTAGAGAAGCATTGGAAAACCACCATTGGAGTACTGCTATACAGCTGTTTCATCAGCCTAATTTGGGATTCTTCATCAGTATGCACCCACACCGCGGGGTTTAAACCTAGGACCTCCGGGCTACAAGGCGAGTTAGCTCGTGGACCATTCAGCCACTGGGACCGTATCCAATGACCAGTCCAGGAATCTCATATTCTGCCGATTCATGACATAGCACGACCATGAAATGAGTTCCCTCAAGGTTGCAGATACGCCTTTCCGATGAGTGCCAACTAGCACGAAACCTAGGTGCAAGGCTTCCTGCCGATTGCCCTTAACTATCTGTTATCATCAAATCAATGTGTACCGTGATGGGGGACTACCTAGAATGGTGGTCACATTGCTAACCTGACTGACAGAATTCAGTCTGCATCAAAGAAAGAACTAGATACATCACACTAGTTACTAGTGTCCAATTAAAATAATCTGAGTGTGTGTTGAACTGATTCAGCTCTTTGAGCTGAATTGAACTGGATACGCCGCTGATAAGATCGACCCCAGACGAGAAAATTGGCCTTCCGGTGTTTAGATCACCTCAGTCTGTTTAGCAAGCACGCTATTGGTTGATATTGGTGGTGTATACTGTTATGTACCCACATGATGTGTGTTTTGTTTTTGACAGTCTACTAAATTATGCTATGTGTATATGGATCGATATTTCATTATTACTGACCGAAAGCTGCTACCTTGACGTGGTGGTCGGGCTTGAACACCGCAATGACCTAATCAAGCTATACTGGCTGAGACTTATGTCTCTTGAGGTTCTACCATGCCAGGCAGGTTGTTTGGATAGCGGTTAAACAAAAAGCAGCTACCTCATCCAATACCATGATCCAAACAAATTCACAAAATTTCATGCCGGATCGGCCGTGGCCCGGATTAACAACGACCGCGCTTCCTGCTGCCGTGTCACAGGGCGGGAGTGATAAGTATGCTACTGAGGCACACAAAACAACAAAGAACGAACAAAAACAGGCCGCGTGTGACCGGCCACAAGCAGTTGTCCCCTGGGCTCTGCGGTCACGCAACCAACTTCCACGGTGTGGGCAGCCGGGAAGTAACAATCGCCCTCACAATCCAAAACGCACACAAAACCTCTCTAATCCTCACTTATCTTTGTCTTCATCTTCATCTCTATTACCTTACCTTCCCCCAGTGATGCAACTCCTCTACTTGATGGCTCCTCACTCCCTCTTCACTCTGTGTCCACTAAAAACGACGAAAGCCAAAAAACCACCACGGATAGTCTCCTAAAGCCACGCCACCAATTTCATATAGGAGCATTTAATGTAAGGACACTTTGCCAAATAGGACAACAAGCATCACTAGCTAAGACCCTGGCATCTCGAGCCATTGATGTATGTTGTGTTTCAGAAACACGCATACAAGACCCAAGTGTGGTTATTCACCTAACCCCACCTGGCCAACAGGATGAATCTTCAAAATTCACCTTGAGGGTGTCAGGAGATGCCACAGCTAGTTCACGGGGATTAGCTGGCGTAGGGATAGCTCTGAGTACTAGGGCAGAAAAGACATTGCTTGACTGGATCCCAGTAGATAGCCGAATGTGTGCTGTCCGTCTGAACGGATCAGTAAGAAGGAGAAAGGACTGCACTACTCGCCGATGCCTTTTCGTAATCTCCGCCTACGCCCCCACTGACTGCAGTTCGGATGAAACGAAGGATGAGTTCTACCAAAAGCTGTCTAGTTTGGTGAGAAAGGCTAAACGCTCAGATATAGTCGTTCTAGCTGGTGACTTCAACGCTCAAGTAGGGAAATTGTGTCAATCTGAGAAGGATGTCGGTGGCACCTATGGAGTTCCGTGCCAGCGAACCGACAACGGTGACCGTCTCCTACAGTTCTGTTCAGATAATCATTTGTTTCTTGTAAGCACTAACTTTAAACACAAGGAGAGACACTGTTTAACCTGGCGACCCCCATCATCAAACCAACGCTGGACACAAATAGACCACATAGCAATAAGCTATCGTTGGCGTGGGTCGGTAGGAGATTGTCGCTCCTTCTGGAACACGTGTGTAGATACCGATCACGCACTGGTCCGGGCTCGTGTGTGCTTACGACTGAACGGACGTAGGAAACAGCTGGCGGTAAAACCATCACGCCCCCAGCTCGATCAGGAAACTAAATCCCTATTTGAGGAAGAACTAGCTAAACGCATATCTGAATTCGACAGCTGTGCTCACCCTGGAGAAGCCTGGAAGAATATTCAGTCAGCTATAGATACAGCTGTAAAAGCTGTGAATAAGACAAATCCAAAGGTGAGTAAAAACCACTGGATTTCGACTGCCTCATCCGAACTGATAGATGCTAGAAGACTTATTCCGGCGAGCTCCGAATTCAATGAGGAGCGAAAGCTGCACAAAAGGAAACTTACTAAAAGTCTCCGCAAGGACCGTGAACAGTGGTGGGTGACAAAGGCGAAAGAGATGGAAAAAGCATTGGCGATAGGCAACACTAGGCAACTCTTTAGACTCATCACAGAATCGGGCGGGAAAAGGCAATTCATAAGTGAGACTATTTCTGAGAAAAATGGCTCCTTAATTAGCTCTCAGGATAGACGCCTTGAACGCTGGAAAGAACACTTTGAGGAACAATTTAACTTGCCTACAGCCACACTGAACCTCCCCGCCATCCACCACGTACCCGAATGGGATATAGACACTGGTCCGCCGTCTGTAGGTGAGGTTACAAAAGCTATCAGTAATTTGAAACGAGGCAAAGCGGCAGGACCCGACGGAATTATTCCGGAGGTGTTTAAATATGGGGGTGACATACTAGTTTGTAGATTAACTGAGGTACTAGGCAAAGTCTGGGAATCAGAGACAGTACCATCAGACTGGGGTAAGTCACTCATTATACCGATATTCAAGAAGGGAAACAAGTCCTCGTGTGATAATCATAGGGGGATCAGCCTAACGAACATAGTCTCTAAAATCCTAGGCTCAGTAATCATGCATAGACTAAGCAGAACTCGGGAGGAACAGACAAGGGAAAATCAAGCAGGCTTTAGACCAGGTAGAGGGTGCATAGATCATATCTTCACTCTTCGACAGATTCTAGAACATAGACACACTTTTCGGCGTCCAACAATTGTCATATTTCTTGACTTGAAGGCGGCCTTCGACTCCGTGGACCGAAAAGTACTATGGCAATGTCTGACTGTGAAGGGAGTGCCAAGAAAGTACATTGCACTAATCAAGGCACTCTATTCAAACTCACGTAGTCGTGTAAGGGCTTATGGGGAATTGTCATCTGAATTAGTAACAACCAGTGGTGTCCGACAGGGATGTCCACTTTCCCCATTTCTGTTTAACTTCATCATAGATATGCTAATGGAAGTATCCTTAACTGAACGTAGTGACTTAGGAATCGACTTGTTACCAGGGAATAATCTTATGGACTTAGAATATGCAGATGACATAGTCCTGTTAGGGGAGGATGCTGACAAAATGCAGAGTCTTCTGAACACCTTGAGCAGCAATCTTCGTATGTTTGGCATGCGATTCGCCCCTGCAAAATGTAAGATGCTGCTACAGGACTGGACGACGTCAACCCCTAACTTAGTGATAGGGAGTGAAGTGATAGAACATGTTGACCACTTCACCTACTTGGGAAGTTGTATTAGCACCAACGGACTGATTGGCGATGAAATCTCAGCACGGATCCGAAAAGCTCGAGCTGCTTTCGCTGACTTACACCATCTCTGGCGTAGGCGTGACATCCGGTTATCAACCAAGGGACGTGTGTACTGCTCATCAGTTCGCTCCGTCCTTCTCTATGGCTCTGAAACATGGCCAATACGCGTTGAAGACATGAAAAGGTTGACTGCTTTCGATCATAGATGTCTGCGATCTCTGTCTCACGTTAGGTGGTTTCACAAGATAAGTAATGTTGACGTTAGGCGTAGAGTGTTGGGCAAAGAGGGAAAATCAATCGACGAGGTTATAAAGTTACATAGACTAAGATGGCTAGGTCACGTGGTGCGCATGCCTAACCACCGCCTCCCCCGACGGGCATTGTTAGCTGATATAGGTTCAGGTTGGAAAAGAGCCAGTGGTGGCCAAACAAAAACATGGCATCAATCCATGAAATCCTTGACAGTTAAACTGAGTCAGGTAGGGAGATGCAGACTCCCGGGTTGGGGCCCTCGGGACTCTAGGAATCAATGGCTGGAGACAATAGGTGACATGGCTCAAAATCGTTGTCAATGGCGCAGATGTATTCAGTCTCTGTAATCTTTCATATTCCTTTCTACCATTACCCATTCTGTTTCACTCTTATACTTGTCAAACTCTATTGATTCTCTTCACTCATCTTCTTGTCTACCTCTGTGTGCTATTTGGAACGTGGCAACTCGAACTGCTGCACTTCGGTGCCAAGTTCTATGTTGAATCCAGACAGAATTGACGCAATAAGGAAGAGACTACAAATTGAATAGACAAAATGAAAAATTGGTAGCGCTAAAATATGACTGAGGATTACCATACTTTAGCGTAGAGGGATTAAGACCATGAAAGTTGGAGGGGTTGAACGAACTTTTCTGTACACAGAGATCTGGCTTTTCTGTTTCGGTAGCCAAAAATGGCTGCAGCAATACAGATGAGCCGGGTACGTAGGGATTTGGATAAATTACTCTTTGCCTTGTAGATGACTTTAAAGGCGGAGGCTATAGAGATAGGTGGGTGATCATTATCGACCAGATGTTCAATGATCGCGCTTCTTATTGCTCCACTTTCACCTAATCGTAGCCATGCAGGATAGTGTTCTTGCACATTCTTGGACAAATATCAAGTCGAACGACCGATATACCTAGCTCTACACAAGCAGGTGCTTTGCCACTTGACATTTAACTACGATTATAATCACAAATATTTTAGTTTTAATTGCATTTCATATTACTGCTATAATTATTTTATGCATTCACACCTATGATTCAATTCCCTCACCGGATATAACTTCTTAAAAACTTATAATATGCACTAAAACTCTATTGTTCTTCTTGCATATTACTATTCTTTTCGCCTCACTCACATATATTAGAGTAAAGCCTTGAAGAATATCTAAATGGAAATGCGATATTATTGACTTACATGTTTATGTGTTCTTCTAAATTTGCACTACAGGCTAACAAAGAACGACTACTTAACTTGTCTAACTTAAATCGAAGTAAACTGATCAATTCACCGTCGTTACAATCATCATCAGGAACAACAACAACAACATCAACGCGAACGCGATCAAATAAAGAATTTCATAGTCTCTCTGAAGTAACCAATACCGATGAAATTAATTGGTCAGAAACACAATCCGAATCCTATGAATCACATACAAAGCAAACTTCTCATTTAAATAAATCATTAAAATTATCTAAGAATGATCAACAATCTAATGAAAATGGACATTTATTATTATCATCATCACACAGCTCTAATACGCCATCATTATCTTCATCATCGACAAACAATCATTCAATAGGTGGTGTACGCTTCTTTAAACCGCTACCACGATTAGATGAAAATAATTCTGAGGAATCGGTGCATACAATTCAAGTAACATCGGATTTTATTAATCTTTCCAATACGCCATCATCATGGACAGATAGTAGAAAGTCATCAGAATTCGGTTATTTGTCTAGTGTCACGTATTCACCGCCTGAAAATATATTAGAGAGTAAAGTAATAGACAGTCAACAGGATCATATTGTTCCAGCGGCGGCTGCTGTTGAAACACCTTCACAGTGTCAACAGCAATCATCATCATCACCACGACCGCCATCATCATCTAAAGAAAAGGTGCATGCCGATGGTGACCCCGGCGATGATGATGATGGTGATAATGACACCGTCCGTCAGTTACGCGCTAATATTCCTTATACACCAGTAGAACCAAGTGAAGCTGAGATTGCGCCTTGTTTAGGCTCTAGACTGTCAATGGTATCTTTAGACAAATTAGAGAATTTAATATCTGCATCAGGTCAAGGAAGAAAAAATACATTCATTAAAAGAACTATGGAATATTCAGCAACAACAGTCTTGGATTCCAGCAGCATTTGGGAGAAATCGAGCAATGGAATTCAAGAGACTATAAAAACTGTTGACAGTAGAATGGTTAATTCCACTGATAGACATGAGGAAGGAGTATCTGTTGGCAACAGGAATAATACAGTAAGTTGGTGCTATTTTTTGATCTGTTTTAGTAATTTTGTGTGCGCACCACCACTCACATACATTGGTCTGGAGTTCGATTCTCGACCGGTGCACACTCCTTAATCCCACAAGGTTTACTATTATTATTTATATATTATATAAACGCAGAAAACTTGGTACTATATGGCGCCACACAATAATAATAATAAGGATAATAAAACTACCTGTGGTGTAGGTATAGGTGCGATGACAGAAGTCAAGGGCCAAGCAACAGTCATAATGGCGGACTGCTGAGGAGTACACACTCCCTTTAGTCGACAGCCAGGAAAGCTTTGTATGCTTTTGGAAGTGTGTGAGCGGTTGTTACTTCCCGGCTACACCGTGGAAGTTGATTGATTCTTAGGGTACCTGAAACAGAAAGAGGGTTAGTATTGCGTGACCGCAGAGCCCAGGGGACAACTGCTTGAGGCCAACCACTCACACACGACCTGTATGAACTGGGTCCTAGGGTTGCTTCCGTATTAGCAAAACTACCGCCGGTTACGGACCACCGTATGTGGGGTAAGTCGGGACATACAATTGTTGTGGTTGACCTTTTCTAACCCCCTCCCTCCGGAGTGGAGAGACAGCACAGCATAGCTGGCATGTTGGTCATTTGAGGGAAACACCTCACTGCTATTACACCCCTGTTCCCCAGCAGTACCACTTCGCCCTCAGACAGACCCCCAGCACAGTGTAAGAAAGATTCTGATACTATGTGGGTAACTGCTTTTAGTCTAATCGCTATCCTGACACTAGTCTTGACATGGTAGGACCTGCAGAAACATTGGTTCCAGCCAGTGTAGCTTGTGGGGTCATCGCGACGTGCAAGCCCGACCACCACCTCAAGGTAGCAGCCATTGGTCCGGAAGGTGTAGGTTTCCGGGTTGGGGTCTACAGCACGGTAAAAACCAATGGCGGCTGGAGACAATCGGTGATATGGCTAAAAATTGTTCTCAATGGCTGGTGCAGATGCATCCACTCCAATGAAGCTTTATTGTTCTTCGTTATTACTATTCCTTTGTCTCACACCTCTGTTTACTGTCTCTATTATGCATTTCTTCTAGTTTCTTCTCTTGGTTTGTGTGCTACGTGGAGGGAGTGTGGCGACTTGAACTGCCGCACATATTTGCACATATGGTTTCACGATTGCATATGAGCTATCGTCTCCTCCTCTGGCCAATGTCGAACTGTTCGTTTGCTTTTCGAATTCAACTTGGGTACTCGGCACGTGATATCACTCAGCGGTTTCCTCAGGGTGTGTCCTTGTTTAGGATAAATCTCACGTGAATCTGTATTTTAATAAACTGTCGTGATTATATAATTTATTTATATATTGATTAAATGATTGATTGATTGATTTCCGTTTCAGGTTACAATAAATGGTGAAAAAGAAACTGATACCTCACATCATAATCTTCGTCCATCAAGTCCTGCTGAAGGTGCAGTCAGTGAATTTTCTCATCAATATCATCATCATCAGCGGCAGCACCACCATCAATATTATCAAAATGCTTCGTCAATTTCTTCTTTCTCCTCATCATTACCATGTGTCTTTACTAAAGATTTCCAGTCGTCTGATGAAGTGTATGAAATGAAGAATGACACTATTGCAACACCACATTATGCCTCAGATAGTAATCTGAAATTGTGTAGCCAGACAGAGGTTGTTAAAGATATTTCATTGACGGCTTCATTAATATCTTTTCAACAGAATGAAACACGCTGTAATGAACTGAACACTTCACAGTCTTCTGAAATCGGTATGTTTATTTATTTAATTATTTATTTTTTTTCCTTTTCGAGCTGAACATCATGACTCCAGGTACTCTGTTATCTCTTTCAGATGTGGTTCCATGACTGCCCTAGAGGTTTGCATTTCTTCCGCCTTATATGGTCTCCGTTTCATCCTTGTACTCATCACTAACTTATCACTTCCTCTTAGAGATCCAGTTGAAAATCTGTTACTTAAAGAGGTTTCCTCAGTAGCTTCGCTGCCACACTTCCTTATTGCTTATCTTTCCTGTCCAGCTATGCGGTGAATAGCATCCAAGTAGCGAAGCCGCAAGAGTTGGTGCAAGTCTGCAGTTTGGACTGGAATTCGCACCGATGTCCAGCAGTTCGAGTCGTCACACTCCACTCCATGTAGCACACAAACCAAGAGAAGAAACTAGAAGAAATGCATAATAGAGACAGTTAACAGAGGTGTGAGACAAAGGAATAGTAGTAACGAACGAAGAACCATATAGTTTCATTAGAAATTATACGTCGAAAGGATTGGATGCATCTGCACCAACCATTCAGAACGACTTTGAGCCGTATCACTGATTGTCTCCAGTCACCATTGGTGTTTACTATCCTGAGGACTCCAACCAAGGAGGTCTAGATCTTCCTACATGACTGGCTTAAACTAACTGTTGTGGATTTCATTGACTGGTGCCATGTTTTGGTTTTACCACCTCTGGCTCTTTTCTAACCTGTCTCTATGTAAGCTAATATTGCTCGTCCGTCGAGGAAGGCGATGACTAGGCATACGTAACACATGTCCCAACCATCTCAGTTGATGTGACTTCACAGTCGCGTAGATTGATTTCCCCTCCCATTAACCTAGTACTCGACGCCTAACCTCAATATTACTCATCCTATTATTCCACTTAACATGGGAGACGGATCTCAAGCACCTATGATCAAAGACAGCTAGCTGGCGTTTTCATGTCTTCCACTCTCAATGGCTACGTCTCACAGCCATGAAGGAGGACGTAGCGGACTGATGAGCTGTACACACGCCGGATATCACGTCTACTAAGCCAGAGAGAGACGGCGTATACTGGCATATGTGAAATTAGCCTTCTGTATTCGTGCTGAGATTTCGTCAGCGATCAACCCGTTGGCACTGGCTGATGCAAGTGTCCAAACGAGTGAAATGGCGAACGTGCTCAACTACCACCTCACTCCCTATCTCTAAGTCAGGTAGGAGTGAGTCAATGTAGTCCAGTTCTGTAGCCACATCATCTTACATTTGGCAGGATCGAATTGCATGCCAAACATTCGAAGATTGCAACTCAAGGTGTTCAGAAGACTCTGCACTTTTTGAGCGTCTTCGCCTAGGAGTTAGGACTATACCATTAGTCCAATAATACATCTGTGATGAAATTCAATAGAAATGAGGATAGTAAGCATCCCTGTCGGACACCACTAGTTGTCACCACCTTAGATGGAAACTCTCCCCCTTTCTCATCTGGCTGCATGAGTTTGAGTAGAGTGAGTGTCTTGATCAGCGCAATGTATTTTCTCGTCAGTCCTTTTACAGCCAAACATCGCCAGAGTACCTCTCGGATGACAATCGAATTCCGCCCTTAGGAAAGAACTATTATGATTGTTGGACGCTGGTAGGAGTGTCTATGTTTTAGAATCTGTCGAAAGGTGAATATATGATCAATACACCCTCTTTCTGATCTAAAGCCTACTTGGTTCCCTCGTGTTTGCAGTCTGCAGTAGGCTGTTGAAAATGTTTTTGATTATGTACTATATCTATTAATAATATAGAAGCTCTGATTTGATGTCAGGTGTTTGTTACTGTAATTGTCATATCTTTTATTACAAACGTAATATGTTTTATGTGAAGACGTGGCTCTTTTGTTGAAGCACTCCAGTTATAGTTAATAAGTTCCCAGCCTCAAGTTGTGTTTCACCTGGGTGTAGTATTGCAAGCCGAAATTGTAGACAGCAATTTACGTCAGTGGTACGTCCCGAATCAGGGTCGTAAGAAAAGACAAGAACAAAGCTTAACCTTGAGGAACTCATCAACCAACCACAGCAAACTTAACGTGTGCAAAGAGGATTCGCAGATATATGGCTTAACTTCCTGAGTAACGGCCACAAGCAGTACAGAATAATCTTCAGCAAGAAAAAAACCAATCCGAAGACCTTGCTTCTCCACTGACAATAATGTACATAAAGATCTATAAATATCTCATGATTTTCTCAATAAGTGATCTGTTGACTGGCCCTTGTCTTCTGTCGTTACATTTGATGTCGCTGCCAGCCGAAAAATGGAAAGCCTATGCTCTGCAGTTTTTGATGGAGACAAATGGATCTTCTGGAAGTACTTCGAGGCTGTCGTGCAGTTGAATGGTGTTCAGGGTCCGTCAGCGATGAGTCTGTTACTTGGAACGCTGCTGGGAGATCAGGCGACGGCAGCATATGACAGTGTGAGGCAAAACACCAGCGAATACGCACCAGGGTCATGGAAACTGCTTGCAAAGTGGGAAGAACCATACATGAACACTGTGAGATGGCATCAAGTACATACGATCAGAAATGCAAACAAAGAGAGGTGGGTGAACGTCAGTGAGCTCTGGAACTCGATACAGTAAGACAAGCCCAAGAAGCACTGGACACTGACTTCATCCCCCCCTTGAGGTTCTCCAGTAGTGCACACATCCATGTTTCCACAAGAGGTATTGAATCCAGAACCTTCTATTTGAATGGTCAACGGACTGACCTTGTAACTTGGAGGTATTGTGTTCATCTTCTCTTAACATTGTGGATGTGGTCTGATGAGGGGTTCTAAACTATGACAAAAACCCTCGTGAATTTCTTCCAAAATCAATCTGGAATGATAATCCAAACGTTGTTGAGTTACGTGTAAGATCTAAACACACAGTATATGTCTAGACCGCGGTGGCACAGTGGTTAGGACTCTCGCCGACCGTGCACATGGTCCGGGGTTCGAGCCCACGCCGACGCACACCTGATATCTATGGTCGGCCTGCGAGTTTTGGGCTACCGATATCCATGCTGAAAATTCCATACATGTACCAAAAATACGGTGTGGAATCAAGCTGTAATCAAAATAAAATAAAAAAAATAAAAAATAAATACTACATTAGACAAAAAACAATGAAATATGATATACAAACCTCAGATTGTGTGGTGTCTCTGCCTGAGTGCCGACGAATGCACAGTCACTGTGCGTCAATAAGTGAAGTCAGCACAACTGTATTGAAGGCAATTCACAGGTGTATTAAACATCGCACGAATTTCAGACTAAGGACAAAAGAATTCGAATGAACAGTATTCAACGCAGAAAGGTGTATTTATGAAGCATATGCAGTAGATAATGTTTAACTATAAGAAAGAAATTACTACACATCAAATATATTCTTACATCGTGTGAGTAAAACTTCATACTACTGACTAGTATTAAGTAGTATAAATTTTAACGCAAAAGAAAGATATCAAAGGACAAAAAAGTAAGGAATTTACAACATCTGTCTGGCATACGAATGGTTCCCAATGTTTTCCTAATTTATGGAACACTGAAAAAATCTGTCTACAGAAAGTCGACGTGGAACGGACAACTTACTCACTTTCACAGTTGAGTACCTCTCTACACCAAACGACACCTGATCCGTTCACTCAGCTACAGAGTCCACAGAATCTGCACCCCGGATACGATAGTAGTAGACGAACTGGACAATCTTAAGAGAATCCTCGTCGATGATTGTTACTTAGAACGATTTATTGCAAAATCGATGAAACCTAGACCACAAAAGTCAATACGCTCAGCACCTCCAAAAAACTTCTCTACATGAACCTTCAGTTCAGTGGAGATATATCTGCGGAAACACTGAAAAATCGACTGTCGCGTTGACTTAAGAAAACCTTCTTCGCAACTGCACTACAATTAACCTTCTCCACAAAACATATGAATCATGATGAACGTGAAGGATAGGCTTCCGCTGCTGGCCCCATCAATGTGTATCTACCAGTTCACCTACTCGTGTGGATCCAGGTATAGATATGATAGAGAAGATTTGTAGCTCAGGTGGATGATTTTGATGTGGTTTTGTTCTCTGAGCTGGATGGTTAATTTGCGAAGCTTTCATCACCCTACTGGGTGACATCATCAGCGCATACTTCAATTTGAAGTATGTCTGCCGTAGCCAGTGTTCGCTTTCCAAACGTATCATTGAACACTTACCAGCATGGTTTTACAGAGGAGAAAATCGATGCCCCCGCAGCTCTATCTAAGAACCTCTGATAAATTCATGACACCAAGCTACACCTCAAACAAACTTCAGAGTTGACTAGTGAATAGGAAGCAGTCTTCTTAAAGGTGTACGAATCAGACTTCTTCAAACTGCAGGAGCAATGACAGTTCACTTACTAAGTCCTTATTTTAAATGGCATTATTCTCTACACCACCTTTACTTAATCTCTACATGTTATTACCTCTGTTAGTATCCTGACCTGGGTTGAAAAACTTTAGTCAGTTATATATAACGTCATCTAACCTACTAGCTCAATCTTTAGTTGCTGTCTAATTAACCTTGTTTCTATATTAAATCATTCTTGTACTACCTAATTAATTATCTAAACTTGACAAACCTCATGTACACAGACATACACACACAAATAATTATATATAAATGCGATTGTACAGCTATGTGAATGAATTTGCCGTCGAAAAGAGTCTCTTCGCTGAACATCTCTTTTTCATATGACTCAATGGGGTTATCGATTAACAAATATCAATCTATACTACTGACTGGTTGTAAGTAGTGTAAATTTGAACGCAAAAGAAAGAATAACAGAGGACAGGTAGGAAAGCTATTAACAATGTTTGTTCAGCACACGAATGGTTTCCACTGTTTCCCTAATTCATATTGGTTTCTATTTAAACAGCCTACTCTTTCAAGATCAATAGATAATCTTCCTTTGAGTAATTCGGTTTACTTTTTGTTTAATTTCTTTTTTTTTTCTGCAGTTAAAAATATGAAGGATCAGTTTTTGGATGCTTTACCTGAAAGTATAACTGCTAAAGATGTTGTATTGAATGCTGATATGTTGGTGAATATTTCAACAAATATGAAATCATCAATTCCACCAAATAAACATTCATTGAATAAACAAACTTCAAAGGATTCTTCAAGCAGACCAACTAATCCTGTTCGTAATGGACTTCGTATGGTTAAAGCGTCTACTGAGGGAAAGTCACAAATCTCTTCTTCTACAACACATAATCTGCCTAGACAGAAATCTACAGGTCGTGGATTCCTTCAAAGCAGTGCTTCAGTTGTGCAAACATCAATGAAAAATGTAAGTCTGATGCTTTAGAGTAGTATTGTATGTTGTATTCACTTCACTCTTCTTAACGATAATTCTGTTCGCCGAGTGGTATCACACGACGTCTAGATCCTCGAGTGTAACCCGAATTGGGGGGGGTGGCGACGAGTCGGAGGAGATCATGTGAAGAAGTGAAGCTGGTTAAAAATGACTTCAGATCAGCAGTTTTATTTTTATGGGAAGGATAGAGATAATACTAGCCTCTACCCTTGCTCAAGCTTCCGTCTTTACCAGCGTTACTACCGGCTTAGCCAGGTTAAGGATTGCATTGACCAGGAATCGAACCCATGACCATGTGAGGCATTCCCTCATAGACAACTAGCTAACTAGTTTTCTAGCCGGTCCCAAGCCCGGGTAAAGAGGGAGAGTTAGACGTGTGGGGCTAGCAACCCCATTTCGCTAAATCTTTCAAACCGCTAGAGAAACTTCAACACACAGAAAATATACTAAAAATGCATAAACTTCAAATAAAAACAATCTTATTCTCCGCTCGAATCGGAGAGGCGAAATGACACAGCGGGTTGGTGAAAGCCTTTGGGAAGCCAGTTAGCCAGTCGGTGTGCCTTCTTTCGACAAAAGCAAAAATAAGAGTGGGGACGTGGAATGTCCGTACAATGTACGAGACTAGTTGGGAAGGCTGCCCAGGTAGCCAAAGACATGCGAAGATATGGCTTAGAAGTACTGGGTATCTGTGAGAGAGCAGATGGAATAGATGTGGACTGACGACATTGTCAACCGGTCACCACGACAACACACTGAGGCAGTGAGTGGTTATCATGATATTACCAGTGGCAACCAAAGGCCTGATGCAGTGGGAACCAATCTCTCCATCCAGGATTATGACAGCAGGATTCAGCTCCAAAGGAAGGAAGGTAACAATTATCCAATCCTGCGTACAGTGCTACAAACAACGCAGAACAAGAAAAGAGGGAAAAATTTTACAGACAACTACAAACAGTAGTGCACAACATCCCAAATGATGACATCAAAATCCCTATGGGCAATATGAATGCCAGTCGAACAGGAAGCAGATAACATAGGAAGAGAACTCATCATGGGTCGAGAGGCTCTGGCTCGGCGAAATGAATGAGAGCAGAGAGCTCTTTGCAGACTTCTGTTCTTTCAACGATTTGGTGATCCGAGCGAGCGTGTGTACAAACACAAGAATATACACAAAGCAACATTGATTTCGCCTGATGGACATACCGAAAATGAAACAGATTTCATATCAATGGTGCTCAAGGAAATGGAGACGCAGTCAGCCTGCTGGACACAAAGTCGAGAAGGGGAGCATATGCGCGCTCAGATCATCATCTAGTTGAAGGAACCTTCAAGGTGAAGCAAGAATCCATGAGAAAACAAATGGAGACAGACCACAATTCAAGTTCAATATTCAGAAACTGAAGGACAAAACTACATTGGATACCTTCGCTACAGAGATCAGAGCAAAGTCGGACAAACTACGTGGCATCACTGAGGAAACCTGTATGGAAGAACATTGGAACTCTCTGAAGAAAGACAAGGGATGGCACTCAACGGACACCTACCTGGAAACTAATAGAAGAGAGGAGGCTGGTGAAAGAGAAGATGATTCAATGCGAAGATGGACAAAAGAAGGAGAAGCTGAGTTCAATGTACATTGCACTGAATCAAGAAGTGAACAAGAGTGCTAAAAAAGAAAAACGACAATTCTACGACACACTGGCTGGCGACTGAAGTAGAACAGGTGGGCCACGGTCAAAAGAAATATCAGGACACTATACCAGATAACCAGGTTTTTATTCGGGAAGAGATCAACCCAGATGATGAAACCAATAAAAGATGCTGAAGGAAACCTGATTACCATGGAAAAGAACCAAATAAAACAATGGGCTGATCACCTTGAAGGACTCTTGAATCGACCATTACCGGCAACTCGCCTAGAAATATACCACCACCAACAGCACCCACTGAACTGCCTGCCAGTGGACACCACTACTCCAACGAAAGAAGAAATCCTGAATGCGATCAAGGTATTGAACACCGATCGGGAAGGCAGTAGGACCAGACGGAATTCCTCCTGAAGCACTGAAGACGGCCCTACGGATTGCGGCAGATGTTCTCACTCCATTACTGCAAAAAGTTTGGAAAGAAGGAAAGTTGTCTACTGATTAGAAAAAGGTCTACCTCGTCAAATCGCCAAAGAAAGGCGATTTAGGACTGTGCAAGAACTGGCGTGGAATAATGCTTTTGTCCACACGAAGTAAAATACTAAGTCGCATCCTCCTGGAGAGAATAGAGGATGCACTGGATACAGAACTCCACCCAACCCCGGAACAAGCTGGATTCAGGAAAGGTAAATAATGTGCTAATTAAACTGCAACTCTACGCATCGTCGTCAAACAAAGCATAGAATAGCAGTCGAACCTTTACCTCAATTTCATCGACTTCGAAAAAGGCCTCGACAGACGGCGTAGACGGAGAAGTCATTTGGAAACTTCTTCAACACTGTGGTATACCTCAAGTATTTATCAACCTCATTCAACAGCTAGCTATATGACAATGCCACGTGTCAGGTGATCCACAACTGAAAACTCAGCGAGGCGTACAGGAGTAAGACAAGCTGGCTGACTGCCTATTATCACCGATGCTATTCCTAATTGTGGTGGACTGGATTATGCGTCAGACTATTGAGGGTGAGGAGTCAGGAATACGATGGATGACCGGTAAGGAGACTGTAGAAGATCTGGATTTCGTGTGTGGATGATTTATGTCTAATGTCACACAAAGCAGGCGAAAACCAACAAACTGGCTGAAGAAGAGGTAGTGAAGACAGGACTGCCGGTAAACATAGAGAAGACGAAGGTGACGAAGATAATCAACCAACCAACCAACCAACCAACAACGACTAGCACCAATCACCAATCAACGGGAAAGATTTAGCAGAGGTTGCCTCCTTTACTTATCTAGGGAGCATCGTCTCAACTACAGGCGGAACAGACTAAGATGTCAAAGCTAGTCAGAATTGAAAAGGCAAAATACGCCTTCATCAACCTGAAACCAGTCTGGAAATCTTCCGTACTAAGCATAAGGAACAAGATTCGCATTTTCAACACAAATGTCAAGCCGGTTCTTCTTTTCACAGGTCAGAAACTTGGTCTGTCACAGAAAGGATTTCCAACAGCCTGTTGGAAACTTTTATCAATAGCTCTCTCACCTTCGCTGGCTCCATACTGTGCGTCGGTAGCACAGTGGTTAGGACTCTCGCCGACCATGCACATGGTCCGGGGTTCGAGCCCACGCCGGTGCACACCTGATATCTATGGTCGGCCTGCGAAATTTGGGCTACCGATATCCATGCTGAAAATTCCATACTTGTTGTACCAAAAATACAGTGTGGAATCAAGCTGTAAATCTTAAAAAAAAAATGGCCAACCGTCTGGCTAGAAAGAATAAGCAACAAGAAACTATGGGGAACAAACCGACAGGCGAGAGCCGATCGGTCAACAAATATGTAGGAGAAAATAGAGATGGACTGTTCAGGCATACATTGAGGAAGCCGCCGAAAATGACATCGCATGCCAAGAAAACGCTTGAGTATAATCCCAGTGGGAAGCGACGAGTAGGTCGTCAGTGCGAGGGTGACACGGAGGAGATCGTGTGAAGAAGAGATGATAGAGTTTGATCAATCATGGACCCAGCTGATGAGGATAGCAGAAAACAGGACAAAGTGGAGATGTATTGTTGAAGCCCTCCCTATGTTCCACTCGGAATGCAAGGGAATAATCATAATAATTAATATAACCACATGAGGCGTGGTTGGTGAGCAGTCTACCTCTGAATGACTCAAAATCGGTAAATGACGGTAAAAACAGACAATTCAAGCTTCGTGTTCACCTCACACCTAATCGAACTGTGCATGTCGTAGGTTGTTTTTGAATTGAAAGCATCAACAATTTATCCGACTGTTGATTATGTCATAAGTTATGCAGATTGTTAGCCTAATTTCTCGTTGTTTTCTCCTTTCTACTGACTTGTCTGAATGAGTTGTTGAGTCTGTTTATGAAATCTTTTAAAGTGAGTACATTTTCATCTTTTACCCAACTATTCTTTCTTTCTTTCTTTTCTTCAGAAATTGCAAAGTACAGGCATTCCTCGTGTTGAACAAAAATTACCTAGACCTTCTTCATCAATTCCTAAATCCCATACACAGTCATCTAACACTATCAGATCATCTATCAAACATCAGCCTTTGATACCTCGTAATGCCCCACCTGTATGCCGAATTGAAACTTCTTCTTCTTCTGCTTCGTTATCTGGATGTCGAAAGTTAAATCCTATCGATCTAGCAAAAACATTACGCATGGAACTTGCACAATGGCAAAAAAAGCGTTTAGGACAACGTAATGAAGCTGTTAGTGAGAAAGCCACAACATCGCCACCAACAATAACTACAACACTAAGTGCTTCTGATTCACCGCCACACACCATCCAAGCCTCTTCTTCTTCATCTTCTGGTGAGCCTATTGTCGACAGGAATACAACTAGCGAACATGTACCAAAGACTGAAGGTTAGTCACATTCATTCGGTGTCACTTTAGTTTTTATATATTAAATATTTACATAGTAAAATTTAGAACAACACATTTAAGCGAACAATATTGCTGTTTTCAAGTAGATCTTGTCAGGCTTAACTCTAATATATGTAAGTTTACAAATAAAAATTCAAATATACAAACAGATCATGGTGTTTTGTCTATAGGATAATAAGAGGGTGAATATAAATTGTGCAATTAGTCGTAATAGTAGTAATGATAATAATAATGGTCTTATCAATAATAAGGATGAAAAGGTGAGGCAATCTGTGATAACACGAATAATGAAAAAAACAGCATGATTAAACATGATTAAACGAGAGCCTTCAAAGTAATTCATCGTATCCCACCGAATCTTTTCAATAGACTTCGTATTCGTCTACTGCACACAGCTGAGGCAGGCGATAGGCATTCGAACTATTAAGCCCCTAAACTATGCATTCAAAAGAAGCTCGTACAGCCATTATCCCTCCCTTGGCCTATTAAGACATAACCAACCAATTACTTCTACACCACCCCTTGTTTATATTTTCAACCCCAGTCTGTTGTCATCCCTTAATCTTATCACATCTTCATTAAAAATGTGTTTCATTTACTTCCCTTACAATCAATCTGGCATTACTTTATCGGTTCATTTGTTTGTTTAATCATGCTGTTTTTTTCATTATTCGTCTTATCACAGATTGCCTCACTTTTTCATCCTTATTATTGATAAAACCATTATTATTATTATTATTATTAATATTAATATTATTATCATTACTACTATTATGACAAATTGCACAATTTATACTCACCATCGTATTATCCTATAGACAAAACACCATGATTGGTCTATACTTGTATTAAATTTGTAAACTTGTGTATATTAGAGTTAAGCCTGATGAGATCTAATTGAAAATAGCAATATTGTTCGGTTAAATGTGTTGTTCTAAACTTTAATTTCTTGTAAAATAAATAAATAAATTCGTCTTAATTCGCCTTAATATTTATCGCAATCATGGTTACGAAATTTCGAGAGAATGAATTAAGTGGGATTTGTTGGAATCATTACCTTGAATACCCATCCTGCCGTCATACGTTTATTGGACGGAAATGCTCGGTTTTTTGTTGTCATGTCGTTGGCTGCTCTTGGGGTGATGTGATGCAGACAATGTTATCCAAAGGAATATAATTCTTACATATTCCCACAGTTCAACAATGCATTAGCAACAGGATAATATATATATGTATATATGTCGGAAATTAAATACCTAGGCGTCATTCTATCTGCTGATCTTTCCTAGTCGTCTCATATCTTGATGATTTCTAAGAAAATATTCCGTCTTACCTTCTACAACAAAAAGTTAAGACATTCTGGAATAACCCACCCAACCCTTACTCCTACGATTCGTCAACTCTTGCATCCTGCCTATTATTCTCTGAAGACTATACCTTATTACGCAGGATGTTAAAGGTTATCATCAAGGTGAGCAACGTGCCACTTCACCAGCTTTTTAATATTCTGGTCGATATGCACTTGGACTCATGTGAAAAATGGGCTAAATCCATTTTATCTAACTCACACCACCCTCTTCATTCATAACTCTCCCCTTGTATCTCATCAGGAAAAACCAGAAGCCTAAATAGAAAACTATATACTCGCACTAGTAAGTACAAAAAACTCAACCATACCCTACTTGGCTCGTTCGTCTTCTGTGCGATAAAGAAAGCATTAGGCGGGAAACTTATAACTTAATAAATAGTCAGTAGGACAACTGTATCTTGTCTTTCCAACTCATATCATATCATTTAGAGGTACAACGTTTTCTTTCTCTCTTTTCCTTTTCTCTCTCTCTTTTTTCTGTTATGTGCTGTTTTGTTTCTCTCTTCCTTACAAACTCTACTCAAAACATTCTTCTTCGTTCTTTCACACTCTGTATATCTCGACCTTTTTGTTACCGCTTACGCCAGTATATATGCTGGCATCTACTTTTCCAACACCTTCAAACATTCTGTTCACTTTTGGCTTTGCTACCGACATGACAATATGTTCTTGTCAAAACTAACTGAGATTACCCATAATCTTTGTAGAATTTTGCTTATTTTTAATGTACAAACTGGATGCAATACTGTAGTGAAATGCTGAGAATTCCATTCTGTATCACAAGTACTGTTTTGGAATAAAGCAAATTACTATTATTATTATTATTAAGTGTTGGTTTGTAGGGATTTGGTTGGTTTCAGGATTTCATCATGAGCTGACATTAGTTAGAGAACCATCGGAAAACCTGGGAGTACTGGACAGCTGTTTCGTCCTAGTTTGGGACTCTTCCACAGCAGTACGCACCCACCGGGATTCGAACCCAGGACCTTCCGGTTACAAGGCGAGCTCCCAGGTTTTCCGATGGTTCTCTAACTAATGTCAGCTCATGGTGAAATACTATTATTATTATTGAACATTCTATTTCATGTTGCTTAGTGTCAAACCGAAATCATGCTCTCTGTGATTGGTTAATAGAATATAAAACTGTATATAGATATATAAATAGCTGTTTAATCACTTGAAAGTATACCTTGGCTTCTGCTGTTACACCATCGTTGAACTATTTTTCCAGATTTCTTGTCGTATTCGGGTCAACTAATCTAGATTTTGCTAGGTTTTAGTGTACCGTTAGTCTTACTGAGCCCCCCCCCCACATCTCATTACTCTGACGTATGCATTACTTACTGAGTAATAGCAATAATAATATTTATAATAACGAAGTGCGTGACAAACATGCACAGAATGCTGCGAACACTAACAATATGGAATATAAATAAATCCTCAGTAATACTTCCATACAAAGAATGAACCTAGGAAACCAACCACCTTACACTGAGGAATTCTGAACAATTCAGGCAGGGAATAAAAGTGACTGGCATTCAAGCCGCCCACAAACTCAATTAGAAACAAACTTTGTCGGTTAAAGGATCAATCCTGTGGAGTCAATTTAAACAAAACAATTTGCCTCCAGTGATTGTCAGATCAAATACATAGGTCAAAGTAGTAGAACGAAGGCAATCAGTTAGACTAGAGGAGCACAAAAATCTAGCAGCAAAATCTAGATTAGTTGACTCGAATAAGATGAGAAATCTAGAAAATAATAGCTCAGCAGCTATAGCACTATAATCAGTTACATACAACCATACAATAGGATGGATGGGGTAAGATGACAGTTTTAAAGTCTAATTTAATGTATGTAACAGCAGGGTGGAGGGAGAGATTGATAACGAAAGATTTGTTTATCGAATCAGCTGTAAACACGTGTAATGGGAATGATTCAACACATGTTCAATCGAACATCCGCATAATTCTACTACCCCTACGACGATGAATGGGAGAGAATAAAGAAAAATTATAAAATCCAAGTTTCGAAGTTGTGTGATTATAATTGATGAAATGATAATGAACGATAATTTTTGCAAAGGGAATGCCGAGAAAATACATTGCACTGATTAAGGCACTCTACTCGAACTCATGCAACCAGGTCAGGGCTTACGGCGAGTTTTCGTCTGAAGTGGTGACGACTAGTGGTGTCCGTCAAGGATGCCCATTATCCCCATTTCTATTCAATTTCATCGTAGATGTACTAATGGACTTAACCCTAAGTGACTTCAGAGACTCAAGTATTGACTTGCTAACAGGGAATATTCTCGTTGACTTAGAATATGCAGACGATATAATCCTTCTAGACGAGGACGCTGACAAAAAGTAGAGTCTTCTGAACACTTTGAGCTGCAATCTACGAATGTTTGGCATGCTATTCACTCCTGGTGTCAAATGTAAGATGATATTACAGGACTGGACTACACTGACTTCTAGTTTAGAAATAGGGAGTGAAGTGGTAGAGCACGTTGACCGCTTCACTTATTTGGGAAGTACCATCAACCAGTGCCAACGGGCTGATCTCTGACGAAATCTCGGCACGCATACATGGGGCTAGTTTTGCATATGTCAGTTTACGCCGTCTCCGGCTTAGTAGACGTGATATCCGGCTGGCTCTCGACCAAAGGTGTACAGCTCATCGGTCCGCTCCGTCCTCCTTCATGGCTTTGAGCGAGACCTGGCCATTGAGAGTTGAAGACATGAAAAGATTAGCTGTCTTCGATCATAGGTGCCTGCGTTCTATCTCCCGTGTGAAGTGGTATAATATGGTGAGCAATATTGAGGTTAGGCTTCGGTCGAGTGCTAGGTAAGGAGATGGAATCAATCGTTGAGGCTGTGAAAATACATCAACTGAGATGTTTAGGACATGTTTTACGTATGCCTAGTCATCGCCTTCCTCGACAACGGGGAATATTAGCTGACATAAGGTCAGGCTGGAGAAGAGCTAGCGGAGATCAAACGAAAACATGGCACCAGTCAATGAAATCTACAACAGTTAGTCTAAGCCACGTAGGAAGGTGCAGACTTCCTGGTTGGTGTCCTCGGGACGGTACAAACCACTGGTTGGAAATAATTGGTGATATGGCTCAAAGTCGTTTTCAATGGCTGGCGCAAATGCATCTACTCCTTGTGCCTTATGATTTCCAATGGAACTATATAGTTCTTCGTTATTACCATTCCTTTCGTCTCACACCTCTGTTTACTGTCTTTATTATGCATTTCTTCCACTTTCTTCTCTTGCTTTGTGTGCTACAAGGAGGGATTGTGGCGACTTGAACTGTTGCACATCGGTGCAAAGTTCTATGTTGAAAACAGACAACCAAGACTACTATTTGATGTTAGCCATATCAAACTACTTATATTAATAGAGCAGTAGTATATCTCATGGTAGCTTTTGTCGAACACTTGTTGTTTGACTGATGAACATATGTGTAGTAGTCATCTGTGGTAGTTGTTCAATTACTTTTGGTATAAGATTGCTTGGTACAGCTGTATTCTTGAAATTCCTTGATTTGGCCACACTTGGGAAACATTCCCTTAAGAGGTGCACTTGCTTCGGTCTTAGACGTCCACCCCTCGTACAAATCATGTATGTAGCATATGTGGAGTTCACACTGAGGTAAGCAATGACGATGTTGTCAAGAAAAACATAAAGAGCTTCTCAATGAAAACCATTTTACAGCTTGGAGAACACAATCACATCTAAGTTTAGTACTTTCCTACAGGGTGTGTAGTTGACTTCATAGTACTTTTCTCCGTTGTTTTATATAACAATCAATAATTTATTATTATGTCAGCTTGGTATATTTACATCTCTCTTCATCTGTTTCAGATAATCAGTTGTATACTGAAGAAGCCGCGGATCGAGTGGAACCTACCATTGGAACTAGTACTACAAATCAGTTATTAATTGATTTAACTTTGAATACTACGACAAAGCATTCACCTATATCTTATTCTGCTGATATGGATGCTACAGATTCTCCAGTATTGATTGACTCTTCAGGTGAAGGTGAAGGCGACTTAGCCTCTAAACAACAATCTGAAATGATGAACATCCCGTGAGTTTTATTTCTATTACCTTATGATGAAGATTTCTTGTTCTGTTTTGTGTATAACAGTAGTGAAATGGGTCACGATATTATTGATATAAGTATAAAACTTGGGCAGACTCAGAGAACCAGGCAGAATTCAGTAATCAACCTCTCTCCTCCCACCTACATAGATTACTTCCTGGATTCTTAACCCTCTCCCACCCACCCTATTGTGTGATTGTGTGTTAATGCATGCAGTGCAACTACTGAGCTTTTTTCTGAATTACTTATAGTTTCGGAGTCAATCATTCTTACCTTAGCTACATTCTTATGCTCCGACAATCTGATTACCCCCGACCTACTAGTTTGACCTATGCAGTCGAATTCACTCACGGTCACAGCAAGGTATTTTGTAAATTCAACTATTTTCTTTAATTTGGTCAACCCACAGTGTCCTTTAACCTACAGAGGTGAGTTTGTCGGTTTAAATGCCACTCTAATTCCTGCTTTGCTGAGAATGCTACGCAAAGAGGGTCTCAGATGTCCCCTCCTTTATACTGTATAACAGTAGATGCCTTATATTTTGTCTTATTTATTTCACAATTATTTTTATTTTGTTTTTGGTCTTTTTCGATTTTTCTAATTAATTTTATAGGATAGTTAGTTATTCAACACCATCGCTTCTTCTATCTGTTTTATTTTATCATTTAGGCTTTCTCTTGTACTACTAAATGCTACTGCTCGGTTTGTGAGACACATTATTATTATTATTATTGCATCCTTTAGTTCCTAGAGGAACATAGGGCTTCAGCTGCGCACCTCCATTGCCTTCTGTTTTCTGACAACTTTTTCACCCCGCTCCAGGTCTGTCCACATGCTTTCATCTCCTCCTCACATGACCCTCCTCCAAGTCACTCTTGGACGACCAACTCACCGCCTCCTCTTCGGGTTCCACTCGAGCAATGGCTTGTCTAGTGATGTCACTTGATGGTTTCCTCAGCGTATGGCCAATCCATCTCCATTTCTTCCTGCCTATTTGTTTCACAATCGGTTCCTGATTGGTTCGCTAACTGCCAGAGATCCCTGTTGCTGATCTTTTCTGGCGGGCCATGTGATCTTGAGTATTGAGCGAAGACAACTGTTAATGAAGGTCTGAAGTTTGTTTGAGATGCTCTTTATGACGCGCAGTGCAAGTCTCTGATCCGTACAGTAAGTAGCACTGACTGACTTCACATTGGAGTTGAAAATCTGGATCTTATTTTCGATGCTGAGTGCCGTTGGCTTCCACACAGATTTGAGAGTATTGAAAGCTTGTCTTGCTTTTCCGATTCTGGCTTCGATATCCTCGTCAGTTCCGCCTGTAGTTAAAACGATGCTTCCCAGGTAGGTGAAGGAGGCTGTTTCTTTCAGGTTCCTCCCATTTATGCTGATTGTTGTCTGTTGTTGTTGATGATATTGGCTAGGAATCTTCATCACCTCTGTTTTATCTATGTTCACCTTAAGTCCTATCTTTGATGCTTCTTCTTTGGCCAACGTGTTTCTTTTCACCTGCATATCTTCCAGTTTATGGGAAATCGGACATATATCATCGGCGAAATCCAGATCCTCCAAGTCTTTTGTGTGAGTCCATTTTATGCCTATTTCGTCATTGTCCGTTGTCTGTCGCATTATCCAATCAATTGCAATCAGGAAGATCATTGGCGATAGTAGATAGCCTTGTCTCACTCCCGTCCTCACTTCGAAGGCTTCAGTAAGTTTCCCGTTGTGGATTACTCGACATGCAGCATTGTCGTATAGCTGTTGGATGAGATGTATAATTGTCGATGGGACCCCGTAGTAGCGAAGTAGTTGCCAAATGACCTCTAGATCGACGCTGTCTGGTTAAGGCCTTCTCAAAGTCGATGAAGTTGAGATAGAGAGGTGACTGCCATTCCAAGCTTTGTTCAATGATGATCCGTAGAGTGGTGATTTGATCAATACATGACTTGTTTCTCCTGAATCCGGCCTGTTCCGGACGAAGTTTTTCATCCAGGTTGGCTTGTTTGATTCTCTCCAGGATGATGCGACTTAGTATTTTGCTTGGAATGGACAGAAGCATAATTCCACGCCAGTTTTTACATTGACTTAAGTCTCCTTTCTTTGGTAGTTTGAATAAGTATCCGTTCTTCCAATCCTCGGGTACTTTGCCCTCTTTCCACACCTTCTCCAGCAGTGGCGTCATCAAGTCCGCTGTTGTCTCTGGGTCTATTTTCAAAGCTTCTGCTGGGATTCCATCTGGTCCTGGTGCTTTCCCAGCTTTTAGCATCTTGATAGCATTCAGGACTTCTGATTTCGTCGGGGGGTCAATGTTCACTGGTAGTTCTGCTTCCGTTGTTGGTATTGTTGAGCGTGTTGTAGGTGGCGGACGATTTAGAAGTCTTTTGAAGTGTTCAGCCCAGTGTTTTCTCTGTTCCACCTCTTTGGTGATTGACTTTCCATTTGTGAGACACATAACTAAGCCTATCTTAACAGTTAACGGATAAGATGAATTAAAGTCTAAGTACACGTGTATATATAAATGAAGGAAAAAAAGTTGTGTGAGTGACTTGATATAATTATGAGCAATTGCTTTTTTTCTCGAAACGTGGTGGTCATCAGTTAATATATAACTGTATAACACTGTGCGATTTATCAAAATAGAGTCTTATCTATAATGGGGTCATGGTATGCTTTAGTTTTACTTTACTCCTTTACATTCCAAGTGGAATATAGGGCTTGAAGCCTAGAGCTTTGGAGTTTCCATAGCAGTGGTATTTATCCTTACGAGATGGGTTTGCTAGCCTCATGCCTAACTTTCCCTCTTTACCAGTCTTATTACTGATTTATCGAGGAAAGGAGTGCGTTGTTGGCGGCCGGAAACGGAGCACCGAACCATATGAGGAGGGGTTGGCAAGCATTTTACTGCTTTGCCACCACCGATGCATTGTGGAGTGTGTGTTAGTTGTGTGGTTGACTGACTCGTCTGGAATTGACAATCAGCATTGATTGGTTTCATACAGCCTCACCTGAAACGATTTGACATATATGTGACAGTTGATGAGCTGATGTTTTGATGGAATGAGTGTTGAGCGTATGTTGTGTGTCTGGATGGCGGGTTATGTTATGGTATGGGTTCGAATCTTGGCAGCATCTACTTCATTCTGAGCGGTTGGATAGTATCATAGCTTGACAACTGTCTCCGCATAAACAGTTCATTATATCAATACACATTGAAGTGACCTGACTCGATAGCTTATCCTTCACTTGCATTGGAATTATACAACGAGTGGCGAATTTTAAACATAATGTTTAGGGCAAAGAATGTTTTTCTTTTGCAGTTTCGATGCCAGCAATTCAGTTTCTGCGTCTCCTTTAAACGGAAAAGTCATATACCTGTACGTTTCTTCTGCACAGTTTGTAGACATTTCTGCCTATCTGTGTTGTCCTCATCGAAACTTTAACAAAGTTTTCGCGTACAAAAAGTTTTCTGTTTTCATTCTTTCATCGTCTAGAGTCATGGATTGTTCAGATTTTTCTAGCACAAAACATCAAGGTACTGATAAGATTGTCGTTTGTATGCAAGAGGAGCAAACGACTTGAAATGGGTGTATTGACTTCTTCTTCTCGTGAAAATATCCCTCTTAATCCTGTCTGTCTGGATATAACAGAGAACTTGGCACCGAAGTGCAGCAGTTCGAGTGTTGCCACGTTCCAAATAGCACACAAAGGTAGACAAGAAGATGAGTGAAGAGAATCAACCTCTTAATCCGGCTATCTTGTCTTCTTGTTACCAGCAGGACATCAAGGAATGATAAGGTGTTGTCTTTTCTCATTTTCATATGTGAACTCTGTCATCTTATAACTTGAAACTGACGCCATCTTCGACGAGTGAAACGGCCGTCAGGCTGACTGGCGTATAATTACTAGTTGTGATGTTAGTGCTATCCAACTACTCAAATTAATCAATCAGTAGTTTTTAAGTAATATATATATCCAAACCAAGTTCACTTCTAACAGTCTGAAAAAATTTGGGCATCGTGTGGCATATGATATTCATTACAATAAATGTTCTCTTTTGTATTTCCCAATGAATGAATGAAAAACAAAACGATACCGTTGTTGCTGATTTTACTAACGTTTCGCTATTTAATGTTAATAGCTTTATCAAAGTATTATTAAACCGGAATTTACAATATCTCAGCTTGGATATAACAACTTAATCATCGTTCCTCAGCATTGGGGAACTTTTGCGTTGGCAAATTGGCCAGTTGGTAAAGATAACAAAATCAGGTGTAGATTACAGTTGAATTTGATAGGTGTGTAAAATTACCAAAGCAGCATGCGTGTTTACATAATGAAGTTGCTTATCACATTCGTGTTGATTTTATCATTTTATGGCAGTGGAATAGGGTGTTGTAATCAGGTCAAATTCTGTTCTAGTCCATCATTCCTATTCAGAAAATTTGGATTCCATTTGATATATGAATTGCCTCTGATGATAGGTGGTGACGTTCTTTGTGATTTCTGAAATTTTTCTGGATTATTTCAATATTGTCAAAATCTATTTTGTGGCCGGATTTTATAGCGTGTAGGAGGTCACCTATGGCTGATGATTTTTCAATCTTTTCTAGTTTACTAACGGGATTTCACGGTGGTCAAACAGAGGCAGGCGGGTTCTACGGTGTTCATCTCTTCTGATTACCTTGATTTCTCTCTGGTAATGTAACGAATAATTGTTTATGCAGTTAGGGATTAATTATATAGAAATAATAAAATCAAAACAAGTGATTCAGCGAAGAGACTCTTTTCAACAACGAATTTATCATCAAGCTGTACAGTCGTATATATATGGTTTTTTAAGAAGTTATATCCGGTGAGGGAATTGAATCTTAGGTGTGAATGCATAAAATAATAATCATGATAGTATGAAATACAATTAGAATTAAAGTGTTTAAGATTATAATCATAGTTAAATGTCAAGTGGCAAAGCAAATTAATGTCATATATAGAATAATTCATAGGATGGATAGAACTTGAGGAAGGGTGTGCAATTATAGGATTAGTAGACAAATCGAATGAAATAAAAACGTTACGTAGTATTGTGTGAAATTTGATAGCATAGAATTTATTGTTGTAAAAAAGAATTGATTCAGAATGACAAGTGGAACAAGTGAAATAATACGGGGGACAGTTCAAAGTGACAATAGTAATAATAACAATTGACGTAATAAGGAAGAGACTACAAATTGAATAGACAAAATGAAAAATTGGTAGCGCTGAAATATGACTGAGGATTACCATACTTTAGCATAGAGGGATTAAGACCATGAAAGTTGGACGGGTTGAACAAACTTTTTCTGTACACAGAGATCTGGCTTTTCTGTTTCGATAGCCAAAGATAGCTTCAGCAATACAGATGAGTCGGGTACGTAGGGATTTGGATAGATTGCTCTTTGCCTTGTAGATGACTTTAAAGGCGGAGGCTATAGAGATAGGTGGGTGATCATTATCGACCAGATGTTCAATGATCGCGCTTCTTATTGCTCCACTTCCACCTAATCGTAGCCATGCAGTATAGTGTTCTTGCACATTCTTGGACAAAACTCGAGTCGAACGACCGATATACCTAGCTCCACAACAGCAGGTGAATTGATAAACACACATAGAGCTGGTCAACAACGGGATCTTGTCCTTCAGGTTATTGAACAGTAATGGTCGGCTAGTAAAGCCTATTCTCAGAGATGCAGCAGGGATATAACTTCTTAAAAACCATATGTATACGACTGTACAGCTTGATGATAAATTGGTTGAAAAGAGTCTCTGTTTTGATTTTCTAAATGTTACAATGGGAATTGTCCATGAGTTAAAATAATAAAATGCCAAAATAGACAGGAAGTTCGGATATGAAAATATGGTAGTGTAAATAGTGGAGGGATTAAGAAGAACTTAAAAATAACATGAATAAACAGGAAGTGTGGATAAAAAAAGACAATGGGATGTGGTGATTACTAAAAGAATTACCTGTTTATTGTTAGGAAGAGGCAAAACACATGCAATTATCAAGTTATTATCATGTCGTTGACATGCATTTGTTTCTGCTTTCTGATTGGACGCTTGCACAATTCCAAACTCTCAACCGGATTGGTTGATTTCCAGTCTACCTTACTTTCTGTATAAATACAGTCACTTTTGTCATAAATAAATGATTCTGGTTTTACCGCTGATTATCGCGTGTTCTGCTTTACCAGTTAAGTGGGCACTGGTCAGTAGTTAAGCGGTTACCTCGAGACAAAGATCTAGCATCATAACAATTGGCGACAGGGCTCATGGCAATTGTCCATGAGTTAAAATAATAAAATGACAAGATAAACAGGAAGTTCGGATATGAAAATATGGTAGTGTAAACAGCGATTAAGAAAACTTAAAAATAACATGAATAAACAAGAAGTGTGGACAAGAAAGACAATGGGATGGTCATTACTAAAAGAGTTACCGGTTTATGATGGCCATGGCAGGGACAAGGGTTGGACGTATTTCTTTTGGATACATAGTGTGGATTTGAGCTTTTAAATAGCTAGTCCCTCGGTTATGCCACCACCCCCCCCCACACACACACAATTAGATAGAGAATCTTCAGGGATTTGGTCTTTTATATGGACAAGGTTGTTTCGCAGTGTGTGTGTGTGTCTGATGTTTTGAAGAAAACTCTAATGTCGAGCTTATTAATTACTCTTCTAATATCGTCTGACGTCTCTGCCCTATATGGAATGATGATGACTGTTGAGGTCCATGTTTTCGGAATACGTTTTCGACTATATTTATTGTAAGTGTTGTTTTTTTGCTTGACTCATTGAAGAAGCTGAAAATTTTTCTTTTTCAAAATATTTTTTACATTTTTAAAAATAGTTAATCTTTTTCCGATTTTTAGTGTTCAATCATCCCCGGAGGTCAAAGTTTCCCCTGAGATGAGCTTTCATTTTTCTCAGGATAAGAAGATAGCTGACAACCGCTTAGATAATGTCAAACATGCAGATAATTCTAGTTGTATAAAAGCTGATCAAATCAACACTTCCAGTTCACATTTACCATCAAAACTTCGTAAAGAAAATAATTCAGCATTTTGTGCCTCAGATCGTCATAAACGTGCATTAGTCAATCGTTCACGTGTTAAAGAATACGACCGTGTAAGTTTGTTTATTTGATACGTTGTCTCGTTTATATATACATATACAAAGTGAACTTATCGTTCATTGTGATTTTCTAAATATAATAGTCAGTCTTAGTCTTCTTCTGAGAAAGAACTCCAGGTCATCCGAGATATTCTAAGCGAGAACGGATATTCAGAGAAGTTCATGAAAGCCAACATAGTAGGTTACAGTAGTCGTAAACATGAACTGGCAATGGTGGAGAAATAGCCTCTGTTTTTTACGTCTCCAATTCAAGGGAGATACTCCTTCGAAGATTCTATCGTAACGTTTAACCAGGGCGATCAAGAAAATCTTCTCTACTCTGCACATCTGTGTCTATCCTTCAGTAGCCGTCCAATGTTCTTCCACCCAGTAACTCAAAGATATCTTACCTAACCTTAGCTCTTCTTCATGCATATACCATTTCAACTGTTCCTGTGGTTCAAGTTATACAGGGCGCACGATTAGGAAGGTTGGTCTACGGGTTCGAGAACATTTACCAGCTTGTTTCAGCAGGCGGGAAAACTAAGTTCATAAAAAGCTCGATCCTGTCACACTTGATCGATACTGGACATCGTATCGATGTCAACACAGCTTTCAGGGTTATATACCGAATTCCGAAGTCGTTATCACGTACAGTTCGCTTATGTCTCCTACACATAGCTGAAGCTGTTGCAATAAGATCGACTAAACCGGAACTTCGTGTCCGAAAAGAACACGTCCAGACTCTGTTCCTTCCGTGGCCAAACTTGGATTGATGATTCTTCTTCTCACCAAGAGTACCTCTTCCCCTTAACCCTTTTGGTTTTTTTCTTTGCTTATTATTATAAATATTATTATTGCAATTATTATTATTGTTATTATTATTATTCGTCATAATTTATGCTCTTCATGCAAACATTCTCTCAAAGTTATTGAATTTTTCATTTATACTATCCGGACTTATTATTATTAGGGATATTATCTCTTTTCTCAATATATGCCTCCACCTGTTTCATTTCGCATATTCGTTATTTCATTATGAACCTCTCATTCCAGTCTTACTATCTCCTGTTTAACACAGACCACTTTGTACTAGCCACTCACTCACCTGACACCTTTAATAACCTTGAACTGATTTGTCAATTTTCCTACCCCACACTCTACAATTCTATTATGATTAATCACCATCATTATCTCCCATTTCACCGAAATATTTTGTAATAGATTTCAGCCCAGAGCATGTTTGTCACACAAATACGACTATTTATTTTGACACACCATAATTACTAATCTGTTATTCTACATTGAAAATGTACCCGCCGCATAACTGACCTTTATTGTAACGACCACAAATATTATATTTTATAATTGTGTAAGAACCTGAAGAGAAATTATTGAAAAGAATATTTTTCGTTCAGATTGACTTTTAATTCTTCTGAAATAATTTAGTGCTAGGTAAGAAGGGGAAATCAATCGATAAGGCTGTGAAATTACATCGACTGAGATGGTTAGGATATGTGTTACGTATGCCTAGTCATCGCCTTCCTCGACTAACAATGTTAGCTGACATAAGATCAATGAGGCTGGAAAAGAGCCAGTGGTGGTCAAACCAAAACCAACATGGATTCACCAGTCAATGAAATCCACAACAAATAGTTTAATTCAGCCAGCCACATAGAAAGGTGTAGACTTCCTGGTTGTGGTCCTCCGAACGGCTGAAGACAATTGGTAATATGGCTGAAAATCCTCGTTCTCAATGGCTGGTGCAGATGCGCACCCACTCCTTGTGATTTATAATATCCAAAGAAACTATATTGTTCTTCGACATTATTCTTTTGTCTCACACCTCTGTTTACTGTCTCTCTATTATGCATTTCTTCTACTTTTCTTTTCTTGCTTTGTGTACTACCAGGAGGGATTGTGGCGACTTGAAGTGCTGCACACCGGTGCAAAGTTCTATGTTGAAACCAATCAATTAGTTGTATTATTATTATTTATTATTAGATCCTTTAATTCCTAGAGGAGCATAGGGATTCAGCTGCACATCTCCATTGCCTTCGATTTTCTGCCAACTTTTTCACCCCGCTCCAAGTCTGCCCACATGCTTTCATCTTTTCTTCACATGACTTCCTCCATGTCACCCTACCACTGACGACCAACTGGCCGCTTCCCTTTCGGGTTCCACTCGAGGGCTTGTCTAGTGGTGTCACTTGAGGTTTCCTCAGAGTATGGCCAATCCACCTCCATTTCCTCGTGCATATTTGTTTCACAATCGGTTCCTGGTTGGTTCGCTCACGGACATCCCTCTTAATTGCTGATATTTTCTGGCCACCTGATCTTGAGCGAAGTATTGAGTGAAGACAGCTGTTAATGAAGGTGTGTAGTTGGATTGAGGTGCGCTTAATGATGCGCCAAGTCTCTGATCCGTATAGTAGCACTGAGTGACTTCACATTAGAGTTGAAAATCCGGATCTTATTTTTGATGCTGAGTGCCGTTGGCTTCCACACAGACTTAAGAGTAATGAAAGCTTGTCTTGCTTTCCGATGATCCTCGCTTTGATATCCTCGTGCATCTGTAGTTGAAACGATGCTTCCCAGTTAGGTAGGTAGGTAGGTAGGTAAAGGAGGTTGTTTCTTTCAGGTTCCTCCCATTTTTGCTGATTATTGCCTGTTGTTGTTGTCGCTGTGGCTGTTGGTGTTGGCCAGGAATCTTCATCACCTTTGTTTTATCTATGTTCACCTAAAGTCCTATCTTTGATGCTTCTTCTTTGGCCAACTTGTTGCTTTTCACTTGCATATCTTCCAGTTTGTGGAAATCAGACATATATATCGCATCGGCGAAGTCCAGATCCTCCAAGTTTTTTGTGTGAGTCCATTTGATGCCTCTTTCCTCATTGCCCACCGCTGTCTGTCTCATTATCCAATCTACTGCAATCAGCAAAATCATTGGCGATAGTAGACAGCCAGCTTGCCTCACTCCCGTCCTCACTTCGAAGGCTTCCGTAAGTTTCCCGTTGTCAGTCAGTTGTAGGCCGATATATTTTTTTCTTTTTCTTTTATGATTGTAATATGTTTACTAAATGTCTTTTGTTTGGTTTCTTTTGATTGTTTGTTTTAGATTCGTCGTGAACAGTTGATGAAACGAAGATTATAGATTCAACTAGATATAAGAGAATTAATACGCCTTGATCAATATATAATTTACTAACTAATTCCGATTAAATTGTAATTACACACATACATACATACACTAATTTATTCACCTAGAATTTTTCAAACATACACTCCAGTATTTCTATTTGTGAATGTATTTTTTTCCTTCGGCAGTTTGGTATTACAGTTTTTCGATTTTATAAATAGACGCTATTGGATTAAATATGGTTGGTTTTCTGGGTTTGATAATCGTTATAAATTGAATGTATGCTAACATAACAGTATTGTAAAGACAAAAGACAAGGGCCAGGCAGCAGTTCGTTTATTGAGAAAATCAACATGTATTTATGCATTTTTATGTACATTATTATTAGCGTTATTGATAGCAGAGAAACAACGTCTTCTGATTGGTTGCTTTCTCGCTGAAGGTTATTCTATCATCCTCTTTGTTGCTGTTTCTTAGACAATTCGTTAATATATCTGCGAATTGTATCCGCCCACGCTAAGTCTGTTATGATTGGTTGTTGATTTTCTCAAGGTTAGGCTTTGTTCTTATTTCCTCTCCTCTCCTGACCAATTTCGGCTTGCCAACAGCTCTCACCATAGTATTACATATCCTTGCTTACATAATCTATTTGTTTGTCTGCTTTCAGTCGTTGTAGACGTGCAGTCAGTGCATGTGTGTGTGTGTGTGCGTGTTCTGTTCTTTGGTAGCTCAAGTTCTACTGTTATTGATATTGAGCTTTTGTTTTGCAAGTGAACTGAATTCTTCAACGTAGAACAATTTGTACGCGCGCACACATACACAGGTGCAACAGTTCGAGTTGCTGTATACTTCATGGCGAATAAGGAACAGGAGAAATATATAAACGAGAGATGGGATAATCACATTCAGAGTTATGAGGATTAGATGGATCTTGGGGACCACAATAATGTGGGGATACGGGGAACGAATCTGCGCCAGTAAGCATGATTTGGAATCATGCCACCATCAGTCCCAAGCTATTAGTTTTTTAGCGTCTCTAGAAGTGCATTCAGTCAGTTTGCATCTTACTTGGCTCAAATGAGCAGTCAAAGGTCCCGTAGATATTGACGTCTTGCTTTGATCTAGCCATCATCCATGACTCCATTCCATTTTTACCTAACATAGCATGACGAGGAAGGCAATGACTTGGCTTGCGCAACGCGTTTCCTAGCCATTCGAATTAGCGTAGCTTCATAACCTCCTTGCCTAACACTTCATTTATAAACTCAACATTACTCACCATATTATGGTATTGAACACGGGAGATGCGACATAAACATCTGCGGTGAAAAAAACAGCTATCCTCTCCAAGTGTTTCACTTTCAATGACTATGTCTCATAATCCTAAAGACAGACAGAGCGAACTGCTGAGTAGTACACACATACTCTGATCGATAAGTGGACATCACGTCAAGATAAGAGATGACACAAGTTGGAAAACAGCAGGCTAGTCTTTTGCAACCAGGCTGAAAAATGTCGTTAGAATCTATCAGTGTGCCTGATTGTGTCACTGTTTTTTACATTGAGTGGATTGGTCAAATTGTGACGACAGAAGACAAAATGTCAGGCGAATCAGGAGATATTTCTACATTTTTATTTTTCATTATTGTCAGCGGAGAAGTAACCTCCCCTATTTGGTTGTTTTCGTGCTGAAACCTATTACTGCCTACAAAATAACAAATGACCAGAATCACCCAAACAAAGGTGTTCTGCTATTGAGTAGGTATGGACTCCCTCGTGGAAATCCCAGAAGGATAGCTCACCAGAGGGCAAGGACCCGGGTGCGCTCTCACTTCTTTTCACCGCGGGTTTGCCGTCTCTAGAATTCCTTACCGGCAGATGTAGCTATGGCACCGTCTTTGGGCGCCTTTAAGCAAAGGCTGGACAACCGTGTAGCGACACAAGGACTGCATCCAAATGGCCTATCCCCTTAAAACCGCATACACCATTTAGAGACAGACAACTAAACGTGTCGTTTTACTTCTTTACATTCTCCCTTCATCTTTTGACAACTTTAACTACACTTATTATTATCATCATCATTATTACCGGTATATATATATATATATATTATTCATATTATTCTTGAAATTTAATCAGCTGACTGTTGTTACGTTTTCTTATTCCGTCTGAATAACTTCACTAATTATATCTATTATTATTATTATTACTATCTCTTTTCTCTTGTCGACGATACCGGAGGACTAACCGGTGAAGGGATCAACTCCATTCACAGTATTAACAGTCTTAACACAAGTCATACTACAAACCATATATAATTAATCCCAACACTACTCCTTTTGGAGTCAACCAAATCTACAACAGTCGAGTGGCGGGACGAGCTACGCAGTGATTAGGGCTCTCGCCGACCATGCACATGGCCCGGGGTTCGAGCCCGCACCGATGCACATCTGATATCTATGGCTGGCCTGCAAAATTTGGGCTACCGATATCCATGCTAAAAATTCCATACTTGTACCGAAAATACAGTGTGGAATCAAGCTGTAAATCAAAAAATCAAAGATCAGGACCCTATAACTTACAATCATGAAGCGATCACAAAGAAATCAAATTGTTTTATGCTAGCTAATATATATAATATAATATATATTTCACATAAATTAAGCATTTACATGATTGACATACCGTTTGTACAGGCATGATCATATTTGACGAGTGCAATTTGGAATGGAACACTGTTTTGAGACATTAAAAATAAGAAAAATAGAAAAAAACCTTTAGAAACCATATAAGAATAGATTACAAGATTTTGGTTTAAGTCTAAATTATAAACTTTAATATACTTATAGTGAGTCAAATTCATGCGGGAATTACGAAATTATGCGTTAATGGAAGGTAAGAAGAGAGGTGCTAAGTAAGATACACAGGATGCGGACCTTGTGATCATTATCATTTTATCAATCAATAAGGGTTCGAAAATTTATAAAACTCCACAGTAGGTGGTAAGTACAGCATTATTTTTGTATTAGTAGATACAAGGGACCAACTATGCGATGTTCAACGATATTGGATATTGGGTATGCAAATAGTACAAATAAAAAAATTGGAATAGAAGGCCATGTCAATTAAATGAGGTCGGTTTCTCATTTGCTCAATGCATGAACGAAGACGTTTAATGTATATATATATATATATATATATATATATATATATATATATATATATATATATATATATATATATATATATATATATATATATATATATATATATATATGGATACATATCAGTTGTGCAGTTGCCAACATAGCTTCAAAGTCGCTTTCTGTGTAGGCGGGTTAGATTCGATCGATGGAAATAGTCTCCCATTTTCCATTCTTGTTCACTGTAAAGTGTTTGTCTGAACGTTTGATAACCTGGAAGGGACCTACGTATGGGGGTTGCAATCCTTTTCTGATGGCGTCGACTCGATCAAAGACGAATTTGCAAGTCTCCAGATGTTTTTTGATCTAATCTCGTCGGGGAAATTGTCGAGGTGCTGCCGGTTGAAGTTGGAGCATTTGTCCAGTTAGTCGGTTAGTGAAATCAGCAATGTTCACGTCCATCGAATCGGCTGAGGGAACTAGCTATCCAGGCAAGGTCAGGTTGGTTCCATAAACAAGTTGAGCCGGTGTACATCCTAAATCTTCTTTGATAGTAGATCGGATACCAAGTAAAATCAAAGGTAAGTATTCACTCCATTTAGATGTATCATCCTGCGCCATCAGGGAGCTTTCCAGTTGTCTGTGGAATCTTTCCACTAGACCATTCGCTGCCGGATGATAGGCTGTTGTGGAGATATGTTTCACTCCCAGGAGTCTCGTTAGTTCACAAAACAGCGTCGATTGGAATTGAGCACCTCGGTCGGATGTAATAGTAGTTGGGACACCGTAGTTTGATACCCAACGGTCGAGAAAAACCAAAGTAACATTTTCTGCAGAAATATCGTTTAGGGGGCGTGCAATAGCCCAACGAGTAAATCTATCAATCGCTGTCAGGATATGTGTATATCCCCTTGATGTTGGCAATGGTCCTACAATATCTATATGGACATGCTGAAATCTCTTGTCCGGTAGATCAAACGTCTTCGGCGTTGTAATAGTGTGGCGGTGTACTTTGGAGCATTGGTATTGGAGAAATTCCTGTGCCCATTTTCGAATGTCAGAGTTCATTCTAGGCCACACGAAGCGTTCGCTGATAAGTCTGACCGTGGCGCGTACTCCAGGGTGAGAGAGCGAATGTAAGTGTTCAAACAAAGCTTTTCGGCAACTGAAAGGAACAAATGGACAGTTAGTGCCGGTAGATACATCGCAAACCACAGTTGCATCTGATAAGGGAATAGGTACGTCCTTGAACTGTAAGGAAGAGTTTCCGCGACAACTTCGGAGTTCAACGTCGTCTCTTTGTAATTGAGCCATACCGTCAAGACTGATGTCTACCGAAGTTTCAGGCTGGTTTATGTCAATTCTTGAAAGAGAATCAGCTACCAAGTTTGCGTCCCCTTTGATGTACTGTGTGTCAGTTGAAAATTTGGAGATATAGTCCAACTGTCTGGCTTCTCTGGGGAGTGTTTATCCAGTGCAGTAGTGAAAGCCTAGCACAGGGGCTTGTGGTCAGTAAAAGTAGTGAAGTGCTGACCCTGTAGTAAGTAACTGAAATGCTTGACTGCTAGATACATAGCCGGCAACTCTCTCCCAAAAGTACTGTAACGTGTCTGAGCTGGTTCTAACTTCTTAGAAAAGAAAACAAGTGGGGTGACTTCACCATTCATCTTCTGTTGTAATACTGCCCCCATAGCTACTTGGGAGGCATCTGTGCACAGGATAAGAGATGCTTCGAGGTTGATGTAGGACAACATAGTGACTTTGGATAAAGCGTCTCTGGCGCTGCAAAAAGATTCGTGTGCTTGCACGACCATTGAAACTTTTTAGGATCACTTTTAAGGAGATTGGTTAAAGGTTGGACGATGGAGGCACACGAAGGAATAAAACGTCGATAGAAATTAAACATCCTTAAGAAACGTCTGACCTTCTTGAGTGAATCTGGTTCGGGGAAATTTTTGATGGACTCTATCTTTTCCTCCGTAGGCCTGATACCGTTTGCGGTTATGTGGTGTCTCAGAAACTGTATAGAGGAGACACCGAATATGCACTTTTTGGGGTTAATGGCGACGCCATATTGCTCAAATCGCTGAAATAAGATGGTGAGGTGATCTGTATGTTCTTCAGCCGATGAGCTCGCAATTAAGACGTCATCGATGTATACAAATACAAAATCTAAACCTTGTGTGACCTGATCCATGAAACGTTGGAATGATTGTGCGGCGTTCTTTAGACCAAACGACATGCGCAGAAATTCGAACAAACCAAAAGGTGTGATGATGGCCGTTTTTTCGATATCTTCTGGGGCAACCGGTATTTGACGATAGGCTCTGATCAAGTCTACTTCAGAGAAAATCGTTTTTCCATGCAATGTCAGGGAGAAATCGTGTAGGTGGGGAATCGAGTAACGGTCCGGAACTGTGGCGTTGTTTAAATGTCGATAATCCCCACATGGTCTCCAATCATGCTCAGCTTTAGGCACCATGTGTAAGGGT